GAGCAGAGGACGCAGCAGAGCCGTTTTGGGACGCAGGCGCAGGGGTTTCACTCGGAACCACCTCCGAGCGGTGCAAGACGTCGAAAAACACGGTTCGCGGGAGCACATTTGGCTTGGATATGTCGGCAGAAGTAATTTGCTGGCTATTGGTTCTGGCAATTTTGTAGATGTAGGAGCGTAGGGTGGCCACTTTCCACAGCTCCGAGTCGGCCATCCCCACGGACTTGAGCCGCTCGACGTGCTGCAAGTCGCTCTGGCTCAGCGGCACCTCGTTGTTGGCCACCACCGCCATGTCGTCGACGCCGTGGAAGCGGTGCAGCGAGCTCTGGGACACGTTTTTGCGCAAAAACGCGATTCCAGACGTGTTGAAGAGGTCGCCGCGGCGGTGCGACGCCTCCACGCGCTGCCAGAACAGCGACTGCTCCTGCTTCAGCGACCATGCTTGCGCCAGTGTGTACACTGCGGGCGAGATCGGCTGCTGGGCGCTGATGTAGAGCGACTCCCACGAAAACTCGGTCAGTTCGTCTTGGAAAAACGGCCTGATGATCGGATAGAGCATGCAGTAGAGGTCGGCAAGCGACAGACTAGCGCCGACAGCCACAACGAGATCGAGCACCGCCTGTCTGATAGTTTCGTTGGGGTGCAGTAGCAGACGGATCGTGAGCTTCACGAGGTCCCAGTAGTGGACTTTGCGCACGAGCCCCAGCTTGCACAGCTCTGTGAATGTCTTGATGACGCCGATGACAACCAGCTCGTCAGCGTCGTTCAGCGACTGCACCAAAAGCGGCAGAATATACTGCTCCAGACTGACGACGCCGACGAATACAGAAATCGGCACAATGCTGGCGACGAAGCCGAGCCGGATGTTGGGATTTTTGTCGTTGAGGTAAGTGATGAGATGGCTCAGAATGATGTCGTTGGTCCTGTCTTTGCCGAAAAATGCTGCGAGGGGTAGAATATTCTTCAGCAGCGCGATGCGCACAAACGAGTCCGGGTCGGTGAGGATCTGCACCACGAGCGACTCAAACTCCACCACCAGGTTTTTGAACGACTTTTCCAGCTGCAAGTCGTTCTCGATCGCAAACTCGTCCGACGCCGCGTTCTGCGGCTGCGCGCTGAAAAGCGTAGCCATTTCGTAGAACTGCCGCGCGGTCCGCGCCAGGTAGGGCAGACAGCCCGCAAACACAGACCGCAGGTACCTCCCAGCCTCCGGCTGCGCGGTGTCCTGGTACGTGCGCTTGAGAAACTGCTGCAGCTTGGGCAGAACATACTCCGGAAAGATGTATGCGTTGACGGGCGTAATCGCATCCACTATGGCCAGAAGCTGGGTCAAAGACCGCAGAGCAGCGCTCTGCACGTCCTCGCTCGGATCGCCCAGCATGTACACCAGATACGGCAGACATCTGTCCAGCTTGGCCTCGTCGTGGAGCTGTTCTGCGAAGGAGAGAATGATGTCGCAGGCCTGCACTCGGAACGACGAATGCGTGGAGTTTCGCACGCTGTGCAGCACCAGCGAGAGCAAAATTAAAGAAGCGCAGTCGTTCGAGCCCTTGAAAACCTCGTGAGTCGGTTTGGGCACATGGTCGTTCATGCCCGGCAGCTGCAGGCGAACAGGGATCATGGTGTCTGTGAGTTGTTTCTTGTCGTCGTCATATTGGTGCTTGAAGCCCAGATAGAGCGCTATTTTATCGAAATCGTCGTAGACGCGAGCTATGCGCACGTCGCAGCTGCGAAACGGATCGCTCACATCTGTAATGTCGCTGAGTTTCCTCATGTACGGGTGCAGAAACGTGTAAAAGTGGTCGGGAAACACTGAGCGGCGGAACTGAGTCAGACAGTCCTGTGCGCGCAGCCGCTGGCCCGGGTCCAGAGCGATCATGCTCTGGATCAGTCTGCGCACGTTGATGTCGTCTATGCTGTCCAAATTCGGCTGGTACTCGCCCTTTTTGTACTTGAACAGCTGCGGAAGCGTGAATATCGAGAGGCCCTCGAGGTAGATCTCGGCAATGGCGCACCCCAGCGAGAAAACGTCCATCTGCCAGGTCAGCTTGGCGTCCGGGTGCTCCTCGACCTCCTTGTCAGAGGCAAGAAACCGCTCGGGAGCAACATAGCAGATGTGGCGCTGGCTGGTGTCAAAGTAGAACGAAAACTGGGACGGGTTGTTCTCTGGCAGATAGACCGGCTTGAACACGGCAAAGTCGCTGATCAGACACCAGTTCCAGGACGTCATTAGCACGTTTTCTGTTTTGAGATCGCCGTGGTAGACGTTTTTCTGGTGCATGCGCGAGAGCCCCACCAGAAGCTGGTACACGATCCATTTGCGCTCGATCGGCTCCAAAAACGGACGGATACTTATTCGATCGTAGAGATTGTAGCGAATATAAGGGCGAATCAGGTATCCTGCTCTCTGGGAGTCTATTATTTTCTCGAAGGGTAGCACGTTGGGCAAGTCCAACAAGGTGACCCTCAGCAGCTCCAGTTCGCGCACCCAGGCCTCGAGATTCAGCTCCGTGCTGGGCTTTATGAGCAGCTTGACAACAACGGCCCCTTGTTTGTCAAGACACTTGATGGTCTTCAGAAACCGAGTCGAGCTCAACGGCTTGCTGTACTGAACATCATTGAGATAGTCTATGTAGGCGGAAACGGCAATTGTCTGTGCTGTGGGCGACAAAAGCGACAACTGGGCACCCATCAGAAGTAACTAAAATAAATAAAAGTCGGACACAGCCTTATTTTTCGTACGTGTATCGTATATTCTAATCTCATTAGCTTACAGTATACCGCAGGGACCTACTTGAGCGTTGCCTTTCTTTCCTTGCGGAACAGCTCGACCTCCTCGTGCAGCAGGATTTTCATATCGTTGACGGTCCGGCACTTCCACTCGAAACTGAAGTCGAACGGCTGTGCTATGTCTGGCTCGTCTTCCAGATTGCGGACCTCTGCTAGCAACGGGTGGTCCAGACACTGCTCGACAGTGTACCGTTTGTCCACCTTCCAGCAGAGCAAGTTCGAAAGCAAATCGTGAGCCAGCACGCTGGCGTGCGGATACACGTTGGACCACTCCTGTTTCTGGAACTGCGGTTTCGACGACGCAAAGTAGTCCCACGCCACAGTGGAGTTGTACCCCAGTATCACGTTTCTGGACGGCGTGCCTAGCACTTTGCAGATCTCACTGATCTGGTGCATCTGGTCGTCGCCGATGAAGAGCGGCTTGCGGCCATACAGCTCGCCGAAAATGCACCCAACGGCCCACATGTCGATCTCCTTCCCGTACTGTTTTCTCGTGAGAATCAGCTCGGGCGCGCGATACCACCGCGTGGCGACGTAGTTGGTGATGTTGCTGGATCTATGGTTCTTGTTCATGTACTGCTCCGAGATTCCGCGTGCGAGGCCAAAGTCGCAGATCTTGAGCACTCCCTGGCTCGTCACCAGAATGTTGCCCGGCTTGAGGTCTCGATGGATCACGTCCGCGGAGTGAATGTATTTTAGTCCGCACAAAATCTGGTACAGGAAGCACTGGATGTGGAACTCGCTGAACTGCACGGACGAATGGATCACCTTGGCCAGGTCGTAGTCTACCAGCTCCTGGAAACAGTACAGTCCGTCGTAGGGCTTCATGTAGACGATGTCGAGGTCCACCAGGTTGATGATGTTTTTGTGGCCCTTGAAGTAGGACATCAGCTTGAGCTCTCTCACCGCGCGTTTCAGCAGCACCTCTTTGTTGAAGATGTTGCTGACCTTCTTTATGGCGATCGACACCTTATCCTTCGACTGCATGTCGACCGCCGAGCACACCGTTCCGTACGAGCCCTTTCCCAGCACAGATATGATGTGGTACCGCGAGTCCAGGTAGAAGTTGGCCTTTTCGTACACTATTCTGGACGGCGGCGGCTTCTGCTGTTTGGCATTGGAGGCGAGTCTGTTGTTGAGCGTGCGGGCGACATATCCCTCTTCGATCGACATGATTTATGGGAGCGCCAGAAGGAGAGAAAAAAGGGCAGGCGGAAAAAATTATGCGAAACTGAACGAGGGCAACACCCCACCGTCGGGCACATGTGCAAGTTCCAATTGCTGGAATTTGCCCGACGACTGGTGGAAATAGAGCCCCGAGATCGAGCCGGTGAGCTGGTTGAAACAGATGTAGTAGAAGCCTTCGAAGGACGCCCCCATGATGCTCTTCACGCTGGCGTCCGGAACGAGAAATATCTCCTTCCACCTCATGTAGAGATGCTCGTTGTTCAGTGCTGTGTCGTAGATGTGCTTGTTGGCGAGGTCGTTGTCCTGGTCGAAGTCGAGGCTTCTCCAGGACGGGAACCTGCTCCAATGCTGGAGGTCGTTGCGCTTGTTGGATCCCCACTCCTCGTGGGCCGTGTAGAATGAGTGGTGCGGGCCGATGATCTCTCCTTTGAAGAACGTGGTGAACTCGGGATGCGACTCTGTCAGGCCGTGGATCGTGAAGTAGCCGCATAAATACGATCTTTTCAGGTCCACCTCTTTCAGGTCCACGCGGACCTCAAACGTGGACCGGCCGGACTGCTGCGACCCAATAAAGGAGGAGTTCGGCTTGAGGAAAGACGACACTTGCGACTTGTGCCGGCCGGCGAAGAAGTCGCGCACGCCGGGCGACGCGACGATCTGCGGAGGCGGGGCGTGGTGCTTGGCCTTCAGCGGATGTGCTGAGCCCGTGCAGCGCTCCTGCGTGTCTATGTGGTCGATGTTTATTGGGGTAGGCATGGATTTAGTGGAAATAAAGCGATTCCAGCTATTTCTGCGAAGTGGACAAACTAAAAAGAGCAGGGTCCTGTGTTGACCGGTGGCTATGGAAACAGTCTTCGCACACGAAAAATGCAGTCAGCTGAGAGCGCACAACACCGTCGGATAAAAAACCCTCTTGATTCCTGTTTTGACTAATTCTTTTTGCTTTGCCCGTTCCAGCCCTTGTTTTCGGTATCTTATCGCGTAAATTCGCGAAATTATAATTTTTCAGATTTTCTGCACTCATGAGCGACGAGTACCGAGCGTTAAAGGACGTTTTTGCCGGCACGATGGGCGGCATCGCGCAGGTCCTGGTTGGCCAGCCTTTTGACACCACCAAGGTGCGTATCCAGTCAGCTGAGGGCCACGTTTCGCCCATCTACGTGGTCCGCCAGCTGCTGACCAACGAGGGGCCTATGGCCTTCTATAAAGGAACGCTGACTCCGCTGATCGGCGTCGGGGCCTGTGTTTCTGTGCAGTTCGGTGTCAACGAGTTCATGAAACGCACGTTTTCGAGTCTGAACGGCCCCGGAAATCCGATCACCATGCCTCAGTTTTATGCGTGCGGAGCAGCAGCAGGATTTGCAAACGGTTTTATAGCCGCACCAATTGAGCACATCAGAATTCGACTGCAAACGCAGACCACCGGTGCCAGGGCGTTCAACGGGCCTTTGGACGTGGTCAGGAAGCTGTACCACGCCGGCGGCATCAAGCTAATCTACAGGGGTCTGGGGCCCACGCTCGCGAGAGAAAGTCTGGGTAGCGGAGCATATTTTTTGACTTTCGAAGCTCTTGTGAAAAACGAGACCGAGTCGCGGAATATCGCCAGAAAGGACATCGAAAACTGGAAGCTCTGTGTGTTTGGAGCGCTGGCGGGCTACGGCATGTGGCTCAGTATCTATCCGATCGATGTGGTCAAGTCCAACATGCAGACGGACAACTACAAGAAGCCGGTTTATAGAAATGCTGTGGACGCATTTAGGGGTATCTGGAGACAGAGCGGTGCGTGGGGGCTCGTCAAAGGGTTCTCGCCGACGATTCTGAGAGCTGCGCCGGCCAACGCGGCGACTTTCCTGGCCTTCGAAATTACCATGCGGTACCTGAATTAAAATAGAAGTAGAGAATAATAGTTAAATGAAAAAATTAATTCTAGTACAAGCCAGAGGAGAGAAACCGGTCAACGTAGCCGCCGCTTCTCTGGGTCGCATCCTCGTCCTCCTCGTCCTCCAGCCGTCTCAGCAAGTAGTCGACCTCCACCTTCTTGGTCAGCGGAATCACGAAATCCTTGTAGATCTTCACAATCACCTCTGGCTTCACCTTGCTCTGAATGTGCTGCGTGAACTTGAGCGTAGGGTCTGTTCCGTACGCCCTTCCCTTCTCAAGAAGTCTGTCCAAGATCCGTTTTTCGACCTCCGCGTTTGTGATGAGCGCCTCAATGCCCTCGACGTCTCTCTTTTTGATCAGCTCGACGATCTTGTCCCCCTCACTGATAAATTTAGCCTCTGCGACAAAACGGCCAAAATGGATCCTTCTCGACAGCGACTGCAGACACTCGATGTCGGCCATGGCGCACGAGCCCAGGTTGTCCTCCTGCTCTCCGCTGCCAGCAGCAATTCCTGGTACTATCTCTGAGGTGTAGATCTTGAGTATCTCGCTATTGACGTTGATTTCGTCCGCGTAGGAGGCCAGCACCGAAGGGTAGTTGATCTTGGGCAGGAACGTCTTTTCCAGCACGTGCGGGAAAAACGGCACCTCGTCTGGCGCGTCGTATCTCCTCACCTGCGAATGGATCCGCTCGTGCTGCGACAACAGCCAATCCAAGAACGAGCCGTCAAAGTTGGGGATAGGGAACTGATTGGCCTTGTACACCGAGGGCGACGCATAGAACTGCGAACGCTCAATGAAGTTGAAGATAATCGTGTCCTCCATCCGGACCAGGGCGTCTCTGATGTTGCCCAGGTCCAGCACTGTTTCTGGTTTCATGAAATCCATACCTATAAAAACTAAAGAGGAAAAAATACAAAAAATCGCTCTTCACGTGCGCTTGTCCTCGCCTAAAAGCCAGGACAGATGCCTGAACCATAGAAAGCGCTGTATGCGCTCCTCCTTGCTGTTGCCAAACCCGTAGTTCTCGCGCGCGTCTATAAGGTCATTTCGCGATTTCTCCGTCATTCGGATGCGTCTCACGAGCGACTCGCGGTACGTTCCGCCAATGTAATCGTCGTAGAATATGATGTGTGCAAACTGCAGTGCTGTGTATATGCCGGTGGCCACCAGCAGCGTGAGAAATATCGTCCGCCTGTTTTGCCGGAACGTCTCCATATTGCTGGCATTCGGCCCCATGTCTCTCCATGTGTTGTCTGTGTAGTATCCGAACCCAAAGTCCTGTTGGCCGTGCCACCTGTCCTCCCAGGTGCCGTACGTCGACGGACGATAATGACCGGCCTGCGGAGCGGTCTTGGGCCGGTACAGGCTGCTGGAGTTGTCCTCCCAGCCGATTCCGTAGTTATCGTAGTTCTGTCGTGTCTGAGGATTTTTCAGCAGAGCATACGCCGCAAGGATCCGCTTGAACCGGTGCTCTTTTTCCTTGCTTTCCAGCGCATCGTGCGCGGAGTCTGGATGATATACCTTGGCCAGCTCGTAGAACCGCCTTTTCAGCTCCTCCTGCTTCACGTTGCTCTGTTTCAAGCCGAGCACGTCGTAGGGCGTCGCATTCTTGAAGGTCGGATACATTTTGAGCAGCCGGCCGACGTTCGCGTCCGTGCCGTACCCCCGTCTGCAATAACGGGGAATAAGCATCATAGTCAGGAACTTTACGTATACTGTATATTGATCAACTCTATTTGCTCATGATTTTGGAGGCACCCCCACACCGTTTATATTGCGGAACATCCGAACACCGTTATCGCCTTCCACGAACTGGCACGCCTTGGCGGACTTCCACAGGGAGTACCACATGGACTCGTCGCTGTGGCGGTAGTGGACGCCCATGGCCTTCTTGATGCCCTCGGTGGCCGGTCTAGCGTTGTAGAAGGGAATACGGGAAACGTAGTGGTGCAGAACGTGGGTCTCTATGATGTCGTGGAAAAAGAACCAGCCAACGAAGCCAAACTCTCTATCGATCGTGGCGGCGGCGCCTCTAGCAAAAGTCCACTCGTTGTTGTCGTAGTGAGGCAGCGAGACGTCGGTGTGCTGCAGATACGTGATGAACACGAGCCAGTGGTTGGTGAAGACGTATGGCAGGAACCAGTTGACGAAGCAGTGGAAGCCGCCAAAGCTCTTGCACCACTGGTACACCACGAATGACTGGGCAAGCACGCCGATGTCGGAGAGCACGACGTACCAGTAGTCGCGCTTCTCAAAGATCGGAGACGCAGGGTTGAAGTGCGACACGGCAAACTTGTTGTGCTCTGGGTACTTTTGGCCCGTGACGTTGGTCAACAGATACCACCACCAGCCTCCGAACTGTTGTGCCAGCAGCGAGACCAGGATCTGGATCGGCGTGTCCTCAGAAAGCTCACTGAGCTTCACACGCGCGTCTCCAGCCCGGTCTTTTTTGAACTCCTCGACGGTTTTGGGAACGAAAACCATGTCCCTTGTGAGGTGTCCGGTGGCCTTGTGGTGTTTGCCGTGACTGTACTTCCACGAGAAGTACGGGACGTACAGGTAGGAGTGGATGACCCAGCCGACAGTGTCGTTAAGCCAGCCGTAGTCGGAAAAGGCCTGGTGGCCGCACTCGTGTCCCAAAACCCACAGACCCGTATAAGGCAGCGAGAGCAGGATCGCGTAACCCAGCCACAGGGCGCCTCTCACAGCCGTCCAGGGCACCTGCGGGATGTACGTGTTCGCCACCCAGCCCATGGCAAGACAAACGGCGATGTCTCTAAAAACGTAATAAAAGGACGTGGTCAGTCTGCGCTCGAAACACTCTTTAGGGATACTATCCAGAATCTCCTTTATGGAGTAGTCTGGTACTTGGAACTCGTTGCCCTCTGTGTCGAGGGCGCGCAGTCCCTTGGTGGACTTGTCACCAAAACGACGTTGTGTCACTGTGGTCGACATATTCTTGATAATTCTCCCGATCAAAAGAAAATTAATTTATCAGCTGGCCTGACTCGCTGCCCTGCCCCCACGAGAAAAAAAATTAAGTGAATCTACCAGATTTGGATTTTGTTGGGTCTGGCTGAGGAACAATGGGTCGTCGGGTGGTGCAAGGGTTTGCTGTGCTTTTCCGTCGATTTTAGATTTTTGGTTCTCCATATTTATCAACAAGCCATGAGCGAGATCCAGAAGAAACCCATTTCTTTTTCGAACATCCTGCTCGGGGCAGGGCTCAACATGTTTGAGGTCACCACGCTGGGCCAGCCTCTGGAGGTGGTCAAAACCACAATGGCCGCCAACCGGTCGCTCACGATTTTCCAGGCCACCAAACACGTCTGGTCGCGCGGAGGACTGTACGGTTTCTACCAGGGCCTGATCCCATGGGCCTGGATCGAGGCCAGCACAAAAGGTGCGGTGTTGCTGTTTGTCTCCTCAGAGGCCGAATATCGTCTCAAAGTGCTCGGAGCGTCTCCATTTGTGTCTGGAATCGGCGGAGGAATCACTGGTGGATTGTTCCAAGCATACCTGACGATGGGATTCTGCACGTGCATGAAGACCGTGGAGATCACGCGTCACAAGGCGGCCGCGGCTGGAGCTCCTGTTAAGAGCACCTTCGAGGTCTTCAGGGAGATCTTTGCCAAAGAGGGCATCAGAGGCATCAACAAGGGTGTCAACGCCGTGGCCATCAGACAGATGACCAATTGGGGTTCGAGATTCGGTCTGTCGCGGCTCGCAGAGGACAGCATCAGGTCGGTGACGGGCAAGAGCAAGGACGAGAAACTCGGAGCCGGCGAGAGAATCCTGTCGTCCGTGGTTGGCGGAGGTCTTTCTGCCTGGAACCAGCCCATTGAAGTGATTAGAGTCGAGATGCAGTCGCAGACCAAGGACCCTAACCGGCCCAAGAACATGAGCGTTCTTGGCGCAGCCAAGTACATTTATTCGAACAACGGCATCCGGGGCCTGTACAGAGGCGTGACTCCGAGAGTCATGCTGGGAGTTTGGCAAACGGTGTGCATGGTGACTCTGGGAGACTACGCCAAGGAGTTTGTTGCCGAGCTTACGGGCGAAACGCCTGCTGGACACTAAATAAATACTATTAGAGGGCTTACTTGTAATCTGGGCCATTTTGAAGGTCTGATGCTGGATATCACGAGCTCGCTCACTGCTTGCGCTGCACGCCCCATTTGTCGTAGCAGTAGAGCCCAATGAACGTCAGTGCGAGTCCTGTCCATTGGACGGCGCTGAGTTTCGTTCCCTCCACCAGGATCGAGCAGCTGATGATGATGATCCGTTTGAGGATGTTGGCGATGCTGTAGTTGATCGGACTCACCATTCCCAGAATCTGGAAGGCGACGACGCTCTGCACGAAATGCGAGAGTCCGTTGACGAGGATCAGGCCGGCCACGTAGCGGTCGATCTTCGCAAGCGACAAGCCAGAGTCTGACGAGAACTCCGAGAGCAGATACAGCGGCAGCGTCAGCACGAACCCCACAAACGAACAGTGGAACAGCACCGACATCTTGTCGAGCTTCTTCTCAGAGTTGGCGACCAGCTTGTTGAGAGACTGCGACGAGTTGCCCGACAGAGGCGTGACCGGCGGACTGAGGTGTTTCGGAGCCATCGCGATAGGAAGCATGGGCGTGGAGGTGGCCGACTCGCTCTTGACGATCTGGTAGTTGAGGCTGTGGGTGAAATAATCGCTCTTGAGGTCCTTGGTCTCGAAAGTGAGGACTTTCTTGGCAAAGATGTTTTGCGACACAAAGATGAGCATGGAGACGAACGCAAACGCGCAGCCCGTGTAGAAAAACTCCGAGTCGGCCGTGATTCGGTTGTTTTTCACACAGGACAACATGACGCCCACAACCAAAGGAAGCAGGGTCAGATACGTCCTGCTTCCAAACTTCTGCTTGAACAGGAAACGGTAGATCAACACCGTGGTCAGAGGCGAGAGCGCCTTGATCGTGTGGACCAAAGAGACGGGGATGACTGAGGTCGCCTTGTGCGACGCGATGTGGCCCACAAACTGGAACATTCCCATTGGGAGCGTTGTTTTCAGAACAAAAAGACTGGGGGCCACGAAGTCGGTGAGCGTGTAGCCGTAGCGGTTGAGCTCCAGTGGGAACGTGCCCTTCGGAAACTTGCCCAGCAGCGACGCGGACCCCCTGCCTGCGTACAAGGAGCTGGTGTTAAGGTGCTGACGGTGAGATGCAAACACGGCGTCATATTTCTTGACAAATGCCACGGTGAGGAAACAGCAGGCGGCGTTGATGACGAACTGGAGCTCTGTGAGCGTCACCGGGTAGTCGAAGCTGCGCAGGATGGATTTTGTGCTGTTTGAGGAAACAACGCTGACCGTGTACCAGACTGCGCATAGCAAGCACAATTTCCAGTCAATGAGGGGCAGCAGCGGCGATATGTTGTAAGACAGCTCTAGACGGAGCTCTGGAGCTTCTGGATGCTTGGGCGACCAAATCTTAAGAGCGTGGTTGAGAAAACGAGAGGAAGGGGACAAGATAATTATAGAAAAACAAGGTGTGTCAGGGGTGGCTGTACTTGTAAATAAAAAGGAATGGTCTGGACCTGACGAATTCGGCAACAGTTTGATTCAATAGAAATTTTTTATTGTTCGCTTAGGTAAACCATGTTCCCGATTAATGAAAAATTGCCCAATTCACCCATGCGAGGGTACCCCTTTCAAAAATCATGCGTCTTATGCAGACCAAGCGGAAGGCTGGTTGTCGTTCTTGGCCAACTCCCTGATCCAGGATGAATAAACCTCAATGCCCGGCAACTTCAAACTGGCTGGCATGCAGGGCTAAATCGCCTGTTTAAACTAATTTGAAGTTTTTTCTGCAATTTCTATGACATCAACGGTCGACCCTGGCAAGGTTATTTTTTGGCTGCGACAGCCACACAACCAGAGTTTTTGGCACACAGATCTAGAGGTCCGGCACACTCAGAACGGCGTCGGCGTGTTCGCCGCGCGGCCGATCGCGCCCGGCACAGTGCTCCTCAGCGTTCCCAAATCCTCTATCTTATCTGCGCATAACTCGTGTATAGCCAACCTCCTCTGCGACGCCCAGATCACCGGGATGCATGCCTTGGTGATCGCATTCCTGTACGAGAAAAACGTCGGTGCAGCTAGTCCGTGGGCTGAGTACATTAACTCCATAAACCTTGCTGACGCGATGCTGCCACCATGTATGTGGGGAACGCACGCCAAGTCGTTATTGGCTGGCACGGAGGCCGATCTCATGGGCGTCCTGGACAACACAGAGCTCGTTGCGCACTATGAGCTGGCCAGACGCTTTGCGGAGCAGCACGCGCCCATGATTCCTGCGCCTGCTGAGTTGGCTGACCTTTCGCGGTTCGCGGCCGTGGTTCTGGCCGTGGCGTCTCGTGCGTTTGAAATCGACCATTTCCACGTTTCAGGCCTGGTTCCTGGCGCCGATCTGTTCAACCACCACCCGGACGGCCAAGGGTCTGTGCATTTTGAGGCCCTTGCCGAGGTGTGCCCTGACTGTGGCAAGCTGGACTGTGGCCACGGCAGTGACGGCTCTGAGGACGAATCCGACGACTTTGAAGATCCGGAAGATCCCGACGCTCCGGCAGACGAACAGGACGCAGAGGAGGAAGAGAACTCCGAGCTATGCGATATTGTCAGTCACACGAGCATTGTGCCAAATACAGAAATATTCAACACCTATGGGCCCTTATCAAACGCCGAGCTGCTCGCAAGATACGCCTTCTGTGTCGAAGATAACCAGTACGACACCGTCTGCCTGGGAAAACAGGTGTCTGCACATAGAAAACGGGTCAACCGTGCCATTTCCAGACGGCTCCGGTGGTGGTCGCGCCAGAGCAAGCAGCCGTGGCTTCTGGAGTGCTACGTTGACGCCAACGGCACGCCGTCGCCGCAGCTGCGCTGCGTGGCCAAGCTCTTCACTGCTCCGGGCAAGACGCTATCGCGAACAAGGCTCGCAAGACTTACCCCTTCTGCCAGACGACTCATACAGCACTGGTGCGCGCAAAGAAAGCTGCCCGACGTGCCAATCCCCGTTCAAGACGCGACCACCGCGGCCCACATCCGATGCATCAGAAACAACGAGAATCGCATTCTGGACAAGTGCATTGCCAAACTAAACTACTAGTCTGTAAATAAGTCTCCCTGTTCGACCCACAAATGTAAGTGCTACGCTGATGTAATCACCCCAAAACAAAATTTTCCAATTGGACAAACAAACACTTCATCGACCCTCATAATATTCATGTTTAGGGCAACCAAATTCCATCCTGCCGCGCGCCAGGCGGTGTATGGCGTCAGATTCCAGTCCACCATACCGGTCAAGAGCGCCAAGAGGTCGCAGCCGTTCAGAAGGTTCCTGTTCCGGCTGTCCCTGTTGACGGCAACGTTCTACCTTGGAGGCGGCTTCATTGCCACGAAGAACGACACCGTGCAGGATCTGTTTGAGGACTACGTGCCGTTCGGTGACTCTGTGGTGTCAACCATTGACTACTACCTATATCACAGGGACGAGCTTCTGAGCCCCTTCTCCAGGGTCAATGATTCGTTTGCCGACGTGAAGGAGAAGCTGGGTCTGGAGAAGACCATCACGATTCCAAAACAGGGGGTGCAGAGCGACAAGGTCGAGCTGAAGGAGGGTCCGGCCGCTGGCGCTACCGAGGTCGCTGTGGGCCGCAGCCTGCCGCTCCTGCACCTCGAGTCAGGCGACGAGGTGATCGACAGCACCGTCAATGCGTTGAACGAGCTGATTGCCGCATTGAACCTGAAAGTGGCCAGCTTTGAGAACTACGAGGTTGTGGAGTCGTTGCAGAAGAGTCTGCTGCTCCTGGCCGAGAAATACCGCGCCATCAGCTTATCCAAGAGCCAGGAACAGGCCAGTCTCGACGATAAGCTGAAAGCTCAGCTGAGCGAGAAGGAGGTTGAGCTGACGGAGGAGTTTGTGCAGAAGTTGGAAGAGGCGAAGAAGCAGATCGAGGAACGCCATTTACGGCAACTGAGGGTCGAGGTGGAGGCCGCCAGACAGAAGATCGAGCTCGAGGCAGCTAATTTGATAGAGCAGTCCAAGCTGGCAGCCATTGACGAGTTCAACAAGGTGATCAGCGAGAAAATCGACTCGGAGAGAAGTGCAAAACTCAAAGGTCTGGAGGCTCTGGCCGCCAGAGTGGCCGATATTGAAAAGTACGAGCTTGAGCTCGGAAAGAGTGCTGAAATGTACTTCTCGTACAAAGAGATCAAAAAAAGCGTCAGCTCTCTGCAAAAACTGCTTTGCACGAACGAGACCTCGCCGAAACGCGGCGAAGAGCTTGTTGCCGAGCTGACCAAGCTGAAGCAGCTTGTTGCTCCGCTGGACAACCAGCTGATCACGGAGGCCGTGGCTGCTCTGCCATCGAACGACAAGCTTCTGAGAAGCGGCGGTGTGCTGACCCAGTCCCAGTTGATCTCCAGATGGGAGCTGCTTCTGCCGGAGCTGAGATCCGTGTCTCTGCTTCCACCGAATGCCGGTCTTGTCGGCCACATCTCGTCGCTTGTTTTCTCGAAATTGCTGTTTTCCAAGTCTGGCAAGCCTGTCAAAACCGAGGACGACCTCATTGGCAGCGACATCGAGTCTGTGATCGCCAGAGTGAACAACTATCTTGTCAAGAACGAGCTGGACAACGCTGTCGAGGAGGTGTCCAACATGAAGGGCTGGGCAAGAAGACTTGCCGACGACTGGCTGGTCGAGAGCAGACGCAAGCTAGAGCTGCAATTTTTGATCGATCTGGTCGACACAGAGGTGAACGTCAGTTTGTAGAGAAATATAGAAATAAATGAAGGAACACTAGAGCATCAATATTTTTTCTGATTATTTTTCCATTTGTGTATTTTATTTACTTCGATGACCGCCGCGCCACAGGTTTACGGAGCAGACGAGATCAACGCCATTGTGATCGACCCGGGATCGTACCAGACGAAGATTGGCTATGCAGGCTACGACTCGCCCAGCATGGTGCTTCCGTCGTATTACGGCCTGGTCGACGCAGACGGCAACAAGAGACGCATTTTCGACGAGACTCTGCTGCTTTTGCCGCAGAAAGGCTTGGAAATCAAACACATAGTCAGGAACAACGCCGTGGTCGACTGGGAAGGCTTCGAGGCACAATTGGAGTACATGTTCAAGAAGCTAGACATTGATCCTACTCAGCAGCCCGTGCTGCTGACCGAGTCCACCATGAGCTCGTACGAGAGTAAAGTCAACGCGCTGAAGCTGTTTCTGGAGAAACACAGGTTTCCTGCCTTCTACCTCGTGAAGCAGCCAACAACAGTGTCTTTTGCGCATGGCCGGCCCAACTGTCTCGTGGTGGACGTTGGCCATGATCTGGTCACCGTGACGCCCATCGTGGACGGGCTGTGTCTGAAAAACCAGGTCATGGGCACGCGGTATGCGGGCGCTTTTCTCAACCAGCAGTTTGAGCAGTTCCTGCAAGACAAGAAGATCGCGTTGCGGCCTCATTACATGATCAAGTCGAAAAAGATAGTTCACTGGGAGTCCGAGACGACCGCGGCGCACTTTGAGGAGCGCAAGTACGATTTCGAGGTGTCTGGGTCGTTTCGCGACTACTCCAAGCTGAGGATACTCCAGGAGATGAAAGAGACGCTACTCAACTGCATGGACGAGGACAACGAGGAGGCCAAGGAGGACAGGGAGGCCGACGACGAGGTGCGGTGGTTTGAGCTGCCCGATGGCATTGCGGTTCCTTTTTCCAAAAAGGACCGCACCGTGCTGAGCAACTCGCTGTTTAGTCCGCTCGAAACGCTCTCTAAGCCGGTCAAGGGCTGGGAGACGCCTGAGGACGGGAATATTGTCAAGCATCTGGGCAACGCAAACGAGGCCAGCAGCAAGGAGTACGTGCCTATGAGAAGAGCCAAGAAACCAGAGGACGACGACAAGGACAAGCCGGAGGAGGATGCCGCCGGGGCCCAGAAGGGCTTTGGACTGCTCAGGCTCGTTCAGACCGTTCTAGACCGGCTGGACATCGATCTGAAGCCCCAACTGGCCAACAACATCGTTCTTGTCGGCAGCACGTCGCTCGTGCCGGGCCTAAACGCCAAGCTGCACTCTGAGCTGTCGCTGGCCAATCCTAGCCTTAAAATCAGGATCCACGCTTCTGGAAACACCATAGAGAGAAGATACGCCTCGTGGGTCGGGGGCAGTATTTTGTCGTCGCTCGGAACGTTCCACCAACTGTGGGTCAGCAAAGGCGAGCTGGACGCTGTTGGGGCAGAAAAGCTGATCGTCAATAGATTTAGATGATATATTACAAGTATCCACCGATTTGCCAATACTTCACCAGGTCGAGCCACGAAGCGACACGCAGCTCGTCGTCGGTGCTGTTATGGCCGCGCCAAATCTCAAAGAGCGCCTGCTTGCCGATCCAGCGGTCGCCTGCGTCGAACGCCGTGCGGCCAAGAATGTCGTAGCGGGTCTGCAGCTCCTCGTCGAGAGCGTCGGAGCCAGAAAGGAAAAAGCACCAAAACGGCAGCTTGACACGCAAACTGGCCGTGCGATGCGCGCGCAGCTTCAAGTTCCACAGGGCCTCCAGATGGTACAGCGTGGACGCAACGTGGCCCTGCAGCTGGCTGGGGTGCGACTCCTTGATGATGCGGTAGAAAAACATGAGCGTCGTGTAGTAAAAGCACACCGACAGATGGTACACGCTCTCGTGCAGGGGGCTGTGAAAATACAACCCGCTGTCGCGCTGCTCGTACAGCACCCACGGAAGCTTCCAGTTGCGCAGATCCTCTTCCAGGTCGCAGCACTGCTTGGGGAAATTGCGTGGATACACTTTTTTCCGCAGAATGTAATTTCTGCGGTCGGACAGCTCGACGGTGCGCTCCATCAGCTCGAGCAGACTGCGGGGGATTCCGAAATTGAGCTCGATCGGAGAGAACGGCAGGCTCGTGATAGGAAACTTGAACTGAATGGGCCCGCCCTCGTCCACGTTGTCTTCCTCCTCGTCGTCCTCCGACTCCAGCTGCTGGCCGTAGGTAAAACGCACCACGTACTTTCGCGGAGGCTTGTCTTCGACCGGCGGGCGTTGGGCCAGCTTGCGCGGCACGTTGCTCAGCTGAACGTTCTCCCAGCTCTCCTGCACCACCAGCTGCTTGATTTCAATTTTTGTCGGGTCCTCCAGTGGCAGAACCACCTGCTTGAGGTCCAATTTTTCCTCCTCTAAGTGGTAGTTCTCGATGTCGATGATCGACGTCGACTTGAAGAACATGTTGAGGTACCGCAGCCACAGTATAAGGTCCTTCGTGCTGCTCTCCAGCTCGCGTGTCTCGAGAAGCTTGCAGATGCCGCCTGCGACGCCGTGCAGAAACTTGTAATTATGGAATATGCTCATGGCCTCGTCCTGTTTGATGGCCATCAAAATCACCATCAGCAGCTGGTCAATCATGCCATCCTGCAGCATCACGTCCAACAGCTTGTCGTTCGTCACCTCCGGCCGCTCGCCCTTCATACTCACTAGCGGACTCAGGACACAGCTCAGGTTGGCCAAGCTGGCCTCGCGCAAATAAATGAACGCCCGCAGCAGAGACATCGAGCTCTCGTGTTCTCCAGAGATGTGGAAAAGCGCCTGGTACCTGCCCAGCGTCGAAATGGCGAGCGACTCCAGCACAAAGGTCTGTTTCAGCAAGTAGAATAAACTGCCGTGCTCTGATTTCCGGGCTTTTTGCACCACCAGCTCGCCGACGTCGCGAAGCAGGGTCGGCACCACCAGCTTGTCCAAAATGCCGTCTTTGTAGGCCACAAAAACGAGGCTGGTACATTGGCGTGAAAACTGCTGGATCCACCCGCGTGTCCTGGGGTGCTCGAGAAAATCGAGGAACACGTCGTCCGTGCTGCGAGGACCCAGCTCCAGCACTAATTTTTTCATATAACTCTCCGTTATGGCCTCGTTCTCGGCGTCACCCAGCATGATCCGGTCCACAAGCCTATTGCGCGGCGTGCTGCCATGGTACTCGGCAAAAATCTCCCGCATCACCATCTCCCAGTCGTTGGTGTTGACCATAGCGTCTCCGACCATCGTCCGATACGTCAAGAGCGCATCCACTTGCAACCGCGGATGTAGCCACAGTTCCCGAGGAATAATCGTCTCGAAAGACGGAGCAACAAACGATGACGGCGCAGCAGCAAAGGCTGTCCGCTCCACCTTGTCGTCTTTATTCAAGCGGAACACTCCAAAGGGCCCAATAAATCGCTCCTCGCTGCCGTCAATCTTGTCCAAATCGGAGTCCATGTCTTCTGGAAATAGATACCCGTTGCGAAATGTCATAAAGGGAACCTGTCTGCGCTGATGCTGGACAACAGGGCCGCCTCCACTCACCTCGAGACCTCTCGGACCAGCGATGAGATACTCATAGAAGCGAAGACGAATCCCGTATCCAAGACACTCGACATTGGCCTTTTCGCAGCGCAAACACTGCGGCCGTCGGCCGTCACACTTGACCTTGCGATTTCGACAGGTGTCACAGCCGGTGAAAGTCCGTCGCTTGATAGGAGCCATTTACTAAAAAAATGGTGTAGAGTTTTATTTCAGTATAATTAATTAATGCTCTAATGTTCCTACTCGCTGATAGCCAGGTCGTCCTCGAGGTCCACGCGGCGGAGCTTTTTGCGGTTTGACTTAGTTGGAGATAAAGAGTGCTTGCGCAGAGGCTCTGTCTCGACAAGCTTGTTCGTTGGCTTCAGAATCTCGTTCTGGCTTTGGCTCTGACTTTGCATCTGCTCGCCCTTATCTGTCTTCTTGCTCTTCTTCTTGCGCCCAGGAGATTTGCGCACCGACGACTCTCTTTGTGGAGAGTGGTCCTCGAAAATGGAGATCGGCATGTTCATGTTCGTCGTGTAAAGATCGGTAGGGAATAGGTACGGAGACTTGGCTGGAGATATAGCTGGAGACCGGGACGGTGTCTTGCCACGGTCTACGGAGTCCAGAACATTTATTTTGGTCTTCATGGACTCCAGTTGCGATCTCAAGTGTCTGATATCGTTCTTGCTTTTTGTCTCCACCTCCGCAAGCTTGGTCTTCAGATCCTTGATCTCGCTTTCCTTGGACTCCAATTCCTTTGCCATTTCCTCGGTACTGTGATTCATCTCCGATATCTGCTTGTCATGGGTGTTTTGGAAGTCAGCCATCATGACGTTATTCGTCTCCAGCTCCTTGACCAGGGAGTCAATGCGTTCACGAAGAGGCGCCATCTGTTTCTCGTGTTCATTCTTCAGACGTTCAAGCTCGTTTTTGTGCTGCTTCTTGAGAGATTCAACAACTTGATCGTGCTGGGTTTTCAAAGTCTTGGTTTTCTCGTGCTCAGATGCCAGATTCTTGGAACTTTCTTGCATCAGAGTGTTCAGAGATTGAATCTCCTTTTCGCGCACTTGAATCTCCGCTTCCAGTCTCGCTTGATACTCCTCCTCCAACTTCTTGACTCTGTGGCCGACTTCCACAGAGTTGCTGGATAGTTCTTGTTGCAGTTTGGCATTATTATCCCTCAACTCTTTTATCTCAGACTCCTTAATCGCGAGTTCGCAATCCATCTTGCGACCTTGCTCCTCTGCTTCTTCGACCATCTTGCGCAACTTGTCACTGTATTCTAGAGACCCATGAAGCTCTTGTTGAGTTTCCTTGAGTTTCTGCTCATGTTGCTCCTTCAATTCATTGACTTGGGCTTCCAGAAGTTCGTTGAGTTGCTTCAGCTGCTCACACTTGTACTTGAGCTCCTCAACCAAGGCCTTGGACTTTTGAAGTTCCTCGTTTTTGAAGTTCATCTCGCGATCAAGTTTTTCCTGATAACACTGGGACAGTTCTTTGAGCTTAGAGTCTGTTTCGAGCTCGTGTTCTTGATTAAGTTGGAAAATTTCATTTTTGTGCTCCGCAGCTATTTGGTTCAGTTTGGCCTCATTTTCCTCATAGAGTTCCTGGCGAGTACGAATTTCCGTTTGTACCACTTCCTCTTCGAGCTTAGCCACCTTGGTTTCTAGCTTCTGCTGGTATAGCTTCAGCGTATCTAATTGGCATAGCAGCTCATGTTGATTCTTACTATCGACAACACTTTTAATCTGAGAGGATGCAGAGAAAGTATGTCTGGGAATTTTCTGGTATTGGATTGGATTGACGTATCTCAAAGTCTGAAGAATCAGACCCTCATCTCCGGCAGGATCCAGATTGACAATGATGGAGATCAAGCTTTTGCTTTTGACGTAGTCATGGAAAATCAGACGAGTCAGCTTATTGGTGCGCAACAAAGACTTGTTGAACTGCTTAGTGGCAACCAGCTCCAGACACCTTCCAAGCTGCGTTAATGAAGCATTAGTGAAGCCTCCCTCCCTCAGATTCAGGCCGCTTGTCATGGATAGCTTGGATCTTTCCAAGCCAGCGAGGTCTGCGAGAGTTAGTCTGGAACTATTGACACTTCTGTCCGAAATGCGAACAATGTTGATAAACACAAAACAATGAGACCTCGAGGAGTCTCTGTTGACATGGGTGGTGGAGGTTTTCCTGTTCGAAAGACCACGATTTAAAGTTCTGATTGAGCTTTCAAAGTCGCTGACCATGAATTGAGACAGATTGTAAGGCTTTAGTTTCTGATCGACTGGGTCTGTGATGATATCCAGGAAGGATTTTGATTTTCTGGTGGTGGAGTTCATAAGCAGATCTTTGATGTTGTCGTTGTAGATCTCAAACATCGATAGCGTGACTGCGTACTCAGAGTCCACAAGCTCCTGCGGAGAAGTATTACCGTTCCACAAATTGCTCATGAGACCTGCCAGCTTTTTGTGATCGGTGCTGATATCTCCATATTGAGACAATCTGTCAAACACATACCGAAGAGAATTCACGGCAAGGCCCGTAGCTGGATCAAATATAGTATGTGTCTTACCAGAATTGGAGGGACCCAAGGTAAAAAGCAAGCAATCTTGTCCTTTGAATAGCCGGTCGTCCAGAATAGGTTTTCCCACGGTTTCAAACAGGCGTTCGGGTTCCTGTGAGATGGATTTGAAGTCAAACGAAGCATCGAATTTGGAGAACTCAATCTGGTTTGGATTGGTCTCACTCCTTCTGAAAACTGGGACGAAATCGCCCGAAAACTGTCTTGTGCTCAAGTGAAGGTCCATATGTTTATATTTGTTTGTTTATTTTTTTCTCAAAAAGCTCAAACTAAAGAAGGATCAAAAGTTTGATTCAGAATTTAGGGAGCTAACGTAGGATTGCCACACAGTTTTTGTTTTCAAGCCCATGGAGCTCTGGTATACTATTTCAAATGGTCTTAGGATCACGGGAAGTATTGTTCCCGCCTTTCAGCAGGCCCGACAACTAACCCAGAAACAATAAATCTGATAGCCCGCGTAACTTTCTTTGGTGTCTGCTGTATCATTTCCTCAGTTACATTGGTAGGCGTGTTCTACCTCTGGATAGACCCAAAATTGCTGATAGAGTGGATAGCACGCTTTTACAGAAGGGTTTACTACGGGGACGGCAACTAAAAGTCGATCGACGCGAAAATATTTGTTTTAATTTACTTAGCAAGATATGGGCGAGACCGACAAGAAAGAGGCAGCTCAGGAAAAGCAGGAGCCTGATTCGAAGCCCGAAGCCCTTCAATTGCCCGAAAAGAAGAGACCTTTCGATGAAGAAGAGAAAGAGGACGTGAAGAAAGCAAAGAGCGTGAAGAAAAACGAGGAAACGCAGGAGGAGAAGACGCAGGAAAGTGACACAAGACTGGACGGTGCTGCCGCAAACGATACCGAGAAAAAGGAGGACAGCACTTCCAGCGAGACAGACAAAAATTCCGATGTGATAGACGAAAAGAAAGAGAAACCAGAGACCAAGTTTGTATTTGGTGCTCGGACAACGTTTGGGCAAGCCAGTGGGTTTTCTATGCTCTCGAAAAAGAATGTTTTCGGAAAGCAAGACGGCAAAGATCAGGACAAGACAGAGGAAAAGCAAGAAGCACCAAAGAGCGTATTTGGTAGCGGGTCAACTTTTGGAAATGCGTTCCAACATGCAGTTGGCAAAAAATCAATATTCGATGAGCCTCAGCAAAGCTCTGCAGAGGCCGAGGACAAGGAGGGGGTGTCGAAGGAGGTATACAAAAAGGTTCACCTTGAAAAACAGGAAGTGAAGTCAGGGGAAGAGGAAGAGGAGACTCTGTTTCAGGTCAAGGCGAAATTGTACCACATGGATTTGACCAATGTTTCCGAAGGATGGAGGGAAAAAGGAGTTGGCATTTTGAAAGTGAACAGATTTATCAACCCAACCAAGCATTACCACGCTCGGCTTGTCATGCGTCAGGACGGTATATTGAAGCTGATTTTGAACGTGCCAATTGTGAAAGGAGTGGAGGTCTTCAAAGGAATGGCCAGCTCTTTGAATAGCGATAAGTTCATTCGAGTTCAGCTCGTCGAGGACTCGAAACCCGTACAATACGCGTTCAAGATTGGAATGGTGGAGAACTCTTCGAAACTCTACAACGTGATCGAGAGCTTGGTAAAAGAAGTGAACTAATCTTACTTGCGCTTGAAAGCAACAGTACATATGGCCGAGCCTTTCACTCCGCCGAACTCGAACACCGGATAGTCGATAGTCTTCCAAACCTCAAAGTTGTCGGACGCCGTTATCACCTTGATGAGCTCATCCTGGGTGAAATTGCACGACGTGACTAGCAAAACCGCATTTTTTTTCAGCAACATTTTCACCGTGTCTGGATACACTTCCTGTCCTGTTTTGCCGTCATAGAGGTTGTCGCTGAGGGCGATCGCATCCAATGTGCCTTTGTCCAATACCAGATCGAAATTTCCCGCATTGGTCTTGAGAAACTGGTCCTCCAGATTGAGTATATCGCTTTGATAGAACTTTACATCCAGATCATGAGTTTCTGCGATAGTCTTGGCGAACTGGACGCTGGCCTCACTGTAGTCAACTCCCACGAGTTGTCCCTTCCAGCCTTCCTGTAGGATCTCGAAAAGCAGATGACCGTTTCCTGTGCCAAGATCGCAGATGGAGACGTTAGGATCGAGGTTCGAGAACACAAAGTCTACGATTCTCTCCTCGGCGCCTGCGTCCGCAAACCAGCACTCGCCCGTGTCTTCTGGATTTTCTGCAAAGTTCTCCTTCTCGAGTTTGTAGAAATTGTCCCAGTACTCTTTAGTGCCGAGTTTCGAGTGGTTGAGTTTAGTAGTGTCCATTCGTTCCAAGAGAAAAAAAAACTGCGTCGATCGTCTCAACAAGAAGCCACACCGGAACGCGTATTGCGGCGAGCGCAGCCCCAGCAGCGCTTGCTTCCCACGGGATGCACGGCGATGCTGGAAGTAATTACCCTTTTGGCCCCGTCGCTCCGCGTCACTCCGAACGAGGTCGATTCTCGATAAGCTCTTTCTCCATTTGGAAGTGGGATGCGCGGGATGGTCGAGGGCGTCGGTATATATTTTTCACTGATAAGTAGTCCAAACATGTACCGTTTATCTTGGGCCAAGCAATCGAACAGCACGTTTTATAGAAGCATGTCCACGGTGAAAGTTCTCAGATTTGGACCAATCAGATACGCCCAGGAGGCGTGGCAGAAGCTCGAGCAGAGACCCAACGTGGAGGTGGTGGAGAGCGGGGCTTCGTCCAGGGCGGAGTTCCTGAAGGAGCTCGACGAGGGCAAGTTCAAGGATGTCAACGTCATCGCCAGAACGTTTGAGAGTGTCAAGCAGACCGGGCTGCTTGACAAAGAGCTGCTGGCCCTGTTGAAGGAGAAGACGTCTCTCCAAGCCATCTCCCACAACGGCGCCGGTTACGACCAGGTGGACGCTGTTGAGTGCGGCAGGCTTGGAATCCAGGTGTCGAACGTGCCTTCGCTCGTCGATGCGGCTACTGCAGACACACATATTTACCTCCTTTTGGGAGCACTGAGGAACTTCCAGGACTCGACGCTGAGAATGCTGCAGGGTAAGTGGCCGAGCGAAAAATGTGCCGGCACTCCAGTTGGCCACGACCCCGAAGGCAAGGTGCTGGGAATCTACGGAATGGGCGGCATTGGCCGTGCAGTGAGAGACAGGGCCAAACCGTTTGGGTTCAGAAAGATTCTGTACCACAACCGGAACCGTCTTGCTCCGGAGTTGGAGCAAGGCGCCGAGTACGTGAGCATGGACGAGCTGCTGAGCCAAGCGGACGTGATCTCCATCAACATCCCGCTCAACGACGCGACGAGACACTCGATCAACAAGGACACCATCGCCAAGATGAAAGACGGCGTGGTGATTGTCAACACTGCCAGAGGCCCCATTGTCGACGAGAGCGCCCTTCTGCCTGCTCTCAAGAGCGGGAAAGTGGGCGCTTTCGGGTCGGACGTTTTCGAGAACGAGCCCAACGTCAACATGGAGCTGATCCGGCAGCCGAACGTGGTGTCGCTGCCTCACATGGGGACGCACACCGTCGAGACGATGAAGGCCATGGAGGAGTTTGTCGTCCAGAACGTTGCGGCTTTCGTTGACCAGGGCAAGGTGCTGTCGATTGTGCCTGAGCTGAAGGGTAAATTTTGAGTGGCAGGTGCTCACCCAGTGCCACATGCAGCCATGTAGCAAAACATTTTTTTAGAAAAATATGATTCTCACTCCGCAGCGATTAGTACAGTTATCCAGTGCCCCACGGCTGGGCAATATGTGGTATCTGATAGCGACGGTCACGCTGACCGTTTGCAACCAGCCCCAGGAGATCCCAAAGTTGTACCACTATGCTCTCCACGTGAAGCACGGGCTGGGTAAGCCGTCCGAGGAGCTGTACCACCGCGTGGCCCAGACGATCGAGTCTGTCTCGGCGGACATCAACAGCTGTCCGTACGAAGTCGAGGCCGGCCTCAAGCTGTCTGATAAATTCAGAGAAAGCATTCTCAAGACGGCCGCGCTGAGCGGACTGCCCAAGGCGATCAACTCCCTGATGATTTTGCGGGAGACTACGCCGAAGCCGCTGCGCGCCACCGGAGACGTGAAACGGCGGGCAATTGAATCGTTTGCAGACTACGAAGCAGAACAGGACCGGGGCCTGAGGTTCTGGAAAACCATCTACAGCAAGATAAGCGGCCGGGTCATCAACCAGATGAGCTCGTCGTATCCAGATCTATGGACGTACACCATCCAGCATGTCTATTCGCCGCTACTGTCGTTTTCGGACGTGCTGACTCCGCAGGAAACCTCTATGATCGTGATATCGTGTCTTATTCCGCAGGACGTGAATCCGCAACTCAAGGGCCACTTGAAAGGCGCGCTGAACCTTGGTCTGGATCTCGAAACGGTGAGAGAATGTCGCGAGATGGCCATCGAGATCAGCAAGTGGTGCGGCATGGTGTGGAAAGCCGAGGTCGCCAAGCTCTAGCGGCGGCTACGACTCGCCAACTTCCATCCTTTCCAGAGCTTCAGTTTCCTGAGCAACCGGAACCTCCTTCTCCTTTTGAGGCCTCCCTACGTCGAGAAACCGGTTCATCTCCTCGTCGCTCTTGCCGAACAGCTGGTACCAGAACCGCACGTTGTTATAGTTCGGGTATATTATTTCCTGCTCTTCGCGGTAGCCAGGATTACTGAATTCGCGCTTTCTGCTCTTGAAGTAGTTCCACACCGACTGGGTCCTGGATTCGAGCTGGAACTCCTTTTTCTCTCGTTCGCAGTCGTACAGGAACGTTCCGTACTGACAAGAATACAGATGGTACACGAGACGGCGCAGGAACCGCTCGTTGAACTCGAACTGCTCTGGGTGCTGGCGCATTAGCTGGTACACACAGTCGAGGAACTGCTGGAAGACCGGGCTTTCCAGCTTGGTGTTCTGATGATGCTTGAAATGCTGGTTCAGCTGCTTGATTTTCTGGAAATTCGTGTCCTGCGCATAGTTGTAGAATTTGGTTTCTCGTTGCAGATGGCCGCACCGCTCGTTAAAGCGGTGGCCAAAAGAACACCAGTCTTTCTCCACCAGAACCACAAACCCGTCCAACGTGCGGAAGTACGGGTCGAGACAGAGCTGCACCAGCGACGCTACCTGCGCCGTTCTGTCCCAGCCGTCAGAACAGTGCAGCATAAGATGCATGCCGTTGAGATGGATGGTTTTGACTAGCAAGTCTGTAGCCTTGAGCAAATTTGAAATGTGATCGAGCCACCCCGATTTGATCAGCAGCTCAGGGTTGTACAGCTGCGTGGACACATCGCTGTTTTTCAGCACCTCCTTTATTTTATTCAGGCTCTCTCTCATGACGTGAATATTCTCGATGTTGAGAAACACTTTTTTGCAATTGGGATAGTTTTCCATCACCTCTGTGCCGGCGCCCAGAGCGGCCTGGGCCATTGCATTGGTCATGGGCCGTGCGTCGACAATCAGATTCGTCGTCGCCTGGCGCCCGTTTGTCGCGAATATCTCCGTCAACAGCTTTTCGTCCTGCAGCGAGCGGTTTTGCTTGATTCCGGTCAATGGCTGCGCGCTGCGCACAATGCACGCCCCGTTCTTTCTGTAGTAGTATGTCAATGCTGGGAATCTATTCTTAGACCGGAATTTCACGGAGTGCGCGAGAATGGTGTCGCTGATGCTTCGAGGCACCGCCGTGTGCGACGGGTAGCTACGACAAAGCCGATAGTCGCTGTTGAGCGTCGATAGTCGCCACGGGCCCGCGTCCATGTCCAGACCCTGTCTTTGCAACTCGCCGCGCACATGGTAGTCGTTCCAGCCGTCGAACGCAACTTCGATCTTGATGGGCGTGTAGAGAAATGCGTAAACCTTGTCTATCTCGTCGATACACGTCAACTTCATGATGCTCTCAAAAACGTCCTGACACTGGGACAGATCGGCAAAATCGAACGCCAAGTACGTGAAATCGCGACATCGCACCCGCAGAGACGCGCCTCTGCACAGAGACGGATGAGTTTCCCCGTCCAGCAAGTACAGCCGAGACGACCCTCTGTTGAGCTCGACCTTCTCGATCATCGGATAACAGCACCACAGTTCCCTGATGCCCGACGTAGACGGCGGGAGCGTAAAGATCAGGTGGTGCGTGGTCAGGTGCAGTGTTCCTTTGTGGGAGACCCCCCGTCGGAACAGCAGAACGTCGTCCACCTTTGTAATTTTGATGTATTCCATATAAAGATAAGATTTAATAGCCAGAAAAATATTTTGTCGTTTCTATTATATCACTCCTTCCATTCCGCCATCCACCGCCTTGCCAGTTCGTCCTTGATCCACCTGCTCTTGTTTCTCCAGCTGCCCATCGACCAGAAATGGTGCTGGTTGAACACAGGGGCCTGTCTAGGCGGGTCCGGTTCTGTCTTTTTTGCGCTCCCAGCAGCATCCTCCGACTTCGCTTTTTCCCACGGCCGGACCATCTTTGGTCCGAGCCACTGCCCCATGCGCCAGCGGCGGCCGCACGTCATCTCGTAGATCCGGCTCACCGCACGCTTGTATGCAAACATCTCGTCCTCACCGGTGAATTTTCCAATATCCTTGAAATTGGTCTCCACTTGGCTCTGCGTGAACTCGTTCTTGCCCTCCTCGTAGCTCTGGACGTTTGGCCGGTACGGGTTCTCCAGATACAGTTGTGTCCTCGCAAACATCTCTTCCTCGAGGATCTGCTGGTTGTTGGACCGCCCGTCGTCTGGCTGCCGCATATCAGGGAAGAACAGACGCGACGGCTCGGCGTCCATGCGAAACACAACGTTGCAGCGTGCCTCGTATAGCGAGTCGAGCAGCGTGATGAACCGTCTGGCCTCGCTCCTTTTTTTCGTCGTCAATACGGGTATTTCGTCGACCACCAGTGTGTGGAACCTCGAAGCCAGCGAAATATATTCGCTGGGCCCATAGTACGAGTCGCCGCACAAGTCGTCGAACTTGAACAGAGCAACGCCGTCTGCCTGCGCAGGAACACGGATCTGGCGGCCGTAGCTGAGGAAGTGCGTTTCCCTGGGTTTTTCGGTCACCACCGAGCGCACCAGTTCTTGCCATTTTTTTTCGTGCTCCGGGTGCTCCTTTACCACGAGATGGGGGCGGGCACCGCGGTCAATCAGCTGCATCCGGTAGTCGCAGTCACTGTTCATGTCAAACACCTGGCAGCGCATCTTGAGCACGCGCTCGAAGCTCTGGAACTGCGTCTTGTTGAAATCCGTCGAGTACAGCTCCTCGGGCAGTCTGTTGGAGGTGGCCACCAGAACTCCGCCGAGCTTGAAAAAATAGGTAAACAGGATCTTGACGATCTTGGCCGACGCCAGGTCGGGCAGCATGAACTCGTCCAGCATCAGCACGTAGTGGTTGCGGATCATCTTCGAGGCCACCTCGAGAAGGATGAACTCGTTCTCCAGCCACAGGAAGCTGTGTTTGCTGTGGCTCTCTCGTTTGCGGCGCTCGTAGATCGAGTGGATCTCTGCGTACACCCACAGAATGAAGTTGTTGTAGTGGATGCGCAGCTTCCGCTCCACTGGCAGCGAGTCGGCAAAAATATTAAGCAGCATCGACTTGCCGCACCCAACTTCTCCGTTCACCAGAAGGCCCTGCGGAGCCGGGATGTTGTACAGCTCTTCCTCGTTGCTCAGCACGCGCACAAGCTCTTTGCGCTCCTTCTCGGCCTTGCGGTCGCCCCACGCCTGTCTATAGCCGATGGTACGGTACAGGAGCCCCGCGTGCTGCTGGTCGTACCGCATCTCCAGCTGTCTCACGAGATTGTTCATCTGGAGCTGCTTATCATTAGGAACGTAGTCCTTGAGCCGGAAGTAGAGTTTCTGGAACTCAAGGGCGGCCCGATGCTGGTGCTCGTCCGGCTGCAAAAGGTCTGAGGCGAGATAGGCTCTGTAGATCTGGTATGGGTCGGTCAAAACCAGGCCCGAGGGCCCTGGAGGCTCTGCCGGTCGGCGAAGCGGAGTCGTGCCAATGTGGAGACCGCGCCAGCAGGCTCGCCGCGTCAGCGGGACCGCAGTTCTCAAAATATTTAGCATCACTTTCGCACTTTGCGGACAAGACAAGATAAATTCAGGTGCTGACTTGATTTATATAATAATAATTCGTATTGACAGAAATAAGAATCTTTAGATCACAGACCTCGTATATATCGCCAGACCGCTTTGCCTTGCCAGCCGGCATCACCGTCATAACTGTATGCTTTGCTGTCTTTTCATCACCCAGAGCTGGCATCCGCAAAAGAGGAAGAACAGCGCATACAGACCGACTGCTCCAAACACTGTCTTGGCCACACTGCTGTTAGTAGCACGCAATTGCAGAAAATACTCACGCCTTGCCGTCTTCTGGGTCGTTGATCGAGCCCATCATGGTCTCATGATCGTTGTAGAATAACGCCCCAATAATGGACAATATCACTATCCCGAAAGCGGAGATCAGTGTACAAGCCCACGCGCTACCCGACTCTCTGTTAGCACGCCGTCAGCTGGACTTTACTTACAGACACAACCGGTTTCATTCTGCTGTCAATCTATAATTTAGTTTAAATTAATTAATACCTCCGGGTAACATTAGCTTTCATTTTCTCAAGATACATATCATGGCCGTTCCGTACAATTAGTCTAGTTTGGCTTCGGGAAACCTTCCTGATCCACGCTGATCCGCGCCTTCTTGCGCAATCGCTCCAGTTCCTCGCTGTCTCTTTGACTACCTTTCTCCACCACCAGATTTCGGAGCAGCCGGTTTTCCATTTCGAGCTGCTGTATCTTCATTTCGAGATTTCTTGACAGTTCCGTAAGCTCTTTGAGTTTTCTCTCCATCTCCTGCTCCTTGAGCTTCTTTTTGATCCTGAAGCGCGCAGACGCCGCCGTGTTGCGTCTTCTTTTGTCTGTCTCCACGTACTCTTTCGGCTCAGACGAATACACGTCCGGCGACACCGTCGACGACACGGGCACGATGTGCGAGCTGGAGCTGGCGTCCGGCTGTTCATGCGATGACACCTGGGCGCCCGTCTCCGAGGCGTTCTTCGAGGCGTTCTGCGATCCTGAGCTCGACTCCGAAGAAGAGTTCTCCCGTTGGATGATATCGGGCTTGTGGTAGGCTATGAGCGTCGCCAGCGCCTCGATCTGTGTTTGGGAAAGGCCCGCAGCGGATAGGGTGTTTTGTGCGCCGCGGGGCACCGTCACTTTGGGGAGACTGGACTCTGAACTCAGTTCTGGTTTCTGCGCGGAGGGGGCGGACACATGGCTGTTTTGGAGCTGCGAGTAGGGTCTCTGCAATAACTCCGATATGGTGGAAGGGATGGAGCCCTGGGCGCGGTCACCAGTCTCGAACTGGTCGAACTGGTCGTTGTTGTTGCTGTTAGAATACTCCATCTTCAACCTTGGCTTTTCCTCGTCGGGAAAAATGAAAGAGTCATCGGCAAACGCAGCGAGCTCGACGCTGAGCTGGTCGTCGAAGTTCGGCTCGGCCGAGAGGTCGTTCTGGTCAGCGCTGTTCATGAAGTTGTCTACGTAGACAAGTTGCTCCAATAGAGCCATCGGGGTATCGTCGGGCATGTTTGTGTTCGAGGAAGAAGCGCCCTGTTGTAGGTTGCTGAAGTCTTGCGGGTTCACGAAACCAGACATGGTTATATATCAGAGCCACGTGAATTAAGGGCAACGGGTAATGATGCTTAATTGTATGATTAATGAAAATTTGTAGCCACAATCTTCGGCCGGGTAAGAACAACGCCACAAGCCATCTTGAGCCACACATGGGAGATTAAGGTCTAGCAAGTATTAGTAGTACACAGTCTATGCAGTCGTAAATCGTAAGTCTAAAGCAGCATTCAGTAACGGAAGCTCACCCCGTCAGTCGGAGACGGAGGAACTTCTACGCCAGCGTAATTTTTTGCCCCATTTTGCCCAGGACGACCCCGAGCCACTTTTAGCGGAGGAGATAGAGGAGAAGCTTTGGTTTCTGTGTGTTTTGCTGGGTGCGCGCTCGTTCGTCTCGTCCCGCTCCAACGTATCGTCTTCCTCCGACGAAGAATCTACCGTAACAAACATTTTCTCAATCACCTGTCTGGTAAATTCCTGGTAGGAGTCGTGTAGATAGTGTTTGGTGATGGAGAGAAATCTTTGCAGAAGACTGATGTCGGGTATCGTGGCTCCTGAGAGCCCTGCTTTCAGGTCTCCAGGGAGGTTGATCTCGCTTGAGGCGTTGTTTTCGAAGTACTCCTCGTAGAGTATCTTCCAGACGTTGCGGTCCGTGTTATGGTTTTCGATGAATAGCTGGAGCGACTGGTAGAACTCCAGGTTCTCTAGACAGTGTTTGTTGAGCAAAAACTTGGAGAACGCGGCCTTCGAAAAAAGCGAGTCCGAAGGCACCTTGTTGCCCAACACCGAGTCCAGTTTCGGCACCATGGGCTCCTCCGACGAGGAGACGCTGGTGCTCTTAGGAGCAAGAAACGTAACCTTTGGCTCCGTAAGTGACAGCATGAATAAAGGCGGAGGAGAATTTTTGCGGAAAACCTTATATATTACCAGGTTTCACTTCAGGGGCAGGAAGACGCTATCATGATAATGGTGTCGATATTATCTCACCAAACCCGAAGAAAAAGAAATGGGTTTCCTATTGTCAGATTCCTACCTGGTAACGGTTTTTCTGAAAGCCTTTACTAGCTGCCATTGTTTGACAGTTGTACCGCTTTCCTGTTTCGGCAATTCGCTCACGTTCTCCATGCCTGTCAGCAGAGTTTATGTGTCATGTATGGCGTTTTCGCTCACTTGCCTGAACCGAGTCTCCGATTTACGTGACCCAGCATGCTTGCTATTGCTTGGCCAGCTATCGTTCTCGCACCAGAATGCATGCATCTCGTCAAACTAGGGAAACCCTTGCTTGCGCCGGCCTCCACAGATTTGCACTAAAAACACACTCCACGTATCTTGAAGCATAACGAACTTCTCTGTCAATCCTATGCGCGTGCCTACAAGGTTTCATCCCACACAATGCAAATTAATATCTGATGGATCGTACTGCTTACCCTGAGCCTCCGCGGCTGCTGCGCTCGCAGGACCCTTCGTCGCTGCCCGACTACCTCCGCGAGCTCAAGAACTCCAAGCTTGTCACGCTCTCGTACATCCCAGCTAGCAAAAAAAAAGCCAGAAAGCATATCGAATCCGGGGTCTCTCATGACATCCCCATCAGCATACTGTCAAAGTCCCCGTCGCTCCTTATCCCGATCAGCACGAGACGTCGTCCGCGTGCCCACAGGCCAGAAAAACCGGCCCTGCGACCGCGCAGACCTTCGAGTGCGTCCTTTGGCAATCTGACACAGAAACAGGACTTCAGCAGCCTGTTCCCCAATCTCGTCCCGGAACTCACGAGCATCGCGCAAATCGGCCCCGACTGGGCCTTCCACTCCACCAGGATCGCAGTGGTGCTCCAGAATTACGCTTTTTTCTACAACTATCTCCGCCAAAAAAGGAAGGAGTTGAGAAATATGCACAGAAATAGATAATGAAGCTTTAGTCGCTCAAAAACTCCAACACGTTGTTGATCACGTAATACTCGATGTTCTGGCCCCACACAAGGTCCAGGTGCTCGTAGTTCTCCACGCCCACGATCTGCAGCTTCTCTCCGTCGCTGCTGTTCATCGTCTCGTCCACCTTTTCGTTGTCTACCATCTCCACAAGCTCGGGCTTCGTTTGCTGATCGTTGAGAACCGATATGTTGTACTCCTCGAACTCCGGAAGCTGCTCGGTCATCTGCTGAATGTCCACCAGCGAGTCGGCCATGCCGTAAATAAGCAGAATTTTCGACAGCTTGATGTTTGTGTGTATCGGATACTCAAAGGAAGGAAACATGTCAGACTCCTGGTACATCTGGAATCGCTTCGACTTGATAATCTGGAACCAGTGGACCACACTTTTCACCGACGTTGTCGAGTACAGGTGAAAATAGCAGATAAACTTCTGGATCGGGTCGATGTTGAGCGACTTCCAGTCAAACAGAATCTTGTTCGACAAATCGATCAATTTGGAGAAAAACGGTGGATACGTGATATCCTTCCAGAATAAAACCGACTTCAGGAGGATCTTGCGGCCAAAAAGTAGGTATATCAGCGCCGGCTGGAAGTTCACAATCGAGTTGATAAGCCAGTTGGACAGTTTCTTCGGTGTCGTGGCCGGAGAAATCAGCACGAGCTTGCTGATTTTCATATTCAGAGCATGGTTCACAGATATGGAGGCGAGAATTTGCGAGCATCCCTGGCTGAACCCAATATAGATCAATTGGGAAGCGCCGTTTATTTCCAGAATGTGGTTTATCGAGGCCGGGATGTCAAATAGGGCAAACTGGTCAATTGAAAAATCCCAGAATGCGGTGTCATCCACTGATAGGGAGACGTGGCGCGCAGAGTACTTATTTCCTCTATTATTGCCGAGATAGACGTCATAGCCCAGTTCACAGAGCCGAAACGGCAAGTTCTGCCGAGTATCGGCCATGAGCACCCAAATTTCGCTATTCATCAGCAGGCCGTGCTGGAAGTAAACAATTTTGCCGTTTGGACGATACCCGTTCTCATGGGGGTCTAGTCTGTGCACAGTCAACAGGTAGCCGTCTTTAGTCTGGACAAGGTGGCTCTGAGCTTTGAAGCCATGGATAGCACAGAGCTCCTCGAAACATTGCGCTTCGCGCAGTCTCTCTATTTTACCTAGTAGCGTGTCCGTTTGTAGATCGTAGCCTTTGAGATAACGATTGTACAGTGGGTTGCTCGAGGCGTAGAGACTGAAGATGAACTTCACCATCGAGGTGAAAAACCCTATCAGACTTTCAGGCAGAAACCATGTGATGCACGAGACAAGCTGCTCTAGTATAATGACTGCGACAGAGGTCAGGTCTTCCAATTTTGGCTTCAATTGTGCAAACATGTGTGAGCAGCTAATAAATCTTCTCTACTTTTGAGTCAACTTATCTTATTTCTGCACAGCCCGCAGATTCTCGAATTTCATCTCGCTCAAAACAATACTTTCCACTTCTTGTTTGTTTTTTTTGTTATGGTTTTTGACCGTTTACTCTCGAGAAGGCCCTCCAGAAGGGTAAGTGTTTCTAATCCTCTAGCTAACTGTCAGTCGAGAGATTTAGGGGTGTACTACTACTCCAGTCCCGCCAGCCAAAGTCAGAGCCAGTCATCTGCTGCATATATGGCAGCTAATTATGCTACCGGGAATGTTTCCAGGAGTAATTCGATGAACAATCTGTCCAACGCTGCAGCATCGGCGGCGCTGCGCAAACATTCCTCTACGTCCAACCTGGTAGACCATAGGATCGCTGGGCAACGCACGATGTCACTAAACTCCCGCACTTTTAGGGCTCCTGCTTCATATGTCAAAAGGTCTAATTCTCTGCAATCCGCCTCCTATACCCATAATCCAAACGTCTACCGTTCCAGCAGCATTACGTCCAGCAGTTTCAGGCCTTCAGGCAACTCCCGCACTAACTCTCTGACGTCCAATTCCTCCAGATACACTACTGGCTTCACCACTACCACAACCACCACAACGAAGAAACTGCCGTCGAACCGTCAGAGCACGCCGACCACGATCGTGAAGACCACCAAGGAGCAGGACGCCAATGGCAGAACACGCTCCATCACTAAAACCACCATTGAGCAGAAAGACGGCTTCGAAATCGTCAAAACAACAGTTGTGAAACCGAGTATAGTGGAGAATTACAGCGATCTGGGAAGCATTGCAGAAGGATTTGACGACGACTTCTACCACGAAGAGGAACCGCTACCAAACAACACCCAGGAACTGGAGAACATTCAAGAGGAACCAACCGAGCCGGAGAAAATCGAATCGACACAACACGGACAGTCTCAACCTGAAACAAACGAGTCCGCAGAATCTGCAAGGACCCATACGTACCGCCAACTCACCCAAACCAACGTCAAGCCGCGCACCAGTCTTTCGCCAGCACGCATAATCCTAAAGAACCCTGCTCCCGACGACGAATCGGATGGACAGTCCATATACTCTGACGCCAACGAGGCCACCCCTACCATCGTGAAGAATAACTTCAGCGAAAAAGTCACGGAGGAGATTCCTTCGTATGCGTCGAGCACCGCCGGAAACTCGCCTCTGATTCCTCAGAGGTCTGCGTTCAGGGCCCCTTCTGCCATGGCACCACGTGCTAACAGCATTACCTCAAATACCTCGTCTATGCGGAAGCAGGTTAAAATTATGGGCACCGAGCAGGCAGAGGCCCGCTACAGCTCATCTCCTGCTGTTCCTGCTGCACCTGCCGGTAAGCCTACTCCCGAAGAGCTTTATCAGCAGGCATACCAAGTTGCCATACAGAAAGTGTACGGAGCTCGTCCAAACCCCGTGCCTGACTCGGGAAGTGTGACCGAGATGGATGAAGATACGCAACGGAACACATTGTTGAACTCGTCGTCGAGCCAAAACAGCCACACGATGTCTCTGACCCAGAAACCACTGAATCCAGTGCAGACAAGCCCAGTGTACCAATCCAATGCTGCAGGAGCCGGATTCAAAACCCACACACTACGTGGAGAGCTGGATATAAAGGAGGAAAAGAAATTGAGAGCAGCGCACCACAAGGAGGAGAAGAAGAAGCTGAAAGAGATACGCAAGGAACAAAAGGACGAGATGTATGAGCTGAGCAAGCAACGCAAGTCGGCAAGAGAGAATGTCGACGTAGTGAACGAGAAGAAACGGATTTTCAGCTTCAAGAAGAAGGTTCCCTCGACGACGGCCGAAAACGCTACGGGCAACTCCATCACCGTGACCCTTCCCGTGGAGGAAGAGCACGCGGATAATGCTAAGCCTCAAAAGAGCGAAAAAGCAGGCGTTGGGCGCAAGTTTAAGAAGTTTTTCAATTTGTAGTTTAATATGCCCGTACAAAAAAATCCAGGTACCACCCACGGTGTGGTAGGAAAAATAGAGAATTAAATTAAAATTTAAGCTCGACACCCAAAAACACAGGCCGGCTCCATAATTAACAATGTCCATTGAGGCTGCCATCCACACCCTTCATTGGCACGATAACAACCTCCCGATTTATTCGCTGGATATCCAGCGAACAAATGTGCCCACGACCGGTACCCGTAGCGCACGCGTGGCTACTGGGGGAGGAGACAACAACGTGCGAATCTGGCGTATCAACTATACAGAGACCAAAGTGGAATCTGTGGAATATCTGAGCTCGCTCACAAAACACACCCAAGCAGTCAATTGTGTTAGATTCAATCCGTCTGGCGATATGCTAGCGAGTGCTTCCGATGACGGAACAATAATGATATGGTGTTTGTCGGATAAAATCATCAAAGAGTTTGGCAACGAGGACGACGATATGAAGGAAAGTTGGTATTTGGAGACGTCGTATAGGTCCTCGACGCTTTCGGAGATCTACGACATCTCGTGGTCGCCGGACTCGAAGTACATCTGTTGCGGATCAATGGACAATATCACGCGTATATTCAGCGTGGCCACGGGGGCCCTGATTCGGCAAATTGCCGAGCATAACCACTACGTGCAAGGTGTCACGTGGGACCCCAGAAACGAGTATATTTGCTCTCAATCGGCAGACAGGTCTGTCCATATCTACAAGATAACGTCAGAAAAAGGAGCAGACTTGAATCTCTCTCCCACCACCTTCTACAAGATCATTCGCGCAGAGCTACCGAGCAAGAGCCTCACCACAGAGGACCTCAAAGAGAACACCGAAAGCTCCAATATGGAACCTCCTTTGCAAACGCCCCGCCACAAACGGACGCATTCGAATTCATCCACGTCCTCCTCGCATTCCATTGCGGTTTCGGCTACACGCTCGTCCTCTCCGCTTCCCGCGGTAATGCCGGCTTCGCCGAATCTTGTCTACAAAAGCCTGCATCTCTACCACAACGAAACGCTCCAGTCTTTTTTCCGGCGACTCACATTTTCTCCGGACGGCATGCTATTATTCAGCTCCAGCGGAGTGTTCAAGACAGACGCGTCCGAGGAAAACATCAACACTGTTTACATACACACTCGATTTGGTCTCAACAGGCCCCCGGTCGCGCATCTGCCTGGATTTAAGAAGCCGGCAATAGCGATCAAATTTAGTCCCGTGCTATACAAGCTTCTGGAGGGCGAAAGGAGTGTTTTCAAGCTGGACTATCGCATGGTGTTTGCCGTGGCCACGCAGGACTCGGTCGTCATTTACGACACGCAAAGACTCAAGGCGCTGGGCATCGTCTCCAACATCCATTACTCAGTGATCACGGACCTGAGCTGGTCCTCGGACGGCCAGATCCTGCTGGTTTCGAGCGCGGACGGATTTGTGTCAAGTGTCAACATAACGCGCTCGCTAGTCGGCGACGTGGAAACGTACAACGTGAGCGAGTATCTGAGTGAGCACAAGCAGGAAAAGGTCCCGCCAAATACTGGTCAACAGACCTCAATCATAGACCTGTTGAGCACGGACGCGACACCGGCGCCGGAGTCGATTGGGAAACCGGGAGACTCGGTGCAGGTGATCGACATCACGACTCCGCGGTCGGAGCGCGACACGACGCCGGAGCCCGCGCCCAAGAGGGCAAAGATATAAGGCGCCTCAGATGGAGATGGCGGAGAGGCTTCTGTCACGTGGTCGTTGTCACGTGGACCTTTTCCCAAGGAAGCCATTTAGTACGGTTTCCGGTGTAGTTATTTAATCTCGAGAATTTACTATGAACAGCACTATCACACTGGTGGTGACACTGGTCGTTGCGTTTGTGTTCATAGCGTACTTTCTGGGCGATGACGCGGGCGTGACGGACGAGATGGTGGCGCGTGTGGCCCAGATCGCGCCGCACCTGCCGCCGTCGGTGATCCGCCGTGATCTGGAACGCACCCGCAGTGTTCACGTCACGATCGATAACTACTTGAACGGGCTACTCGCAGCGCACGAAACGGGCGAATCGCAATGTATCGGAAGCCAGCCTATAAAGAAGCAGGATCGCAAGCCCGCCCAATTCGAAGGGCTGGACTTCGAACAGAAAAAACGGGAAATGGTGCTCAGAGCTCGTCAGAGACTAAATCTCGGCTGATGTTTAGTTTCGTCTGTCAAAATACATCTTGAACTTCTTGTTCTCGTTCTTGACTCTGTAGATGAAACCCATTATCACATCGCTCTCCTTCACGGTCAGCTGGTTATTGAAATGGTCCTCGACTGCGTGTCTGAGGTCGTCTCTGTTGCGGTATTCGTACATGTTAGTGCCACTGCTGAGCTCGTTTTTCGCGTACGACTCGGATGACTCCCCGAGCTCCGAGCCCTCCAGCATGTAGCCCTGGAGCGTCTTGACATCAGGGGTGATGATCTGCGAAGGGTTCAGATACAGCTCTCTGTATTTGCGAAGCTGTTCCTCTGTCCAGCTGGAGAAATCCAGGGGATCTTTGACGGGGAAATCCTGCGGGCCATTTGAGTGGATGTACTTGGCCAGAAACTCCTTCTGCTGCTGAGCGAGCACCTGGTTGCGATGCTTTGTGGACGACCGCGACGACGAAACCTGTTCCGGCTCGGAGGTGTCTCTTCTAGCCATACTTTAATAAAATATTTTTTTTTCACTCATGTCTAACGTATACATTCTGGGAGCGGGAGGAATTGGCACGTTGGTGGCGTCTGCGCTGACAAAAAGACATGCTGTGAACTTCGTGGTGAGGAGGAAAGAGAAGCTGGATCTTCTGAAGAAGACCAACAACACGGTCACAATCACCCAGCTTTTCAACCACGGCCGGCGGAGAGACTGCAAGATCGCGCGAGCGTGTCAAGCTGACGCGATTCCGGACCAGCACATCGACTTTCTGATTGTCAGTGTCAAGACGTTCGACACAGCGAAGTCGCTGGCGCCGCTGCTGCCGAAGATCTCGCCGTCCACCAGCATCATGCTTATTCAGAACGGCATGGGTGTTTTGGAGGAGCTGTATGCCAGTGTGTGGCCGCGCCCATCCGAACGGCCTGTTTTCTACCAGGGAGTGATTACGCATGGTGTTTTCCAGGACAGAGACCAGGAAGGCACATTCAGCTATAATCATGCCGGAAACGGAGATCTCAAGATCGCCAGGGTCGACGGCAAGAAGCCAGACCATCCGGTGGTGCAAACTCTCGTAGAGAGCGACCTGCGCACCACAGTGTACTCGCACGAGGAGCTTCTTGTGCACCAGGTCGCGAAACTGATGCTGAACTGCTGCATGAACCCGACCACTGCTGTTCTGGACTGCGTGAACTACGAGATCGACGGAGTGGACCCGATCAGAGAGTATTTCAGCAGGCTTGTCCACGAGGCGATGGCGATTCTGCGCGCGCGGTACCCGTTTCTGGAAGGCCGTGCGGAACTCGCCGAGTCGCGTCTGGTGGAGTTCATTCTTGAAAAAGGTTGCAAAGTGAACGGGAAAAACAGCACGAGCATGAGACAGGACACCTTGTTTCTGAGAGACACGGAAATAGACTACATCAACGGGTACGTTGTGCGCTTGGCAGAGCAGGTAGGAAAAGACGCGCCCTACAACAGGACCATCCAGCTGCTGGCGAAAAGCAGATTAGCAATAAATCGATCCAGAGCATATTATAAAGGAATAAATTAATTACGCTTTTTCTCCGTAAACTCTCACTTCCTGGCCCTTCGAGCTCACCGCCTCGATGATGTTGTCCTCGTCGTCCGTGACCAGTTGGTCCTTGTCGAGGTTGCTCTTTGGCCCCTTGTAGATCTTGTGAGCGTACACGACGTACCACACCATACACAGGAACATCGAGCCCCAGTAGACCAGCACCGTCCAGTTCATCATGTCTGGGGTGTTATCTGCTCCTTTGTACTGCGGAAAGTTCAAGATCGGAATCATGAGCGTCACAAAACACACTGCCACCACTCCGGACGGAATGGAGAACACGCCCAGGTGCCACGGGCCCTTCTGGAACGTTTTTCTCGAGTAGGTGATCCGGAGCAGCGTAGGCACGGTAAAGGAGATGAACGAGCCAATTGCTCCGACAGAGAAAATGGCATCGATCGGCGTTTCGCCGCCAAACATGAGCAGCAGCAGCAGCTCGCCCAGGAACCAGTTGGCCCACACAGCGTTGACAGGAGTCTTTGTGGTGGCGTTGACGTGCGACCAGACCTTCGACAGCGGGAAACAGCCGTCTCTCGAGTACGAGAAGAGCACTCTGGACGCGGCAATCATACAGGAAAAGGCCATGGAGAAGGAGAGCACAATGGCGAACGCGGTCAGCGCGAACACTCTCTCCTTAGTCAGGATCTGCGCCAGATACGCGACGTACGGCTGGCCCAGCTCGTCGTTGACGGCATCGTCAACGTTGACGATCGTGTACGCCATGGCGAGCTGGAAAACGAACCCGAGAATGCCTCCCACGGACGCGGTCAGCACGATGGCCCGCGGCGTCGCCAGCTGGGCGTTGCTGCACTCCTCGGCCAGGTGGAACGGCGAGTCGAAACCGGACATCGTCCAGATCACGGCCATGAAGCTCATCAGGATGCAGATTCCGTCCGGCCACTCGGTGAAGTTGGTGATTCTCCAGGCCACGTTGTCGCTGTTGAACTTGGACAGCCCCTGGTCGCTTCTGGTGTTACCGCCCAGGATCATAACGAAAGAGATGAACAGAAAGAGCAGGTTGAGCGCGGTCGAGCCGGAGTTGATCCAGGCGATCCATCTGGTAGGGAGCGAGGCGATGATAGAGCAGAAAAACGTCAGACACGACGTCAGCAGATACAACTGCCAGTTGGTGGCAGAGTAGTTTGGGTCGTTCAGCGACTTGAGCGCCAGAATCATGCTGGCACAGCCGTACGCAACAGATGGAGCGCCCGTCACCTGCACAAAGTAGTTCGACCAGCCAACAAACCAGGAGAGCACAGCTTTGTAGCGGGGCGGGGCAAGCATGGCCGTGGCATAGTAGAGTCCGCCCGAAGTCGGGAAGGCGCTCGAGATCTCGGCCATGGAGCACGCGACGGCCATGACACCGATCATGCCCACCAGATACGCCCAGGTGAGTCCTGCATTGCCGGAGTAGGCGAGCGAGTACCACAGGGTGGACGCGATCGAGGGCAGAAGACCGAGCACCGAGAACGAGACTCCGAAGGTGGTGAGCAGCGAGAACTCTCTTTTGAACTCCTGCTTGTAGCCGAGGGCCAGAATGACGGCCTCGTCCTTGTCCACGGGGTGGTCCACAACGATTCTCTGCGACTTGTTGGAGAGAACAGAAGTGATGTGCATTTGGTCCACCGAGAGGATCGTGGCGGTGGACCGGACAGGATCAACGTTTGGGGCCATGGTGCAAAATGCTCTCCAGGATCGAATTGTGTCTATATATAAAGAGCTTATCAAAAAGATTTAAATTGTGCATATCGGAAAAGTCTGTGTGTCGTCTTATCGGAGAACATGCCTTGGCGGCAACAAAGCTGGTGTTGCAGAAACGACATGTGGAGATTGGGCTGCAGTCGAGAAAGGAAGCCCGAAGACGCCTCTTATTGGCTCCGCAGCCGGGGTTTAGTTTGCAATAGCCGTGTTCAGAGAAGCCGTGGTGGACTTTCCCTTTTTAGACCTGATAGCAAAAATTTTTTGCATGTTATCAGAGTGGCGTTTCATGCACTGTTGCCGTCGATCGGCGGGTCGACTTCTTGAGAATCTTTGGAAAAACTTGGTTTTAATAGGCTGATGAGATACGCAAGAACACTACTCCGTTCCGGGACATTTCTGGCCAGAGCTGCTGTTTTGACAGCTCGGCCCACTGTGCACAGCCGCGTGGTGCAAAGGGCGCCTCTGACACAGCAGAGCGTGCGCTGTAACTCCATCTCAGCCAGGACCGATGGCGCTGACATCCCGGAGAGCGTGCGAAACCTCACAATGGAACAGTACGATACAAGTGCAAGCGAGACGCTGGAATCTATCTACTGCGATCTGGACGAGTTCTTCGACGAGCACAACATCGCGGACGCCGACGTCGAGGAAAGCGTAAGTATATCCAGGCCCATGCAACTAACTCCAGGCTGGCATATTGACGCTCAACACCCCACAGGGCTCGTATGTGCTCAACAAGCAGCCGCCTAATAAACAACTATGGCTGAGCTCTCCGATCTCTGGCCCAAAAAGGTTTGACTTGCTGGACGGCGAGTGGGTCAGCATTCGGGACGGCGTCAAACTCCGCGACCTTCTGGAGGAGGAGATGATCCAGATTTTTGGCGATTTCAGCTTCAGCGAGCAGTTCTAGCTGGCAAATAGAGCATCGGATTGTACATATCTCATGGGTTCCCGTCACGTGCATGGAACGAAATCGACTTCTGCAACTTTTGACAGACCTCCACGACCGTAAAATTTTTTTTTAAATAATTTGGTACCTTCACCATGTCGACTGTTTCTGCTTCGAAAGCAAAGAGAGAGGCTAAGAAGGCTGCCAAGGCCGCCGAGGGAAAGCTCAAGACCAAGAAGCTGACAAAGAAAGAAAAGGAAAAGCTCGAGTCCGGCGGAGACGTGTCTTCAGCTGCAGATGAGATCGAAAAGCTCAAGTTGCAACAGGACAAGGACGGACTGAGTGACAGAGTGACCACCGGTGTTCTAGACTCTCTGGAGACCTCCAGAGATATCAAGATGTCGTCTGTGTCGCTTCTTTTCCACGGAAAAGTGCTTCTGCAAGACTCCTCTTTGGAATTGAACTACGGGAGACGCTACGGGTTGCTTGGAGAGAACGGTTGCGGTAAGTCCACTTTCCTGAGGGCTCTGGCCGCCAGAGAGTACCCAATTCCAGAACACATCGACGTTTATTTATTGAACGAGCCGGCCAATGCCTCTGAGTACTCTGCCCTGGACTGGGTTGTGAGAGAGGCCGAGTCCGAGCTTGCTCGTCTGGAAAAAGAAGTTGAGGATATTATCGTCAACGACGGGCCTGAATCGCCATTGTTGGAGCCTCTGTATGAGAAGATCGACGAGATGGATCCTTCCACTTTCGAAGCCAGAGCAGCGGTTATTCTGACTGGTCTGGGCTTCAACCCTCAGACAATCAAGAAGAAGACCAAGGACATGTCTGGTGGATGGAGAATGAGAGTTGCTCTTGCCAAGGCCCTGTTCGTCAAGCCTACGTTGCTGCTGCTGGATGACCCTACTGCCCACTTGGACCTGGAGGCCTGTGTGTGGCTGGAGGAGTACTTGAAGCTTTTCGATAAAACTTTGATTCTTGTTTCGCACTCCGAGGACTTTTTGAACGGTGTTTGCACCAACATGATTGACATGAGAATGAAGAAAATTACCCAGTACGGTGGTAACTACGACGCCTACGTTAAGACGAGAACTGAGTTGGAGACCAACCAAATGAAACAATACTACAAACAGCAAGAGGAAATCCAACACATCAAAAAATTCATTGCTTCCGCAGGTACCTATGCCAACCTGGTGAGACAGGCCAAGTCCAGACAAAAGATCCTTGACAAGATGGAAGCCGATGGTCTGATCCAGCCGGTGGTCCCCGACAAGGTTTTCACATTCAAGTTCCCAGAGGTGGAAAGACTCCCTCCACCGGTGCTCTCTTTCGACGACATCTCATTCGCTTACGACGGAAACCCAGAACATTACCTGTACAAGGACCTTTCGTTTGGAGTCGACATGGACTCGAGAATCGCACTGGTTGGACCGAACGGTGTGGGTAAGTCCACGCTGCTGAAGCTTATGACGGGTGAGCTTCAGCCGCAGAAGGGAAGAGTGTCCAAGCACACCCACTTGAAGATCGGTGTGTATTCGCAGCACTCTGCTGACCAGCTCGACCTCACCAAAACGCCTCTGGAGTTTGTCAGGGATAAATTTTCGCACATTTCCCAGGACTTCCAGTACTGGAGAGGCCAACTGGGAAGATTTGGTCTGACCGGTGAAGGTCAGACCTCGCAGATGGCTACCTTGTCCGAGGGACAGAGATCCAGAGTGGTGTTTGCTCTGTTGGCCCTCGAGCACCCTAATGTTTTGTTGCTGGACGAGCCTACCAACGGCTTGGACATCCCAACAATCGACTCTCTGGCCAACGCCATCAACAGCTTCAACGGAGGTGTTTGTGTCGTGTCCCACGATTTCAGATTGCTGGACAAGATCGCAAAAGATATCTACGTTGTTGAGAACCAAACGGCAACCAGATGGGATGGTACTATCGGCCAATACAAGGCCAAGCTGGCCAAGAATATTGTGCTCTAAGTATAAATACAATAAATACCATTCTATTTTTCCGTTTTTATATTGATCCCGTTGTTCAGGTCCCGCAGATCGGCAGCAAAGAGCACCGAGTGAGCCCAGCCAGCGTACTCGCCCCAAAGGTGCCTGAACTTTTCCTGGATTTGCGCGTAGAGCTCTTTGTTCAGCAGTTTTCCGGGCATGTGGTACCTTTTGGTAGCAATCTTGAAAACATGGGTATCGACCGGAACCACGTCGTGCTTGTCCAGCGACATCAGACACACGCAGTCGGCAACTTTCGGACCGACGCCCATGAACGTCTGGAGGTACTCGTGGCAGGTTTTATGGGGCTCTGTTCTCATCGAGTAGAGTTTCACAAGCTCGTCCTTCTCCGTGAGCATCTTGGCTGTTTGCTGGATGAATTTTGCCCGGTACCCAAATCCAAGCGCGCGTAGCTCGGCCTCGACGTTTGGCTGCGCCAAACGCTCTGGCTCGGGGAATTTGTAGTGCTTTATTCCCTGGTACTCGGCCAAAAACTCGCCATAGTGAACACACAGTTTTTCGCACATTTGCGAGATCCGTTTCACGTTGTTATTGGTCGAACAGATAAACGACACAAGGTTCTCCCACGGGTCCTGTCTGAGCATGCGTATTCCGCCGAAATTTGCAGAGTTCTTCGTGAAGTGCTTATCTTTGGATGCCCAGTCAAGGTACAGCTCTTCGAGCCTGATAGACAGGTTGAAGTAGTCCAGGACTACCTCCTCGGTGTCCTTCAAATGCGGAATGGATGCGTAGTGGAGGAATGTATCGTCCTGTTTGAGAAGCAGCACTCTGTTCTGGATCGTACAGGACCAGATGTCGTCGACGTATTTCCAGCGGAATGCTTGCCCGCAGCGCAAAACTCTGGAGATCGAGAGTTCCTGACGTTAGAGCATTTCCTGCGCGTCTACGTACCTTTGGAGAGAGCTGGATGGCCCTCCAGACGATGTCTTTGGTCATGATGTGAGGACGCGTCGGCTGAAAATTTTCGTCGCGTCGAGAAATAATTATGGTTTTGCACAACGATAAGTGGAAGTGGAAGAACAAGCGCAAGCATTTGAAAAAGGTGGGCGAGGCGCAGCAGAGCGACGAGTCCAGTGGACAATCGAGCGAGGACGAGCTCATCACCAACGAGTGGCGGTTTGAGGAGCTGAAGCCCGTACAGCATCCTAAAGACGAGGAGCAGATAGCATTGGAGCGGGAGCAGAGACAGATGGAGTTGGAGCGGGACGAGGCCCACACGCGGCTGGTTCTGGAGAAACTGAAGCTGGCTGCACCTGAAATCAGCACATCTGGCAAAGAGAAGGACGCGAAAAAGATGACCAAGCAGGAGCTGCTAAATTGGAGTTTGGAGCACCAGGGCGACTCTGAGCCTGATACAGCAGCTCGCAGCATCCGCACACTGAGCGAGGGCGAAAAGGCCCGCTTCTACGAGCTGCAGGAGCGCATAGAGCGGCAGAAAATGGTGACGTCCATGAAAAAGAAGTTTGCTGCCACAGGACGAACAAAGGTGCTGGAGCTGTCCAAAGTGGACGACGACAACTACAAGGCCGTGAATGCGCGGCGGCTCGAAGAGTCCGCGAAGAAGCCCAAGGACGGCGAGTTCGAGGACAGTTTGGCAGATCTGCTGGGAGACCGGACAATTCTGGCTCAGGATTCTGAGGCGAAACCAGCACCCAGAGCAGACAAGAAGATGTCAAACCGAGGCCCGTCGTTCAAGCTCGACTCTACGCCAGCCGAAGACGAGTTTTTGGACCGTCTGCTTGGATGACACTCCGTGCGCCGATCGACCCGGTGCGACGCGGACGCGAAAATAAATACATTTTCACCTTACTGTGCCGAAGCATGGACACGGCGGATGCCAGCGTGCTGTTGCCCGACGACCAGGAGATTCTGGGAGCACTGAAGAGCTTTCTGATTCGGAAGAATGCAGCAATACGACGGCAGACCGGCAATAACCGCGGCGATCTGGCCGAGCAGGTGCGCCAGCAGCGGCACGAAATCATCGAATTGCGCAACAGGTGCCGCGTGCTCGAGGAGAAGCTCCAGTCGTACGAGCGGGGCACTCCTAAGAAGACCCATCTGTCGCCACTAAAAGCTCAGCAGCACTCGCCAACGTATTCTGCGCTTTCTGGCACAGAGACCGAGGACTCGGAGTTCAACACGCCACGAAAACTGCGGCTGGTGGGCACGGCCGCTCTCGTGGCGACGAGTCCCGCAAAGAACGACTCAATCCTGCAAGACTGCGACGAAGAATCACTAAAGGTGCTAACACAGAGCAACTCGCAGCAGCCACGCGAAAAAATCCGGCAGATGGCCGTGGTGGACCTGACACAGCATCCGGGCCGCAAGGGTAACTGGTGGCCGGAGGATTTCAAGCCGAACCCGGAAACCAACTTTGGACAAACAGAGGCGTTCAAGTTGCGTCGCATTAATGCCAAGTACGCGCATCCAGCGTTGCAGACACAGTACAAGTACCAGCAGCAGCATCTGAAGCAGGAGGCCATGAAAGATTTCAATCGGCTGGCAGGACAGGTAGAGCCGGTGACGCCTGGAGTGAAGCTGGTGTGGAGCGCTGCCGACGCTGCGTCGCTGCCGACGCCGCTGAAAACTCCCGACCAGGCCCTGAGCAACCCGAAAATCGACCCGGTGTTTAAATTTGAGATCAACAGGTCCAACTACAAAAATCTCGACCTCAACCTGAACAGCAACAAAATTAAGCTCTGGCTCGACCTGCAGGACTCGCCGCCGGGCCACGAGCGGTCGGAGTTCCCCACGCCGTCGCAGTCGGAAGCAGACCGACAGAAAAGCGTCAAGCGTGCCAGACTGGTGGCTCTGCAAAGACTGTTCCAGGCGGTGTTCATGGTGCAACCAACAGACAAGTCAGGAACGTCGTACCAGCAGGTTGGCAAGTTTATTTTCCGCAACGACGAATGGAACCAGCTCGTGAGACGCAACGAGTTCCACATCGACGAGTCGGTGTTCTACAACGCCGAATAGCTATGAATTGCATCCGAATTAAATACAGTATATTTCTCTATTTATTTCTTGTTGCTCCTGTAGTCAAGGTAGTTGTAGTAGTTGAAGCTGTTGAGCGCCGGGTTCAGCTCCAGCGACGTGCTCACAAACTGCTTTGCGCCCTCGGAGAGCCCGTGGTGCACGGTCTCGTGAGAAGAGGTCGGCGTCAGAGACGTGAGAACGTTGCCGTGGCCGTCGGTCAGGGTTTTGGACGTCTGCTCGGGGTAGAACCGCTTGAGAGGAATCCAGCTCTGGAACAGCTCGTATGATGCGAGAGTAAATCCGAATTGAGGCGACGACCGGCAGATTCTGGCGATGCCACCCTTGAAAAGAGCCGAAAAGCCTTCTTCCTTCAATATTCGCGTGAACGCGTCCGCAATATTCTTGTAAGCCTTCTCGCCGGGACGACTCTCCACCTGGAGCCTGGTCTTGATCACGTCGCACGGAGTCGTGAAGTATGCGGCCGGCATTCCCGCAAGCGCTCCGCTAAGAAGCAGTTCCCACGACTCGAGCTTGCTTTTCTTGGCTGGGTTGTTCGGATCAAAGCCAAACACAAACTTCTTGATGTTTGCGTATGCTGGGAAGTAGATGGCGCTGAACGGCACGTCTCTGAGCAAACAGGCGGATGCTCCTTTATAAAGGCCCCGGAGTCCCAGCTCCTTCACAATGTCGACGGCAGACTTCTCAACATACGGAAGACCGTCCTTGGCCATCTGTCTCACAGTTTCTCCTTGCACTTGCAGTCTGATTTTGGTGATCTCAAGAGGATTGGTGAATATGACCTGGCACGCACCGGCAGACGAACCGGCCAGGATCTCCCAGCCCATAGTCAGCTCGCCGTTCTTGCAGTAGCCCGCACCGATGCCTCTCACTATGTCATTAACAGTAAGTTTGATAGCCTTCTCCGGAGCAACACCAACCAGCTGAGGAAGAAGACCGGAGTAAAGCCCAAAAAACCCTTCGTGCTTAAACACTTTGCGGAAACAGTCTCCGTAGGACGAGTAGAGAGAGTTGCTTTTTTGGTTCTGCATTCTGGTCTTCACCAAATCAATTGGATAAACAACGGTCGCACCAATAGCACCTGCCACTGATCCAAGAAGGAAAGAGTAGGCCGAGTTCAGGATCGGATAAAAGCTGAACGGAACGATATCCGACGACTCGCGGCTTTTGATCAAGTCGTCTGTGAGAATAGCCAACATGTCGCCAGATTTAATGGCAGAGGTCCGATCCTGCTGCTGCAGAAGCTGCAGGTTCCATTTGAAGAAAAGCGACGCCTCCTCCTCGGTGAGGGAGCCAGCAACGCGAGATTTGGCAAACCTGTAGAACTCATCCTTGGAAATAAGTTTATTTGTGTTGTTGTACTGTCCGGTCGAAATTTGCTCGTATATGGCGTAGTTGAGCGAGGGAAGGTCTTTAAGAAGCTTGATCACGGTTTCCGAGTCGCTCAGCGACAATCTCGAACCGAAGTTGGCTTCTGAGAACGATTCGATCCGTGAGAGAATATCGTCGGGGAGTCTAGAGTGGAATATTTCGTTGACTATGTTTCTAAAGTTAGCGATGTCGATCCTGTCATCCTGGGACAGCTGCTTGAATTTCTCATCGAGCTTGATCAGCGGAAGCTTCTCGATAAGCGCGGAGAAGTCTGCCGGGGTCAGTTTCTCGAGTTTATTCTCTTCGAGATATTTTTTCACGGGCTCGATATCAGAGCTTGTTTTTATTGTCTGGTTCAGGTTCGCCAGAATATCTAAGAAGCGGTCCGTCTTGATCTCCTGAAGCGTCTCCCGCTCGTTGTAAAAGTCTTTCTCGAACAGCTTGAACAGCTTGAAGAGTAGCTTGGGCGACTCCTCAGTGTGGGTCTGCACATTGAGGAGTTCCTTGGAGAATTTCTGAAAATCGCTCTCCGTCAAGTATCCCTTCTTCTCGTGGTCGGCAATTAGATACAGTAGCCCAAAGGAGTCGATCGGCAGGAACGAAGTCACCCTAGATAGATTTGGCCTTTCCTGATTCCTGAGCACATTCACAAAATCCTCAAACTTCAACACTTTCTCCTGAGTGTCCAGATCTGAGTACTGTTTGGAAAACTGCTCAAAAATGGTAGACAGGGATGAATCTACGTCAGGTGACATGGTGGGGGAAACGGTCTTGTGAGTGGAAGTTAAAGAAAGTAGAGGAGAATCACTTTTATTTGTAGTGGTAATCATGACTCAGATTCCAGTTCGTATTGTTCAAAACTATTGTTAGAGCCGGAACCACCTATGGAGAAAAGGAATACAAAGCGAAAAAACTTTCTGTGATGATTCCAGGGAATATCGATATATATACAATTTGAGAGGTTATTCCTTATCGCAGGAGCGGGGACGTCTGTTTTTCGCCTGGTTGGCTGCAGTGGTAAAAATAGTCTACATTACCTTGACTGGGAGTGCGCGTTATTACGTGTACCCCGGGTGCTTGCCACATCGGTTATTTCCCGTGGTCCACTTCGCCGTTGGCACGCGTAAAAAGCCGGTCCGAAAATTGATGCGGTAATTTCGTGTTACCCGGCCCAACGTTTCGGAGTCACCCCCACAACCAAGCAGGTTCGTTGCAGCGATCGAAAATGGTTTAACAATCAAATCTCTTGTTTATTTAGTACAGCTATACATAAGTCCCCGAGGAGTTTATTTCTTGGTGGAGTCAGCACCATCCTTGGCACCCTCTTTGGCACCGGAAAGAGCACCAGAGACGTACTCCACGGCCTCGTTCAACTTCTCCTTACCGGCATCCAAGTACTGGGTGGCAGTGTCGGCCAGGCTGCTCTGGTTTTGGCCGGCCTCGGACTTGGCCTTCTCCGAGCCTGACTGAACCTTGTCGCTCAAAGTCTGCGCAAAGGACTTCTGGTTGTCTGGGGTCACCTTGGACGCCAGTTTATCTGCTTGGTCTGTGACTTGCTCCTTGGTTTTCTCGAAAGCACTTTTCTGAGAGTCTGGCTTCACGGTCTCAGTGAATTTGTCGCCAAAGTCTTTTCTTCCAATGTCACTCATGTCTGTTTCTATGTATAAGGACGGAGGCGGACGGGCTCATTTTATAGCTCACAAATAGCAATCAACCATACGTAATAGCAAGCAAGTGTTGCCGAAAAATACGGGGTTTATAGAATGGGATTACGTAATCTGTGGCTATTCGGTCTCGTCGTCAAGCCAGTCTTTGGCCCTCGAAATGGCCTTTTCCCAGCGGTTCCACATGTGGTGTCTTTTCTCGTCGTCCAGCTGGGCCACAAACATGTTGCTTTCGTCCGATTTGCCGTTCAGTTTTTCGGTCACGTCTTTGAGCGACTTCCAGACCCCGACCTTTTTATGAAGTCCTGCAGCTATGGCAGAACCCAAAGCAGTGCACTCTGCATTGTCAGATCTCACAACTGAAACGCATGGCCCCAGAAGATCCGCCTGGATCTGCATCACGACGTCAGACTGGGACATTCCTCCGTCCACGTGGAGGGTGTTGAGCGGGTTATTCTTATCTTGGAGCTCGGCGTGGTCCAGGAAGTCGGATGATCTGCCCGCGTCCGAGACCATGGCGCGCAAAATCGCACGGACCTGGAAACAGACTCCCTCGATGGCCGCTCTGGCGATGTGAGAGGCCTTGGAGTACTGCGTGAGCCCGAAGATTGTTCCTGTGGTTCTGGGGTTCCAGTATGGAGCAAAAAGGCCAGAGAACGCAGGCACAAACACCACGCCGGCGCTCGTAGGAGCCTGAGCAGCAAGAGGGCCGATGTGCGACGAGCTGTAAATGAGTTTCAGGTTGTCTCTCAGCCACTGGACACAGGCACCGGCAACAGCGATCGAACCCTCCAGACAGTAGTGCGGACTAACCGAGTCTTTGCCGTCGATAGAAGGGTCCAAGTCGGGGAACCAGTATCCAACAGTGGTGACTGCACCGTGCTTGGAAACCAGTTTTTTGTTGCCTGTGTTGTACAGCAAGAAGGCACCCGTACCGTAGGTACACTTGGCGTCTCCTTTTTGGAAAGCCAGCTGGCCGACGAGAGAGGCGGACTGGTCGCCCAAGCAGCCTGTGATCGGAACGCCTGCCAGCAGTCTCATGATGATCTCTTCCGCGTCCTGCGACAGCACCTTCCGCTGGTAGCCAATGTGCTTCAGGTCTGGCAGCTGGAACGTTCCGAAATCGTAACAGCTAGGCACAATTTTTGGCAGATTGATTTTGGTGGTATCGACTCTCCAAAACTCCAGCAACGCCTCGTCGTAGTCCTTGGTCTCCAGGTTCATGAAACTGGTTCTTGACGCGTTCGTGATGTCTGTGAGAAACGATTTCTCTTTGGTGATATTGTAGATCAGCCAGGTGTCGATAGTACCAAACATCAGGTCGCACTCTCCGCTGTCATAACTTTGCTGTATTTCTGGGATGTTTTCGTACAGCCAGGTCCATTTGAGAGAAGAAAAATAGGTCGAGATTGGACAGCCCGACCGCTCCTGGAGCATGGCGCGGATATCCTCGGGGACAACACTGTTCAGCTGGTTCATCAAGTTAAGAGTCCGAGTGTCGTTCCAGACAATACCGTTGTGCAGCGGCCTGCCGGTACGTTTGGACCATATAATGGTGGTCTCACGCATGTTGGCGATACCTATTGCCGCCACGTGGTAAACGGTAGGCGAGGACCCATCGAGCGGCTCTTCAGAATTCGAAATTTCGAGTCTCATCAAACAGGCAGCTAGACACTCTAGCACATTGGCCAGAATGTGACAAGGGTCACATTCGACCCACCCAGGTTGAGGGAAAGATAAGGTGGGCCCCATATGGTCTTCTTCGACCTGGACGTGGCCGTCTTTGCCGATTTCCAGGGCTATACCTTCGTTGGAAAAAATGGTTGGGGAATTCCGTTTCGACCCCTCCTTTGCAGAAGTAGAGTACTCGATCTGGTGTTTGGTGATCTCCTCCCCATTCTCGGTGAACAGGATCACTCTGGTGGAGGTGGTACCGACATCTATAGAACAGAGAAGCGGAATACTGGACATCAGTGCAAGCTGGGGTTTAAAAAAAAAAACAACAGGAAACCTATACTACCCCAGATTAGGAGGAAAAAATATTTATGAGATTATGTCTAATGCCAACCCCCATGCAAACTAATAATACTATTTTATTGTATCAGCAACCTTGCAGCCTCTTTGAAATTCGGACTGTTCTTTTCCAAGTCAAACTCCGGGTGGTCCTGCCAGATTAATCGCCGAAAAATCTCGTCCATAACAAGCTGCTGTATGTTATTGGTGAACGGCTCGCGAATGTCGAATCTTGGGTTGGCAGACGCGGCATTAATTTTGGCAATTTCCTCGGCATCAAAATAAATACTCCGCTCGCTGTGCTTCGCCGCCCTGTAGTTCAGCTGGTACAGTTTCTTCGCAAGCAGGTCCCAGTGCTCGGACTGGTTCACGTACACCATGCCCTGGACCAATAGCTTCCAGTTGTCGAGGTCCTCGTAATCGGGAAATTTGCTTTTCAGAAAATTAGTTAGAGCAATAGCAAAGTAGATCTCGCCCGTTAGAATAAAATGCCAGAGAAGATTGCGGACAACGCGAAAACTAGGACTCGATTTGTCATTTGCTTGCGCGGTATCTAGCGTCAACCGCCAAGCCTCATTGGCTTCGCCCCTGGCCAATAGTTCCTTGACCGCCTTGGTGGTCATTGCGACGCTCGTTGTCCGAACTCCGTGCTCCTGCATCGCCGTCCGAATTTCACTCAGATCTCTATTGTCCAGCGACAAGTACTCAAAAAATTCGTCTTGCACGGGTCGCATATCTATCTTTAGCGTCTCCATTTTCCTGTATATCGCTCTTTTCAGATCCAAGTCTCTGAGGCCCCGAAACAGAATATGAAACGTTGTCGCGTTCGGCAAAAGGTGGTACTTGTCCATTATTTGCAAGTTTTCCAGCACATTGGCGATTCTGTTGGGATGGTGTTTCTGTAGCGTTGTCTCCAGAAGCAAGTTCATCACCTCTGTGTCGGGCTGGTAGCCCATCTTGATCATTTTGTCTCTGACCTCAAAACATTCGAGCGTCCTGTATGTTTTGGCAAAAAACCGGATTATCCGCTTGAAGGAAAGTCGCTTTAGATCTGGCGAATTCGTCACTTCGTTGTAGATTCGAGAAATATGCGGCATTAGGCTGGGGTATCGACGGAAATCCAGTTCTGACACAGACGTCACATACCTGTTTATCGATGCCTTTGTGTATTCCGCTGGTGGTTCTGGAAGGAGGTCCCCCAATCTGAGCTTGTCTGTCCGCCTCACCTTGTCTGTCTCGCGACGGAACCCTCGTCGGCCCAGGATGTCCAGAAAATATATCGCGATGACGCTCTCATGGGTGTCCTGTTGCACCTGCAAACCGACTTTTTTGCCTGTCAGTTCCAGAAATCGATCGTAGCGGCTGTGGATCCGTTTTTCCACCGCCTGAAAGGTTGATGTGTTGCTCGCTGCTGTCGAAACACAGAACCTGCGAATTATATTCATAAGTCAAGCCTAAAATTTTATTCGTATTTTTTTATCATGATCTACATTGCCACGAGAGGTGAGTCACTCGTCGTGAATCTGTTTTGACACAGAAATCCAGTCCACCAGCTTCTCGATCGCGTCATTCTCGTCTGGCAGTCTCTCATGCCCGTAGTTCACAATTGCACTGCTCTCTCCCACCTCCTTGTACGTGCTTCGCATTCCGTCGATGGTCTCGCGCCGAAAAACACCCACTTTGTGCTCTCCTTCGAAACGGTGTTCCTTTCCAACTAGCCGTCTGCCCCTCATGTAATTTATGATCTGGTCCTGCCCGTCAACGGAGCACGTAGTTTTCTGTGCATTCCAGAACTGTGATCCCGCCTGCACGGGCCCGCTGTACTCTGAATACACCGGCAGGACGTTACATTCGTATTTGGTCGTTTCTGCTTCCGCAAATTCAATATCTGACGGATGCAGCGATCTGCTCATTACGCGTTGAAATAATGTATTTTCAGGATTTTATTTTTTAATTCGATGAGTGCCATACAGTCCTTCAAACACTACCCATATTTAATCTCCAAGTAGGTATACGAAACAAAACGCGGCTAACAGCAGGTACTGGGACCCGGTGTTCGCGATTTCCGTCGGAGTCGTCTCGTATTACGCCTACGAAAAAAGAGCAGGCCGCCCGGAAGGCCACACTCTTAACGAGCTCATAAGACGCAAGTACGAACGAATGACAAACCAATGATCTGTTATAATACTCAATAAGCTTTATTTTATCATTTATCGTATGCAATACTTGGATCGGGAGGTCTAGACTCTCAAGTCCAAAATAGGCTTCTTCCTCGAAAGCATCCGTTTCGTCCGCTTCGACTGCTGTTTTCGGTCTTTCTTGCCAATGTCGATCAGATCGCGGCCGAAGTTGTCTCTGTTCTTCAGCTTGTAAATACGGACAATCCAGTTCTCGCTGGTAAATGCTTCCTCCATGACGTCCAAGGTGATCGACTTCGCGTAGCCAGAGCTCAATTTTTGCTGTCTCACACGGTCAACAGGATCGAGACCGTTGTAGACATCTCCAAATCGGTAGAACGACAGCTTGTACATCAGCGAGTTCTTCATGGCATCTGTCGCTAAGTCATCCACCCTGTAAGCGCCTCTGTCTGTGAAATAATTGCGCTCGCTAATATCATCAGGCCAAATCCCTTCAGCAATTCTGACCATCCATAAGAACTTGTTGATGTCGTCTCCCGAGTATCCAATCAGGCCGCCAAAAATCACAAGAACATAGTCTACGTCAAGCTGTCTCATAATCGCCTCCGCCTTGTCCTCCGAGGTGGCCATGGCACGGCCAACAGTGGCGATGTGCGTGTTGTTCCAGGTGTTGTTGTCAACAAAAGTGGTTCTGTCAGCCATTCCACCAATCTGGTATCCGTAATCCCACCAGGCCATCACTTTGGCGTCCTCTGGGGTGTTCATACGCAGCCAGTAGTACGCCTCTCTGTAGTCGTCAATTAGCAGCTGAGAACCGTCAGGGTTTCTCGAAGCAAGGACAACCGACGGAGAGGAGTAGGCATTCGACGTCACCCAGGTGCAATGTTGGACGTAGAAAACGAGGTAGAAAACGAAGGTAGCGCTGACAATCATCTTGGACAGCAACGTGAACAGAGTGTCTTGAGACTTTTTGTTGTTCCACCAGCTCGACAGCTCTTCTTTGACGTCCAAATAAATATTGAACAGTCTACCCAATGTGATACCTGCGCAGACACAAACGATAGGAGCAAGAGTCAGCATCAATCTGACCATGACACCCGCAAAATAGGAACCCAGAACCGAATACACGATAACAAACACAGCAGGGTTGGAGAGCTCCTGGAAGCAGAAGTAGACACCAACAGGGAAAAGCCATATCATGAAGTTGAGATCAAAGAAAAACGAGGACCACGGGGTAGGCTGGTGCTCCGAAACAGAGGCAATGATCGGAATATGCACTTTTGCATAGTTGGTGTCCCAAAGAGAGTAAAATCTTCCGGTCCATGGGGCAATCCACCCCATTTTTGTAGCCAGTACAAGACCAGAGATGCCAACAGTGGCCACCACAGCACTGAACGCAAACATCAACCTAACGAACTTTGCTGGGGACAGAGTCTCTTTCAAGTAGCTGACAAGAAGCACCAACTGCAGAAGCCCAAAGACACCAAAGGCGGCCATGTGGTCGTTGGATCTGATCGGCAAGAAGCCGACAAACGGGATCTGCATGGACATCAGCGTTCCCAGGGCATACCAGGTGCAGTATGAGGTGTAGATTTTGTAGTCAAACCGGCCCATCAAAAGCAGAATGAACACGTGCAACGGAATGATATTGGTGATGAACACATAGCCTCCCCAAGCACTGACCATGTAGAAGTAGAACATGGCCGTCAAAGCGCCGTAGAAAATGGAGCCTGTGTTGACCGACTTCACCCACAAGAAAAAGGTCACAAGGAGCAGCGTGATGGCTATGGCCTCATTATCGTAGGAGCCAGCGACAGATCTGGAAATGTATCCTGGAGTAATGCCCATCAAGAACGCGCTGAACAGTGCGGCGGTCTTCTTGTGCCTGAGAGTTGGTGTTGTTGAGGTGACTTCCAATGTCAGAAGGTACATTGCCAAGGAGGTGATCGAGCTGAACGCCGGTGCGAGAAGAACACATATGTTTCTGATGTCGACTGGCAGACCCACAAATTTCAAAATATGGTAGATGACGGAGGAAGTCACCATCAAGCCAGGATAGAGCGTTCCTCCGGTGACTCTTCCGAGCGGATACCATGTCTTATCGTCGAACCAGTTCAGAAATTCGTAAAAGGAGGTGTTGACGAGATGTTTAGTGGCACGAAAATTGAACCATGGGTCGAATTCGTGGATGATCGACTCGAAGCGAATCACCGAAAAAAGCCGCGAGGACACGGCTGCAAACGACACAGACACGAAAATCAGCGTCAGTAGAAGCAATTTCACAAGCTTGAGCAGCGCAGGGTCAACCCTAAGGTATCCCTCATTATCTATCAGTGAGACCATTTCAGGTACAGTTGTGATGTGGGGCCAACGAACGAGTTCCAGTAGGCGCGAATATCCGGCTTGTTTCTAGATATTTCAGCAATCCACGTCAATTGTCGAATTGTTCAAAGATGCTTTTGTACGTGTTAAAATTTAAACTCGAAAAATATCACATATATTAAAAGGCAAAATAACAATCCGCGATAATTGTTGAATTATTGTTCTTGTCCTTGACAAACCACTTACCTTATAATTACATACCTGTTTGACATGACCTCACATAGAACTACGGGCAGTCTAAATCTGCAGCCTATGAACAGCGCAAACTACACAGCAGCCCAAGACGGAGTACAAGATTTGCCAAGTCCTACAAATACTGAGAGCGTAGGAGATAAGCCCAGTGTTCATGCCGCATGTCCTACATCGCAGCCTATTGTCGACATGGCTACGGCGTCGTTACCCAACGAAGAGCGGCAATCTCAGGCCAAGACAGAGCCTAAAGAGCAATCATCAGATTCCCGTCAGTTGCAGCCGCCAGAACCACTAGCTGTGCCTCCCGCTCCATCACTCATATCTCCTTCCGATCCGCCGCCAGAACAAAGAAATAGCTCACCTATGGCTCAAGCCATTCCCGGCAAACCGATGACTTTATATATTGACCAAAAATCGCTAAGCGAGTCCCCTCCGCCGCGAACGAAATCGCCGTTTCGGGACTCGCCCAACATCTTCATCAAGCAAATAAACGACCAGCGACGCCCGATGTATACGCCTGCTGTCTTGCGCTCAGACAGCATAGGCCAAGCAAGCACGGGAAGCGAAACATTCGACGTCTACAAACCCCCAGAACGCCCTATATTGAAATCAGCTCTTTCTTCGTCATCACTCAGATCGCTCACATCTATCACAGACTATTTCGGGGCCTTTGTGAGAGGCTATGGGGGGAAGCCAGCTCAGATAGAAGGGCCTACGAGGCGGCATTGGAAACCCAATAATAGTCGGTTCAGTTGTGCCAAGTGCAACAGGATTTTCCATTTCATGACGGACAGCCGCAGAAAACACCATTGTCGCTACTGTGGTGAGATATTTTGCAACGACTGCTTGAAGAACTTCGTCTATCTAGATGCCAATGCGCATTTCACCCTATTTGGCAGCTCCGAAGACCATCTGGATACGAAAGACAAAAAATATCTCTGCAAAGTTTGTCAAAATTGCGCTCAAAAATACGAGGTGTATCTGAAAGAGCATACCGCAAAGAATTTGGATCTAGACTCAAATAGAAACACAAACGGCAAAGTCAGCACTACGAGGAGGGAAACAATAGCAAACAATCAAAATCCGATGCCCGCAGACTGGGATTGGAGTTCATTTTGATTAATATACAGAGAATTCAAAAGTGGGCTGCGTTCACTCCTCGTTCTTCTCGTTTCGTTCTCTGTTTTCGCGGATCATTGTGTCTCTGACCAGGCCAATTTTGGAGGCACTGATAGAATCGTTTTCAGGTTCATATTCCGAGCCAGAAGAAGCGAAGTCTGTTTCGGTTGAAGAAGAAAGCCCCACGGAGGAGTTGTTGTCAATGTCGTTTGAAATAATAGGCACAGATGATGTCAGCTTGGCTTTCAACGATTCGTTGGCCTGAGCATCTATGCCCGACCGCTCTCTTTCCTGTCTCTTGGCAGCTCTTCTTTTTCTTAGTCTCTGCGTCTTGGCTTCTTCGTACTCGTCCTCAGAGTCCATATGCTCTAGTTGCTCGAGCTGAAGCTTCTTTCTTTCCTGCCGCCTCAGTCTTTTAAGCTCGAGCTTCTTTTCATAGTCATACAAATTGAAGTCTGGGAACAGTTGGGGGCCGTACTCGTTGATCACCTCTGTGATTTCCATTGAAAGTTGTCTCCGCGTCTCACGCAGCCGAGTGAGTCCTTCCTTATTGACCAACGCAAGCCACAGTGGTCTGATCGACTTCAAAAGGTCCATACCCTTGTCGCCGAAAATCAGGGCCGAGTACGTGATCATGGCCGAGAACAAGTAGATGGAACAGAATATAGTCAATGCAGACCTGTCCGAGAGGACATAGTATTTTCTCATGAGCATCGTTCCCAAAACAGAGTAGAAGATGTACAGTAAGGGTGCAAATCCAATACTCACCAGGATTTTCCACGTAGCGATAACGTCTCGCGCCATTATCTTCACCGTGGAGGCCGCCAGAGCCTCGCGTCTTTTTTTCTCGCTAATAACCTTTGTAGCGATGAAAACCGGAGAGAAAAGTATTATGCCTGGCAGAGCCAGGGCTCCTAGCACGACAAGCTGGACCAGCGAAGTGACAAACCGCGTGAAAATGGTCAACGTGTCGTCGTTGCGGTCTCCTTCTACCAAATGGTCGGGAATTTTGAAGATCCGCAGTTTCTCGTTGTACTCAAGAATACTCTTCTTCAGCTCCATGATGCGAGGCTCGTCTTTGTAGTGGAGATAGCCCTTGAGGAGTCTCCGGTTCATTTCAATGATACTCTGCAAAGAAAGGTGCTTTGACATGTTGTTGGAATACAGTCTACGAGCGACCTGGACACACGTCAGACTCTCGTAGTCAGGGCATGTAACGGTGACTGCTTTTAATCCGCGAGTGATTGTTTCGAGTAGCTCCTTGATGGCATCCTTTGAGGTTTCTGGGCTGGAGTATTTTGCAACCAGTTCCGGGCTGATCTCGATTGGCGCACCGAATTCCACAACCGCACGCGAACGGAACTTGTGCGGATGGAAGTAGTTCATTCCACAGGGAATGATCTTGACGTTGCATCCTGGATGGGCTTCCATAGCCCCGAGAGCCATCACGGCCACACCGGCCTTCAACGGAAGCAGGTCGGGGCGGTCGTGGGAGCCACCCTCGGAGAATAGTCCGAGACAGTGGCCGTGTGCGAGATGTTCAAAGACCTTGTGGTAAACCTCGGACTGGTCGATTCTTGGCGCCGTTCTGAACGCAGTTCCCGACTCGAGCGCTTTTTTCGCCTCGTCAGCGGTCTTAGGGGACGAGAACCTGAAAGGCTTTCTCAAATACAGCTCTGTGTCCGAAACTATTTCTCCAACTTCGGCGGTGCCCCACGAATTAGGCAGTGCAAGAAGACCCTTGGATTGGCATACCTTGGTGAACTGCGTGTCCATTCCAAACACATGGTACTCGTTTTCGGGATCTATCTTGATGGAGCCGGCCGCCGGCTTCAGACAATCCTGAGCGCGACGGACAGGGATAGACATCTGGCTTCTACTAATAAGACCGATAAACTTGCGCTTGTGGCTCTTTTCGGCGATCAGAAAGCTGATCCGCCGCCCGGTCTCATTCTTGACCTGGCCCATGAGCACAATGGGGTCAACAAACTGGTTGGCATGGGGAGCAGCCACGAAAATTAGGGGGCCCGACTTGGGCAGGCGGAACGCTCCACGCGGCCGTATCTCGCGGAAAAAGCAGTCGAAGATCACCGTGAACGTCCACAGCACCAGATCGTACACTAACTTGCGGAACCACGAGGGCTCCTGCCAACTGGAACTGGAAGACATGAGGAGAGCTTGAGAGCGAGACCAAGAAAAATTAAAATCAAAAAATCACCACAATAACCGTGTCATGGCGATTATCGTTGACAATTACAATACCGAATAGAAGCCCGCAGAAGTCGATTTTTCCACACTAGCGGTGCTCTGCATGCACTCCTTATTTTGGCTATAGCCTAACCCAATTTTATTTACCTGGTCAATAGCAGTATTACTGCTTTCGGAAAACTACAAACACGGCAAAACTATTTGATGCACACTAGCTTTTAGTTCCTCTCAAAAATGCTCGTCCTGAGAGTGCTTTTCCCCATGTTCGCTTCAATTGGGCTTTCGTGGGCCTCTGCATCTGTGGCACTTGCTATGGTGGTCCTCGCGTACTCCCGATCTGTGCCACTTATCCTGATCACAGCACTGGAATACGCAGCTGGATTGTCTCAAGTCGCCTGTCTATGGAGCAGAGACCACAATTTCAACCGCGCCTGTGTGATAATAAATCTTCTGTCCGTCCCTGTTGTCATATACTGGCTGGAGACCGTGCTCGAGGCTCCGTCCAAATGCAAGTACATGAAGCTTGCCATGCTCACCACGTACATTCTGTCGTGTCTCTTCAAGCTAACAGCCGGCCGTCGGCCGGTAAAACTTCCGGACCCAGAAGCGAACGTCAGGAACAAGCACTCTTCCCAGACTTTGGTGGACGAAATGGCAGAGAAAATCATGGACGTCCACTGCCAAAAGTCTCTCGACCCATTGCAACCAGCAGAAATACATGATCAACGTTCTAAGCAGGACTCAGAAAATTCAGAAAAAATGTCAGACCAGAACGTCTCATCCGAGTCTTTCCACCTGCACTTCAAGGCTGACGTCCAAGCACAGCAGCTCCTGCAATCGAAGATGCCACAAATGCTACCACAGCTGGAAGAAACTCTGGCACCAATGTCATGTTCTTCTGCCGAGCTCGAGAATATTACAGAAGTACCAAAGCCGCACTGGGCTAGCCCAGCAGACCCGGGCCTCAACCACGTCTCGCTGGAGGCCTGGAACGAACACTCTCGCCAATGGCACGAGGAACAGCAGCTCTGGGGAAACAATTTCTTCAAGCGGCCGGATCTCACCAGGTCGTTCAGCGACCTGTCCTCAGTGCTGACAGGCTACCATTCGCAGGGCACCCAGTCACGGTCCAGGTCTTCCACTATCACCAGGCATTCACGTGGCTCGCCGTCGAGGTCGATCCGCAAGTCGCCTTCGTTGCATTCGACTTCCAGCAGCCCGCTCAAGAGACTGCGCAGTCTCAAATTCAAAAAGCGTCTCGGGCATTCCCAGTCGCAGCCAGAACTCAACTTCGAGTTCCTCAAGTCGCTCCAGACGTCCCCGATCCGCACACACCAGTACCAAAAGCCGCTTTCCTCAAACTTCAAAACGCCCAGCAGCTCGCCGGTCAAATCGGTTGCAGGAGTGTCTGTGCGGCACTTAAACGAAAGTCTCACCCCAGAGAGCCAGTTAAGTGACCGCTCCAACGACAGCAGCGTCCCGTCTGCGGTGGTCGGGGCCTACGACCGCGAAAAATGGCACACAATTAAAAGCCAGCTCATGCTTGAGGCCCAAGATAACACGGGTCCAAGGGAGGAACGCTCTCCTCTACGGAGCTGTGCATAAGTCCGGTAATAAGAACATTATTGTGCATATTATTATCTCTATTTTATATAACGTTCCCGTGCATAAGTTCTGCAAGATTTTGTATAAAATTATTATTGACATTCCACCCCAAGGCCGTCGGCCGTGGAATTTCTGAAAAGTTCAAACTTGAACATTTTAAAGACTCTGTATGGTCGATCCGACAAAAGACGACTCGTCCGCAGGAACGCGCGACATCCGACAGCTTCCGAGAAGAATAGGGTCCCCTTATGATTCTGCCCGACCTCACACAAGTGCACAGGAAAATGTCTCGCGTCCGTCCACCCTTCTTCCTCCATTGACCTCGACCACGTCCTCCACTTCAGCCAGCTCGCATTTTTACTACCAGTCCCCGCAGCACTTTTTCCAGAGGAACACCCCGCCGTACTCCTCCAGTTATAGTGATCTACCCCACAGTAAAGGCTACAATTACCTGCCACAAGCTCCGCCGCGCCGATTAAGCTCATCTAGAACCTCGATTTTTCAGACACAGATAAGCCCTGTGGAATATGCGCCGGCCGACCCAGGAGTCGACTTGTCGATCTTTACAGAGGAAGACGCGGTCATCTTGCGAAATCTTCTTCCGCTGGCAGAGATCCATAAATGGAAGTTCGTTGCAACCAAACTTTCAAAAAGAAGATCGAAAAAGCTTAATGCTGACTTCTGCATCAAAAAATTCCACGAGATGTTCGATCTCCCATTTAACCCGGCTCACTCCCTGTTCAATTCCCAGTACTTTCTGAGAGCATCAGTGGGTACGGCCCATTCTAAAAGAAATCTTGAGGGTCTGGTTGGCAGTTCGCTGCCGTACATTGTCTGCAAAGACGGTTGGAACAATGTTCACTATGACACCTCGCACCGGGCCTCGGCATAAAAAAATATGTAAAGAAGATTATCTAACATGCTTAAATTATCGAGAGCCCTAAGCTCAGTCGTATCGGGCACACGCAATTCGCCTAGTTTTAAAACGTATTTGAGACTGAAGGATGGGGAAATTGGATCGTTCTTCCATGACGTCCCATTGGGCCTGAACAAAGAAAAGCGTATCGCCAATATGGTGGTAGAGATCCCAAGGTGGGTCAACGCTAAATACGAAATAGCTAAAGATGTCAGGGCTAATCCAATTGTCCAGGACACCAAAAAGGGAAAGCTAAGGTATCTTAACAATATTTACCCGAACCACGGAGTGCCACACAACTACGGTGCCTTCCCGCAAACTTGGGAGTCTCCGCTGGAGGCGTCGTCGCTGGTGAATCAAAATATCCTAGGAGACAACGACCCGCTAGATGTCATCGATATCGGCCGTGACGTGTCTCCCACGGGGACAGTCAAGCCTGTAAAGATTCTCGGCTCGCTCGCCCTGGTTGACGACGGCGAATTGGACTGGAAGGTCGTTGTCATTGATACGAGCGACCCGCTCGCCGCCGCGTTGAACGACGTGAAAGACGTTTACGAGAAAATGCCAGGAGTTTTGGAAAACCTGAGAAGATGGTTCCAGGTATACAAGATGCCAACAGGCAAGAACCCAAACTCTTTCCTGTTCGATGGCAACTACAAGGATGCCAAGTTCACCCTTAAAGTTGTGCAGGAGTGCCACGAAAGCTGGTACAAGCTGGTCATGGGTGAGCTCCACGGGGACAATCTTCCGTCAACAGAGAACGCTACATTGCCGAATACTAAGGGCAACACCGTGTTTGATGTGAAAATTGAGCCTTCGCCGAAAGAAGAGCAAGTGCCACCGGAAGTCAATGACATGAGCTTCATCAGGTAGCAGTGTCGACCTGTATATATTATATTTAGTACTCCTTGCACCTGGAAGTGAAAAAAAAACCCAAGTAAACAAAAACTGGTTCAAGAGAAACATTCTTAGATGGGTGTCAGCCAGACGAGCGTTGATAAACCTGAGCCTGCAGTTGATCTAAACTGGACATTTCGGCATGCATATCTGACGCTGCTCAATGGTGTCTCGGATTCTTCTGCTTCGTCATTTTTAAGCAGGTTTGTCGAATTAAATAAGAAACATCTTTTGGCCAAGAACCTGCCATTCCAAAACAAAACATCCAAGACGGCTTCAGATGACTTTCAAATTGGGCCACGGATTGTCAAAAATAAATTGACTTCTAAGCAGCAGAAAGATGTTTCTGAGATCTCAACGACATTGCGTCTTGACGTCCATGAGGTTGCCCGGATCGTTCAGATCACTGCCGAGAGAATCCCAGATGAAAGTGAAATCGACAGCGCCGACAAATCATTATTCCAATCAAGAGAAAGCCATGACGATGTTACGCTTTTCTATTCCAATGTCATCAAGGAATCCAGAGCAGTCCTGAAGACGCTTCTGTATTTAATAAAGAACGAGCATTCGCTGTCGCCCGATCTGCAAGACATTTGTTACGAAATCAAGCAAAATGGCTACGACTTGCTCCAGGCCTACATCGAGTCTTTGGTGGAGTGGAACAAGACACCGATAGAGATTTCTCAGAAAAGCCTGCAAATGGAGCTCGAACTACTGGTTATGGATATGCTGAATCTGATCCTATATCTTATATTCAAAACCGGTGTTGGTTTTACCAAAGGTACAGCAATGAAGTGGTTCAGGTTGATGAAAGATTCCAATTTCTGTGGTCTTTCTCGTCTTTGTGAAGATGACAGTAACGACAGGGTGGCGACCTTTGAAAGCCTTTGCACTATTCTGTCGTTAGTGATGCTGGACCTCGATTTCAATTTTGGAGCGCTAACAGATGAGGATTCGTTCACGAATGACCCAGAAATAATGTATGCCATTAATGACTGTCTATTGACAAGTCATGCCAATTCCATCGTCTTATATGCTTGGAGCATCATATTGCATAGGAAGCATTTGGTGATTTCAAACAACCCCAGCCATCCGATCAGTGTCCAGTTGATTCAGAAGTTTGGCGGGCTTGAAAATCTACAGAAGATCTACCTAACATGCGCTAAAAAAGCCGAGGAACTCGACGTATGTGCATCCATGATCAGGTGCCACGCAATACTGTCCTATGATAGTCTATATGATGCCATTCTGGCAGCCTTTGTTGTTGCCTTTGTTCCCTACATCCAGCTTAACGACAACATCACTCTTGCAATCAGAAAAATAATGACTAATGCCCCAGACAGGATAGTTGAGAGGTTTTTCCTCAACCCAGCAACAGAAGACTTGATGGCCATTGCTCGAGCTAAGCTGCCTTTGTCAATCAAGTCTTTTATCCGTCTTGTCGGAATAAACTCGAACTTGGCTTATGAAGAGCTCGCTAATCTCAAGTCCTACATGGAGGTGTTCAAAGAGGAAGATTTTTATTACAAGTACCTCATAGACGATGAAAATCCCCAACTAATCAAGCTCACACAAGATATCGATGTCCTGCCCCCTTACGAAACTCCCGGAGAACTGTCATTGCTGCTGAAAGAAGGCACGAAGGCCCAACTCTTCCCTGGGGCAAACAAAGATGACTTGGTTGTGGCTTTTCTTTACGATTATAATGGATGGACCTTGCTTGGTCGAATTCTGAAAAATCTCTCGAAGAAACTGGATAGTAACCCTGAAAAAGTTGATCTTGCGTGCGAGATATTCCAACTAATGACCAAGATCTCGCAGGAGCTCGAGAAAGACAAGTTTGACGAGGTTATAAAAGCAATGAGCATGTTTGCAGATGACTGTGATGTCATCGAGGTGATCTTCCGTATCCTAGAGCAAGCGCTCCAGTTGCGGAATGTCCATTTGTTGCAATCTGGATTCGATCTTCTGTCTTCTCTCTCTCTTTGCGGATATTCATTCAGGATATGGTCATACCTTTACAAGTCGCAACTTCTTGGGTTAAAGGCCAATGCTGGCCTGGCCAGTACCATTTTGGGAACAGTTGAGATGGTTAAATGGAGGTACGGGTTCACATTGTCTTTGCTAAAACTCACAAATTCTATACTAGATGACTGTTTAGTCGTTTCTGACGACGTCAATTGGAAGCTGAAATCTGAGGTGCTAGATCGGCTAGTGGCCTACTGTATTCATGTTTATGAAAACTTCCTGCACTGGATGTTCACTGACGATGTTCAGAGGCTACAGATTGGAACTTATGCTCAGTTAGTTTTTGTGAAGATCATTGTTTCTCTCTATGGAGTTGACAATGGAACAGACCCAAAGGCAAAAGTGACGCGTGTATTCGCTCAGTCTTGCGAAAGAATCACAAGGATGTTTTTGGTTCCTGATATTCAAGTTTCAAGAACTTCAAAGCCAATTTTGGAAACTTTTAGTTCCCTTTCTGACGCGGTCACGGATATTGATACCTCGGGGCTCTTTGGTCTTTGGCAGCAAAGGTTCATTGACGGTATGTTTGAGTTCGCTACAACTTTGATATCCATCAGAAGCGCCTGCCAAGGGACTCTTGCATCTGCCTTCGAGATGGACCTTTATTCTATAATTCCAAGGCTGGTCGATTTGTACGCTGGCACAATGAACCTGCGTGCAAGTGTCTTGAATCTTTTATCAAGCCTTGTCAGCACGAGCTGGGAGAAAGAGCCGCCATCTCTGCTCACTCACCTTGGACAGGAACATACGCAACTTTTACTTAAGTGTCTAGCTGTGGACATGGCAAATGAGTTTGAGACACATGGAATGAAAATAGCGCTTTTCAGGTTTTTCTCCTCAGTCATGGAAGGAGATCAAGAAGGGCTGTCGATCGTTTTTATCACTGGACGAAATATCAAGGATTGCATTCTAGACGAGAAGAAGAGCCTCAGTAAGGAAGATAAATTGAGGAAGTCGCAATTGTCGCTTCTGAAGATTTTGAAGGCACTGATTTCGAAAATATCCGTCTATCCAAGCAATGTGTCGCTAAAGTTGGTTGAATCTCTTGCCCTTGCGTTCAACTCGTGGACAACCGCCAAAGAAGATAACGACGATGAGAAGTTTGTGATGAGCATCATCAGCGAGTTGAGCTCATTCCCGAAGCCACTGTCAACTGACGATGGCGAGGCTTGGAAGGAGTATTTCTACCAAGTCAACATAAAAGCAAAAATGGCCGAAATAGTGTCTCTGTATCTGTTTGTTTCCAAGAACAACGCGAACAAAACGAAGATCTATCAGCTTCTGAATTCCCAGGATTTCATCGCGCAGCTTAAGGATAAGTTTGAGCTTGAAGATGGCTCCCTCTCTCCGATTGAACACGAATTGAAAGAGTTCACCATAGACGGGATGAGTTTCAAGCTTTCGCAATTTGAAAGAACTCCCTTTTTTGTCAAAGAAGCTTATGGGCATGATTCCTCGCATTCTTTGGAACTAATGGACAAGCTATTCGAAAAAAGCGCAAAGTGGGAAGTAGTGAGAAATCAAGTTATTGCCAGCAGCTTAAGTTTCCAATTGGTCTCTGCGCGCGTCACGGCTGCTAAGTCTTTTGGTGCCTTGGTCACCTGCTTCTGCAAAAATAACGGGGTTGAGATCGATCCCCAGTACATTTCTCTTGCTACAACTCTGTTAAAAATCAACGACCAAGAAGGAATAATCTCACCTAAGTTTGCCATTATATACCAGGAACGCATCGATTTGGCGTTCTTTGTTTGTCTGACTTTCTCCAAACGCAAGGAAAACAAGTTTGACGATAAGATAGTGTTTCCTTTGATTTCCTCCGCCTGTCAACTCCTTGTGTCAAACGATATCGATTTGCTAGGGGGGCTTCTGAGCTTTGAAAACCAAAACTACCGTCCGCTATTAAGAACTCTCCTGATAGCCCTTGGCATGATCAAAAAGGACACCATGCTGTTCATGGAATATGGAGCCACTTTTGTGGACATTTTTAGTGCAATCATTGCCAACTCTGTGAAAACGATATTCAAGTCCATTCAAAATGAAGTGATGGCTTCTAGAAAAACAGACTATGGAAGCTCCTTGCTGGTCTGCAAACAAGCAGATGACCTTTCGCTGATCATCAGTCTGCTGCACACGCTAGTCAATAAGCATCTTCCTCGTGACTTGGAAGTTTCCATCGCCAAGTTGGTGATAGATTCGGGCCTCTTCAGATCGACCGCAAATTTTTTCTCCTGCTCCCATCTAATCAAGGTCAATCAGGAAGCAGTATTTTCGGAAATCTCTCTCAAGATCATCAACGAGCTTGTGCAATTGAAGCCGGTAGCAGAAAAGTTATTGGCAAATGGATTATTTATGGTTCTGGTTGACTCTCAGATTTCGGTGCAAATTCAAAGAGGTGATGTTTCTCCTGTAGTACCCGCCACGGCTAGGCTGCACCAAATCTGGGTTGACGGTCTTTTATCGACCATTTTGACTTTGATCACGACGTTTGGCGAGAAATTATCGTCTGAGATCTACTTGTTCGTCAAATCATTTTCGAAACAGTTCCAAAGCACTCTATCCGGATGGTTGGACTCTACCACGCCTATCAGTCTTCCAGTAGTCCACGAGACCTCCCAAATCATTTTCTTGGCCAAAGCTCTCAATCTGCTGGACATTTACGAGAACGTGGCTTCCAATTCTGATTCTGTTAAGCTCATTCCAGGTCTGGATTCTAAAGAGGAACGGCTCAACCTTGTCAACGGTTTAAACTATCTCATTTCGCATCCCAAGTTCCTTTCTTCAAGAATCGTCGCATCTAATCTCGAAGAGCAAAAATTGCTCGACTCGGACGAGAAGTATAAACTCGTGGATCGTGTTCTTGATGAAATCAAACAGCTGAAAGATATGCTTTTAGAATGATTACATAGAACAGATTAAATCTTGTTCCTCTTCAGTTTCAAGAAGTCTTGAAAGGTGCCAATTCTGACAGTAGTGTCGCCGATCTTGCGGCCGTTGAACTTGAAGTCTGCCATGCCAGAGCTTCTCACACTTTCAAATTCAACCAAGGCCGCGTTGTTCGCAGGTTGCCACTCTATCTGGGTGACTGGCCCTATTTCTTCGAAAGTAGTCTTGAGATTCTCTGTGCTAATCTTGTCGTCAACATTGAGCACCGAGATTGTCCTAGCTTTATCAAACTTCCCTGTTCCGATAACAGAAACTTTCTTTTTCTTGGGGGTGGCTAGTTCGACCTTCATTGGTCTTCCAGCCAGCAACTTGCCATCCAGTTCCAGACTCTTAACGGCATCGGAGCTGGACTTGAAGGAAACAAATGCGAATCCGTTGTTAAGCTTCTTGCTCATTCCATCACGTTTCACAGGAATGCGGATTAATTCAATATCACCATATTTTGAGAATTCCTCGCTTAACTTATCCTCGTCGACCTTGTAAAAGTCCAAGTCACTAACATACACTTGTCTACCCTCTTCCAGTGCGCCCTTGCGATCTTGTCTGGCGTCAGGGTTCGAGATTTTGACTGTCAATTTGTAATCACCAGTTTTCCCCTGTATCGTATGGCCATCCAATACTTTCATAGCGGACGCGGCATCGTGTTCAGACGAATATTCAACGTAGCAAAAACGTCTTTGCACGTTGCTTTTCAACGATGGCAGTCTAACGGCCAATACTTCGCCGTACTGTCCAAAAATCTTCTTCAGGTCCTCCACAGTTTTCTCGGGAGGATAATTTGCAACCCAAAGCGTGTTATTCTGCAGATGCACCACCTCGATCGGCGAGTCCTCAATTATTTTGCCATTTTTCTTCATAGCTGACAACAGTCCTTGTTCGTCTGAAAATTCAATAGTCGCCTTCCCATCGAAAAGAGAGACGCTACGAATCTTCCCACATGAGCTGAATATATCTGTCAATGCCGTCTCATCAATCGAAGGGGGCAGATTAGCTACCAGTATAGTTAGGTGTTCGCGATCTCGGGTCTCGGGTTTTGGTTTCCTTGGCTTTGTTTCGGCAGTGTCCTCGTGTGCTCTTCTCTTATTTTGCGACAGTTCTAGCTTCTGTCCCACTTCAAGCTCTGAGAGTCGTCTTTTTTTTTCTTTGATCCGTGACAGTGCGAGTCCGCAAACTTCAGTGCAAAATTCTTGACTTTCATCCGTGCCTTTGAGAAGTTCGAACCTTTTCCACTCAGCAGCTAGCCGCTCAGGCCAATCCAGTCTCTCGGCAAGATCCATAGCTTTTTTGAATAAATCTGTCACATGTCTAAGATTGCCGTGCCTCTTTTCAAAGTCTATAGCATACAGCCATACGTCCGTTTGACTGTCAAAAGCCTCCAAAAAGGGGAGTAAAAAATCATTTGTGATGCGATCAATGTCTCCCATTTCCTCCTGAACCTCAATACACAATTTTGCGGCAGTGTGGAATATGTCCCCTGCTTTCAGGGCTCTTGAAAAATAATTATATGTATCTTCCATCAAAAGTGGCTGCGCCATCGCAGGATTCTCTTTAAGCATACGAAGTTCCATTCGCAGAATTTCACAAAAGACAGGTGCCAAATTTAGATCGGTGTAGCTGTTGAACTGAGACCGTGCTCTTTGGAATTGATCCGGGAAACAGTCATGGATGTATTGGATCCACGCTTCTACATTGGAGGGCTCAATTTGGACCACTCTTTCCCAAAACGCCAATTCATCCACCTCCAAGTTGAATGACAGATAGGTTTGGATTACTGGCACAAAAACCTGGATGCTAAGACTTCTTTCCACGGTGCACTGAATTAGGCGATTTTTGGTCACTCTGTCTAGCACTTTGCTTCCGTGCAATGCTTTCAAATAGCCAATCCAGTATTCTGGACTTCTGTCCTGTCTTTGGAGCTCCCAAGGCTCGATTTTCTCTAGTATCTGTGTCACTTTTTTCTTTATTTGAAGTATCTCTTTCATTTTATCTGTGTATTTTTCTCCAAAGTGATCAGACACAAACCTGGAGTAGTCACTCAAAAGGCTTTCGTAGTCTAAGCTCGGTATTCGCAACTGTTGAAGCCAAAGCTGGTCAAGGCTTGCAGCATCGTGGATCTTATTTCTGCAATGCTTATAGTAGAGTCCCCACATCTCGTAGTTGTTTGTCACATCGTACTGTGTGCGATAGTATGCTAGCTGGTAGTTTTCGTCTGTGGGGCTTTCTTCGAGCAATCTCCGCCATAGCAAAAACGACGTTGGATGCAATTGTAGCTGGGTCTTCAGTGACATAAATTATTTAAACACATTTTTAAATACGCTTTTTAAGCACCTATCCAGAAATTACGCTCTTCTATTTTCTACATTTTGTTTCATTTCCCAGTCTCGCAGTGCAGCTTCCCATTCATCCTCGGGATCCTGTTTTCCTTGTATACTCTGGAAGTACTCTTCCAATTCATGACGTTTTTCTTCTTCGAGCTCATCCCATCGTTCCTTCTCGTCTATCCATCTCTCGTGGATGTCGATATCTTCCATAAACGCCAGGGATGATTGTCGAACAGCATCGGACCAAATGGAGTCGCCTCCAAGCTCGTTCGTTCCAAAACAGTACCCATTGGCCTTGTCAATTATCGAGAGAAGATTGATCATAGAAACTTTATCCTCAATTGCCAGAACCGTGTACTGGATCAATCCGAAATCCTCGATAAGATCCGCTATCAGGGTTGTCAGCCTCTCGTACTTCTCATTAAAATAACTCCTTTGATTATTCTCTGTGCGCACATATGGCAAGAGCTGGTTTAAGTCTTGGACTTCTGTATAGTATTGCAGCCTGAAGGGCAAGCCGCCTTCCAGGTCGTCATCGTCGGTTTCTCGTCTTTTGCGCTGTTCCATTTTAGAAGCCTTCTCGCGGTCAATGTAGGATTTCAGAAGATCGATTTTTGATATCACATTGACTTGCGGCAAATCCATCTGAAGCATTGACCTCAAAGTTAAGAGCAGCGTCGAAATATAGTGAGAGGGGGTGATCAAATTGATAGAGTCTACTAACGACACCACACAAAACCTGAAATCAAGCTCTTTCTCTAGCTTGCCGAAGATATTCCTGAAAATGGGGTTGTTGGTGAACAGCTCTGTCTGCCCGGGGCAGTCGAAAATAATGTACGTGGACTGCCCATCTAGACTTAGGGACATCAAATCTTTGATCTTCTCAATGAAGTACTGGATGCTTTGCTCAAACACCTCCAAACAGTATACCAGGCCTCCGTTGGGGCCCAATCGTATACTCTCGTCGTCCATTATTTCTTCAAGGGTGATAAAGTCTCTAATATCGACCGTGCAAGGGTATGGCAGAAGATCGTTGGCTGGATCCAGGTTGACGATTAGTGAGTTTCTGCCTATTGAGTTCAAAAACTGGCTCATACCGTTGCAGTATGTCGACTTCCCGGCGCCGGGAGGACCGATCACGATCTGTCCATACGGAGGCATAAATTAACTTTTTTTTAATTTTTTTTTCTAACTCCTACTTCAAATGGAACACGAGATATCCCTTATAGATGCTATTCTGTACAACTTGGTCGCGGTCAAGCAGCTTTACGAGTTTGAAGTAAACCACCTTTACACGTTTGCTAGCCTGACTCGCCGTTTCGTGGAGGAAAAGAGCGAAGAAGTGGGAGATAAATGCACAGTATTCAAAGACAAGGCAGCAAAGGAAGAACAATGGGTAAAGGAAAAGATACGTAACGTGCAATCGGAAATTAGCAGGTTGGACAGGGAGGTAGAAGAGCGCAAGGCTTCAAAGAAAAAGCTGATGGAGCTGTTCGAAAGTCTGAGGAAGGTCGATGAGTACGATCACAAAGAGTCCAAATCCGACGAGTTGCCTATAATGGAGATCCGCGAAGAGCTGGATGATGAAGGGCACGTAATTTCTGGTGATGTGAAACCCTATGCAGAAATGTCAAATGATGACCGACGTGTGGAATCATCTCGGTCAATCAACCCAGAAACAGGTGAAACCAAAAATGAATCAGTGACACGCAAGGAACCAGCTTCGCAGTCAAAGGAAGCAGACTTTGATACCACTCTGAAGTCTACCGAACATGAGGCGGAAAAAAAAGAGGTCCCCACTCAAACTCAGAAGATTGAGGAACTATCTGAAGAAGAGCAGAAGAAAATCGATGAGGATCGAGAACAACTGGCTGAACTTCTGGACGATATGGATATCGTTCCAAAAAAAACCTCTAATGTGAATACTGAAAAAGAAGAAACAAAGCAAACTGAGGAAACAAAGGAAGCTAAAGATCTCAATGAATCTTCGGAGAAGACTTCTGATTATCCTCCCGGAAAACCAGCAATCGACCCAGAAGATATCCTCACTCTTGAGATGATTGCTGAGGATTTTGATGACGAGGATTTCGACGAAGATGAGAGCTCTCTGACAGGAGCGTTTCCGGAAGAAGAAGGGGAGGACGATGATGACGATGATGACGATGAGAGCTATGTCAGAGTTGTTCCAAGTGGTGCAAGAAGTATGTTTCTTCAACAGATAGCAGAATTACGACAGAGAAAACAGGAAAAGGGTAGTTTGCCGAATCTTCCGGAACCTAAGAAAGCAGAAGCAAAGAAGAGCGTTAAATTTGCGGAATCGGTTCAAATCAATGAAGTAGAAAACGTTTCTGAGGAGCTGAAAAAGACCCGAAACACGAAGGTGTCTCGTTTCAAGCTCCAACGCCAACAGCGAGGTGTCAGTCGTGAAAGTACATCAGATGAAGACTCAGAGGAAGTCATGCATGATGTGGTTGAAAGAGACATTGAGGAGCAGTCGGATAGCGATAGTTCAAAGATATCTGCTGTTCCAGCTTCTCTGGACTACCGGGCGATGCAGGACGATCTGGATACGATGGCGAGAGCTTACACGCTGGGAATGTACGACGATGACATTGAGACCCATGGCGAAATTATTGAGAAGCTCGGTGATTTCGAGTCTCATAACAAGATGGTGGAGTCAAAACCTGTTGGTGTGCCAAGAGAAGAAGATGATGAGCCTGAGGAGGAGGAAGATGATGACATGGTATTAGTGGACAAAGTTGTGGAGAATGAGGTTGACGACGCAGATGAGGATCCTGACATCGAACTTGCAGATGAGGTTCTGGAAGCAAATATTGCGATGGATTACACGAGACTACGAACAAAAATGATACACCAGTATAACGGAGGATTTCAAGAGAGCGAGAAGGAGAAGGAATATGAGCCTATTGAGCCGATCAAGACAAGTCGTTTTAAAGCTGCTCGATTAGGGCGTATCAATTAGCACATCTCCATAGGATTTTAAAGTATGTAGCTATTCAATTTACGATCTTTAACGTTTTGGTTGGCTCATACCCACCGAGTATAAACGGCTCGATCCCAGAGTCACATACGGCCTGATCTGAGGCTGAACGCTGCTGTTTTCTAAGGTATGTTGGTTTTCTGGTGAAGATGGTTGTGTCAGGAGGCGACATGTGGTGTTTGTTAGGTTGCGGTTTTGGTTTTGGAGGACACTGAGGGTGACTTTGGGGGCGTGGAGAACTAAGACTGTAGTCCCTCACATCAGCCTGGTTAAAAGTCTCGATTGGAATAGAAGGCAGCGGTTTGTAATAGGTATCGGGAGAGTCAGCTTTGGGTAGCGATTCTTTGGATGAATGAGTTCGAAGCGAGAATAAAGAGTGCTCTGAGTCAGAGTTGGCAGGATAGTGGTCAGATTCGCCCATGTCCTTGTAGCTATTGATGAAACTTGTGACCAGTGAAGTGTCTGAGCCGTTATTTTCCAAGTGAAGGGGCGAGGAAACTGCCCTTTTCGGGCTGCTCCTCTCTTTCTTCTCGGTCACCGCGTGTCTGTTGGAGAAGGAGTGTTTCTGTGCAAATTCTGAAGAGGCACGATGGAAACCTGGTAAAGTCATAGCTTGCTCCAAGCGTGGCGAGTGAGGAGTGTGAGAGAATGATCTGGTTTTGAGCTTGAACTTTTCAATTTTATGGCTGGGAGACGGCGGAGGAGGTAGCCCTACGTCGACTTGGACGCTTAGAGGATCGAAATAGTCTTGATCCAACAAGATCTTGTGTCCCGTGTGTTTCCTCATCAATCTCTTTTGTTGCTAACTTTGAGGCTTGGGCGATTAATATTAACTGTTGTAGGGGGCTGTCTTCAGATTGCTACCATTTCGGGAAAATCTGGGGATAGTCGTGGTTGACCTAAACGGTCTAATATTTTTTTTATTTTTTTTTCAGACTTAGATTTTAAAGTAGTATGTCAAGTCGGGATAAGAAACCTCCGCTGGAGTCACGGTTGGGCCGCGACGAGCCATTCGACTTTGGTCAGAGATATCTAAAAAATGAAGAAGAGGTCTTCAACTACAACGCGTGGGACAACGTGGACTGGGACGAGGAGCAGCTCAAAGAGTTTGAGGAAAAGATTAAGCAGCAACACAACGAGCCCGTCCCCGAGTACTACAGAAAGCTGTACAACGAAAAGCCAGCCAAATATTGGGACATATTCTACAAGAACAATCGCGAGAATTTCTTCAAAGACAGAAAATGGTTACAGATAGAGTTCCCTTCCCTTTACGAAGCGACAAAGCCAGACGCTCCCGCATGCAACATCATTGAGATTGGCTGTGGGGCAGGGAATACAATGTTCCCTATCTTGCAGCAAAACGAGAACAAAAACCTCAAACTGTTTGGTTGCGACTACTCCAAAGTGGCGGTCGATCTGGTGCGATCCAACGAGCTCTACGAGAAGAACGCTGGAGTTGTACACGCATCTGTATGGGATCTAGCCAATTCAAACTTAGAGCTTCCAGAGGGCGTCGAGCCGCACTCGATTAATATTGCAGTCATGATCTTTGTCTTTTCGGCCCTGAGTCCCGATCAGTGGGAGCACGCAATCAACAATTTGTCGAAGATGATGGCCCCAGGCGGAAAAATTTTGTTCCGTGACTATGGCCGCTATGATCTTGCGCAAATTCGGTTCAAGAAAAACCGCCTTCTTGACGACAATTTCTATGTCAGAGGAGATGGCACCAGGGTGTATTTCTTCACCGAGGAAGAACTCAGAAACGTATTCTGCGGTCCTTTCATAGAGCGCAAAATTGCATATGACAAGCGGCTTTTGGTGAACCGCAAGAAACAGCTGAAGATGTACCGTTGCTGGATGCAGGCGGTGTTTGAAGTTCCCGAATAGCTCACTGCTCGTTTTTTTGGATCATCTTGATAGAGATATGTAGAAAACCGTCCAGCGATTTCATGCAAATATAGAGGTCGATAATAGAGCTGTTGAGCGGAAGAACGACTCCGTGCGAGTACGGGTGTGCCACAGTGTACATCAGCGATGACGGGAATAAGTCCGGAACCAAATCCTGAAGCATATTGCCAAGAGTCATTTTTCTGCCCAGATTAGACAACACTGGCTGAATGAGTTTGTTGGATAGAGGAAGATAAACTTTGATAGGGAGATTTTTCAAGCTAGACACGCTGGAAGGCAGCAGCTTTCTGAACATGGACTCGAACTGTGTCGAATCTTTGTGGATGGCAGCGTGATAAAAATCGTCTGTGTCTGTGCGGGACATGTTCATTACAAGTTTGCTTGAGCCGTTTAATATGAAACAGGCCTCCTTGAGCTGGTTGGTCCAGTGGTCTTTGAGAAACGAGGCGTTCTGGTCGATCGGAATCACATATTCCGTGGGGTAGTTGTCGTATTTAAGTGTAATTTCCCACACCTGTTTCTCTATCTGCGCGTCAGTGGTAACGAGGTCGTAGAGCAGGCCAACCGGCAAGTTCCATTTCAGAGGAACTTTTTCAAACTCAAACCACCAATTTTGAGATTGCGCCAGTTGGGGGTCTTTCAGGAACGGTTTGAAGAACTGGAGAATGACCGGCAACGAGTTGTGCAGGTACGAGTTGCGATGGACAGCGATGTAGAAGCTTGGAGATTCCTGATTGGACAGCGCGAGATCAAGACGGAACTGCATGTACAAGACGCCGCCCCATACCCTGCTAATGATCTCAGAAGTGCTCATAATTAAGAGTGCGACAGAATTGCTCAGAAAGTAATCTTGACATACTATATGGATAAATATCTATTTTTCTATAAATTTTTGATCACCTGCTCCGTGAAGTGGCTGGTGGAGGAGGTTCCCTTCAGGTCTCTAGTTCTGTTTTCTGGGCCGGAGGCAATGGTCTTCAGAACGGCGTCTTCGATCTTGTCGGCATGGGAGTTCAGCTCCATGTGTCTCAGCATCATACAGGAGGAAAGCAGGAGAGCGGTAGGGTTGGCAAGACCCTTGCCGGCAATGTCTGGGGCAGAACCGTGAACAGCCTCGAAAATGGACACCTTGTTACCCATGTTACCAGATGGAGTCAATCCCAGACCTCCGATGAGACCAGAGGAGAGATCAGACATAATGTCACCGTACAAGTTTGGCATCACCATGACCAAGGACTTGTACTCAGATGGGTCTGCACAGAGCTTCAGGGAGGTGTTGTCGAGCAGCTCAAAGGAAAGCTTGATGTCTGGGTATTCCTTGCCGACCTCCTTGGCGGTCTCCACAAACAAACCGTCGGAAAGCTTCATGATGGAAGCCTTGTGGACAACTCTGACCTCTGGCTTGTTGACGGACTTGGCGTACTCAAAAGCATATCTGATCACTCTCTCAGAGGCCGGCTTGGTGATCAGCTTGATCGATTGCACGACACCAGGCACGATCTCGTGCTCGATACCAGAGTACTCACCCTCGGTGTTTTCTCTGATCAAAACAGTGTCGACGTTCTCGTACGGAGTCTTGTAGCCTTGCACGCTCTTACAAGGTCTGACGTTGGCGAAAAGAGCAAAGGTTCTTCTCAAAGTCAGGTTCATCGACTGGTGTCCCTTACCAACAGGCGTAGCCAGAGGGCCTTTCAGAGCGACCAGGTTTTTGTTGATGGAGGCAACAGCATCAGCTGGCAAGGTGGTCTTACCGTTGATCAGCGATGGAGTCACGTCGACAGGCTCCCAGGTGATTGGGACCTTGGCCTCTTTGAAAATGGCCTCCACAGAGGCTGCAATCTCGGGACCAATACCGTCACCAGGGATCATGGTGACAGTGTACTTGCCGTCCGGACCTGGCTTACCGGTGAATTGACCGGTGACCTTGCCGGTGGCGTAAGTTCTTGCGAGCGATAGAGGGCTTCTTGCGACGGCTCTGAACATTGGAAGAATTAAAGTGATCTCGGAATTATTCAAAATATATAAATTCTTCAGCTCAGCACGGTACCAGGCGGCCACCACCGCCAGGTCTCTGGCGCTGGGGCCGTGAATTTTTAGCAGGCATGACCGAAATCGAATCCGACTACTCCTGGCACCGGGCCGACCTCGGCCATTACGAAAGACGCGTCGATCGGCCCCCTGCGTGTGCCTGGGGCCGATAAAGAGTAGCAGAAATCGTATTAGCATCTAGAGTCTAAGTATCGCGCGACAACTTGATAGGAGTGTAGTCAAAATCCGGTGGAATGTGGCACTTCCTTTGCGACCTATTGCTCTTCCAGTGACCTGTGAGCTGGTAAGAGCGATGGAACCGTTTGCCACATCCCCATAGATTCCCGTCTGCGGTGCGACCTTGGCAGATGAACAGCTTTTCGGCGTTGCGTAGATGTTTTTCGCGCACGTGGCGTCTCAGGTCTGAGGGAGTAGAGTATTCGTGTGTGCACTTGGCGTACTGGCATTTGTACGGCTTGAGTCTCTGATGTACGGACGAGACATGGTTCTTCATGGACTCTCTTCGCGTGAACGTCTTTGCGCACAATTCGCAGGCGAACTGCTTTTTTGGCTGTGTGCTCGCGGCTTTCAACTTGTTGCTGTCAGCTACGACGCGTTCTGGCTCGAATAAAATCGGTGTATTAGCGTGCCACTTGTAGCTGGGTTCCACAGCGGGCTGTATAGTATGCGCGTGTTGCGCGAGAGTGTTTTGGTATTCGGGAACAAGCGAAGCAACTTCGGGCACCAGCGGGTCTGACAAAACAGAGATGTCCACCAATCCCATGCTGGGCACGTTTATATTGGCATACCAGTCCTCAGATTCTGCCCTGGAGTCTGAGAAGTCATAGTTGGGCTCCATTGTGACGAATGGCGGCTGGTCTAGCGTCGGCCACGGGAGCTGAGACACGTTCGCGTGCATTGTTATTGCAAAACGGCACCAAGAGCATTCGTTGCTACGAGTCCATGGAGAATTGACATGGTATTTATTTAGGGTAGTGAATTCATAGTATCTGCATTACAGCAGCTTGCATAAGACCGTGTTCCGTGCAGGAGCCTTATTTGAGGAACAACATGGCAAGAGATGCTGCGTCATGTAGACCGCGCAGCCAACATGTAGTCCATATTAGGCCGCAATTGCCGAATCAGAGTAGGTGGATCTTTAATTAGCCCTCGTATATGCTTATGCATTTATGATGCCAACAGAATGAAGTTAAAATTTGGACAAGATGGAAGACATTATACGGCTGTCAATCGGCGCACCATATCGCAGGTGCGGGCCTCGCATGAGATGCAAAAGATAAGAGCTCTCCTGGGATGGTCCCTTATCTCTGTCTGAGGGCCAACTGTGCGGTGCTTGCGCCGAAACACTTGTCGCACAGAGCAAAATGGGAGCGGAAAATACCGAGGAATCGCGGGCAGCGCCCAGCCATACGAAGTTCACCACGATTTTTTTTTTCTGCATATTAGTTCAGAAACACCCGTCGTGCCAAAATAGTACTGTCGTTCTGCGCCAGCACAAATGTCTCTAGAGCTCGCAAAAATCTCGCTCACAGCATTCCTGTTGGGAGCCTCTCTGGGAGTTTCATGTGCGCTGTTCTTCGCGGTCGCCTTCAAACAGGTCCCCGTCTATCTTGCGTCAGTTGCATTGTTCCACTTCCTGGAATTCTATTGCACAGCCAAGTACTCTCCCGATAAAGTCACCTCCGACTCGTTTCTCCTTTTTAATGGGTCTGAGTACATCGTTGCGCATGCAGCATCAATGACAGAGGCACTTGTGGAGTACTATTTCTTCCCAAAGTGGAAGGCGTCTCACACCCGGCTGTTCCATGCTGGAGCCCTACTAATTGGGCTGGGTCAGGTGGTGCGGTCCACCGCGATGGCCACTGCGCGCGAATCGTTCAGCCACACGATTGTCACAGAGAAGAAGAAAAATCACGTGCTGGTCACTACCGGGGTCTACAACTATTTCAGGCACCCATCCTATGCAGGCTTTTTCTACTGGGCCCTTGGCACGCAGGTGCTTCTGTGCAACCCCGTTTCGTTCATTGCGTTTTATTTCATGTTGCAACGGTTCTTCTCTCGGCGCATTCGCTATGAAGAGTCCCTTCTCATCCAGTTCTTCGGGCAGGAGTATCTTGAGTACATGAAGAGAACGCGTGTCTGGATTCCTATATAGAGGAGTATATATTGTACATACATATTTTACAACGGTAGATGAAATCCCAGCAGGGGGTCGCTATTTTTGGTCTGGGCCGCGTCACTCTCCCCGCGGCCCATGTCCGAGCTGCCGTTCCCGACAACGTCAGGGGACGTGTCGTGCATGAAAAGAGTCTGCGCACTAACTTTCTCTGTCGACTCCTGTTTTTGTTCGGCCGAATACGCGGCAGATTTTTTAGCCAGCTCTTCAGCCGCGGGCTCGAATGGCTGGTAATTTTGAGCGTGGTGGGGCAGTCCCTCGACGAAATTCGGAGTCTCGGAAGACTCTGGCGGGTACGTTTCGGAGCCGTTCACGTCTGTTTCTTCGTCAGATTCCAGGCTGATCACCTCGAAAGCACGGGGTCGTGGAGCTGGGGGCAGAGAAACAGCGTGCATATTCTCTGCCTCATTAGTTCCCTCTCGGTGTTCCGAAACCTGCAATGAAAGCGCGTCAGTACTTTCTGGACGGCTTTGCTGCAAAGCAGAGTTCGTTCCGCTGTGGACATCATTCTGCATCTCCTGTGCATCTTCTTCATCATCTTCGCTGTCAAGACTGATGACAGCCACCGGCTCCTCGCTTTTTGCGTGAGCCTGAGGCTGCTCGCTCTGCTCTCTTGACTGCTCGGTCTCGTGCTTTATGGTCCAGTTGCCCTGCTCGTCGATTTCGATTGCTTCGTCGTCTTCCCCCGTTTGCTCCACTATCTTTAGAAAATAGTCGTCTAAGGCCAGGTCGCTAAGCTCGATTCGGGAAGAACACACGGGACACTGCCATGTCGGAGCCTGTTGCTGCAACTGCAAGAACGAGAGCGCGTCAAAACACTGGATATGGCGGCATTTGGTTGACCGGCACGGATACCTCATCTTGATAAATGAGCAGGGACACATCAGCGAAACCACCTCTTTCTCCGTCTGAATTAGATCGTCATCGTCCTCCTGATGTCTCTCCATGATGCTTTCGATGGTCTGTTGCTCTGAAATGTGCGCCTTATTGACAATCCGGTCCAGAAGCAAGCTCACCGGTATCGTCTCCACAATATACAAGTATAGCCAAAAATCGACGTTGGTGAACGCGTACACCACATCCAATCTATTAGTTTCGCCCAATCGCAAGTGCTCGGTCAAGTCTATGGGCTTCGCAGACCCTGGCTTGCCTTTAATTCCCCGTCCTGTTTGCTTCAGTTTTATGCCGTTTAGCGTGATCTCGTTCGGTTGCGGGAATTCCAGGTCCTGCTCGCTCATGGAAGCAGACCGCTGTGCGGAAATCAGACACGCTCTCATGTTGGGACTGCTCGTCAGCAGCTGTCTTTCCTCTGGAAGCAGGTTGAAAACAAATCTGCAACAGCCTCGATCCTTTATCTTTTGGGGCGCAAGAACAGGATTCATGCCATTCGCATGTATTCGTTGTCTAAGACTGTAGAAATCACTCCTCTTGAACACAGTAGTTGGAGCCGGTCGAGGGACGGGAGCAGGTGCTGGTGGCGGCGCTGACGGCTGGTCTGGCGTGTACTGGTTTGGAACATGGATTGTGTGGGCATTGGTGCGATACGTAGCATACAGCACCTGGTAAGGCGGAAGTTCCTGTCCTATTGATGCTTTCATTATGAGCGCTCGAACCGCAAGTAAGCGTGCGTTATCTCCCTGGTATTTTCCACTGGAGAAAAACTGCTCCAAGCGGCCCGCGATGTCGGCCTTGCGACCTGACCGAACCAGTCCAATCGACCTGCAGATGTTCTTGAGCTCGGAGATCTTTAGATTATGGAGCTCTGAGAGGGTTTCCTGCAAGATTAGTGACTGTTGATGATTTACCTACCTGAAACATATTCTCAGGCATCATTCCTGAGGGCCCACTCATTCTTGGCGACAGTAAACGCCAGAAGAGGTATCTTGCTAGGAGTATTTTATCAGTCTCGAAATTGGCGAAACAAAAAAATATTGATGCTTGCTTATATAATCACATATAGATTTGGTCGATGAGAATCGCGTCCACCACCGTCCCGGTTGCGAGTACTGTCTTGCCAAAATCACTGGCAGCAGGAAGACACACCAGCCCGTTGGCCTTCTTGAAAGATGCGATGTTGCTGCTTCTTTGGAACCCGGTAGAGGTTGCAACCAGAGCCATGTCTCTCTGACGAATGCTGACCCGCTGGTACTCAGGGCGTTGTGGGTCCAGTTTTAGGTCCTCTGCGAGCTTGACCTTCACGATTGGCTCTGTAGGCAATTTCTGGCCCAGTGCGGGCTCGATTCCTTGCCATTTTAGCAAACAGGGCAGGACAAACAGATGGTAGCAAACAGAAGACGAGGCAGGATTACCGGGGAGAGCAAAAATAACGGTGGATCTGCCGATCGTTGCAAAAGTGGTTGGCTTGCCAGGCTTCATTCTGACACGTCCAAAATGGATCGTGCCGTGGAGCTCATTTTCAATCGTCGGTTTAAGCAGGTCAAGCTCTCCCATGGACACTCCTCCAGTAGTGATCAGGCAGTCAATTTTTTTGACGTCCACAGCGTCCCTTATAATTTTGACAAGAGAACCCTTGTTGTCGGGCGCGATTCCGAGATCTACCACCTCGTACCCGCAGTTTTGCACCATCGATACCAGCGTCGGCCTGTTGCTGTCGTAGATTTCTCCATAATGGAGAGCGTTTTCAGCTAGCACGTCCTGCAGTTCATTTCCGGTAGAGAGCAGCCCAATCACCGGTTTGCGGTACACTTTGATTTTGTTAACCCCCACGCTCGCCAGTGCACCTATCTCGCCTCCTCCCGGTGAGATCCTAGATCCTTTCGCCAGCACCAAACTCTCTTTCCTGGTGTCAGAACCGACGGCCCTGATGTTCTCTCCTGCTCTAACGTTTTTTGCCAGTATCTCAACAAGCTTTTCTTCGCTCCCGTCCTCAGTGGTCTCCACCAGCCGCGTTTCCTCCACCATCACCACTGCGTCAGCCCCTTCAGGAAGCGGTGCTCCTGTGGTGATTCTCGCAATCTGTCCTGCAACCAGCTGTTTCTGGTCATTCTTGGAAGCATGCGAAACACTGACAACAGGGTAAACACCCGGTCCATCGGAGCTGATTACCGCGTATCCGTCCACAATACTTGCGCGAAAATTTGGAACGTCCATCTGAGCAGTGACATTTTCTGCAACCACGCTGCCCACTATGCGAGGCTCCAGAATGCTCACTTCGATCACTTCTGGACCCGGCGTGTTCTCGCTGATTTTTGAGTATGCTTCATCGACAGATATCGCGGGATACGGCGAGACTCGGTGTCTTGCAACGACAGAGTCGACTAGCTCGTGTTTGGCAAGGTTTCCGTGATGGTGGTGATGATGATGGCCGGAACGGGCTTCTTTGTGCAGAGATCTTGAGCTCTCGGTTCCCAGTTGCGCAAGCGCGTGCCCAATGATCTCCTTTATTGCTTGGAAATTTTCCGTGGCGCCCTTTGGCGAGCCGGGCAGCGTGATGATAAGCGTTTCTCCACAAACACCAGCTACCGGCCGAGCAAGCATGGCAAAGGGGGTGATTTGAAGAGAATAGGAAAGCATTGCATGCACCAACCCAGGCGCCTTTCTGTCCAACAACGGCTCGATGGCCTCTGGTGTGATGTCCGTCTTGGAAAAGCCGGTTCCGCCTGCAGTCAAGATAAGCTTGATATCCTGTCTCACCCAGTCCAACACTGCAGCCTGGATATCCTCCTTTTTGTCTGGCACGACCTTGTGCGCCTTCAATTCAAGCCCGTCAAGGCGTTGTTTCAGCGCATCAACAACCTTGTCAGCCGATAAGCCCTTGGAAACCGATTGGGATACAACCAAGATACCAACAGTCATATGAAAAACGGCTAGGTCGACGCGACGATAGATAAAATTTTTCTACTGGCTTCTGGTCGTAATGTCTTCCACCCAAAAATATGAGGTCCTCGTGGACTCGTTCATCTCGAAACTGAAGCGTCGACAGATCACGGGATCGTACAATGTTGCCACGGCAACATGTCGGCTGCTTATGAGAGTCATTTCGAGCTCGAGATGGTCGAGCACCGAGGAGTTCATCAACCTCATCAGAGGAGTCGGATGTAAGCTGATAGAGGCCCAGCCTCGCGAGTTTGCGACAGGAAACATCGTCAGACGTGTGCTGGCGATCATCAGAGACGAGGTGAGCGAAGACTCTGTCACCCAGAGCGCCAATAATGCACCGTACAATACCTCCATGTTCCAGCTGCTCTCCACCACGCACACAACGAACCCGCAGGGAACACAGGCCACGAAACAGCCCAATCAGGACCTCCGCTCGGTGGTCATCCAGGGAATCCGCGAGTTGATAGACGAGATCGCCTCTGTGCACGAAAATATCGAACTGATGACAGTGGACCTAATTCACGAGAACGAGGTGCTTCTGACGCCTACGCCGGGATCGCAGACGGTTTTGAACTTTCTTCAGAAGGCCAGTCTGAAACGTAAGTTTACCGTTCTCATCACAGAATCCTACCCCAACGATATCAACGAGTGTCACAGCTTTGCCAAAAAACTCGCAGAGATGAATATCGAGACGGTCATCATTCCTGACTCGACGGTCTTTGCTGTTATGTCGCGGGTTGGAAAAGTCTTGATCGGCGCGCGATCTGTCTTTGCCAACGGTGGCTGTGTCACTGCTGCCGGTGTCGCGACCGTGTGCGAGTGTGCAAAGGAACATCGAACTCCGGTGTTTGCTGTGGCAGGTCTGTACAAGTTTTCTCCAACGTATCCGTTCGATAGAGACTCGCTTATTGAGGTGGGAAACTCAGGCAAGGTGCTGCCGTACGAGGACAGCGATCTTGTTGGAAAGTGCGAAGTGACGAACCCGTTGTTCGACTACGTGGTCCCGGAACACATCGATATCTACATCACCAACATCGGTGGATTCTCACCTAATTTCATCTACCGAATAGTTCTGGACAACTACAAAGCTGAAGATGTGCAGTTGGGCTGAATATAATGAATATATGCATCATTTGAACCGCTCTTGCACGCCCCGTGCCTCGCTCGGTGACTCGACAATTGGGCCATCTTGAGCTGGATGCAGCGTTCGCCTAGAGCCACGCTGCAAGGGGCAATATTGACAGGATTTGATTGAGTGCGGCTCTATCTCATGGTAGAGTTGCAATTATGAAATTCGACAGAAGAATACCAGTAAAGATATGCCTGCTCTGTGGCAGCTCTGTTTTGTGTGGAGGACAAGACAAATGTGACCTGTGATGTTTCGCTTTTTCCGTAAAATAGTCCCAGTGTCCGAGTGGTTAAGGAGCCGCCCTGCTAAGGCGGTGTGCTTTGCACGCGCAGGTTCGAATCCTGTCTGTGACGAATTTTTTTACTTCCATGATCTTTGTTTTTCCTGGCTCAGCAGCTCTCTCAATGTTTGTACACCCCGATACTCGGTCAATAATTATACACCTAGAAGTTCTGGTCGACAAGCTTCCTGACTAATTTCCAGTCGTTCTTTTCACTAAAGTCCAAATTCACTGTACCACATCCCTTGCCGTAGCACTCGTCTATGTTTGCTACCATCAGACGCTCGGTGACCTTCCGTGGCCAGCAGTCGTGGTCAAAGAAGTTGGATCCCGAGCAAAAGTTGAGGAACAGCTTCGGGTCGCTGTTGCTGCTATTGTAGCTCTTGGCAGTGTTGATCATGTTTTTGACGTACTCCGCCTTCTTTGGAATATCTTGCTCGCTCTTGATCTCACAAAAATCCTGGACCCTAATACATCCTCTGTCGTCATCAGTGGTGTTATATGACCACGATGCGGCGGGGATACCCAGACGCTCTTGCTTCTCCCGACTTTGGACACCAAAACGTCTGAACAGAACAACCTTGCCTCGGCAGTCTCTCAGCACTGGCAGCTCAGTGCGCAGGTACCATTTGTCCTTGTTTCTCGAAATGAATCGGTCGTTAATGACATTGGCAAACTCGTCGTTCTGGTTGTCCCAGCTGCCGGTGCCCTCTTGCTTCAAGGACAAAATCACAAACTCCGACGGATGATCGTCGAGGAACTTATACACCTCGCCCAGAACCTTGCTGAACTTGACAGATCCGAGCAGCTTGACAGGGAATTTGCCGTGAATTACAATCAGGTCGTTCCTATGCTTGCCGTCGCTGTGCGTTGTAATGAAGTTGCGAGACAATCTCACGTCCAGAAATCGGACACCGTTCTCCAGCTGTTTGGTGACAGATGCGCCCTGACATTGGACCGAAGGAAGGGCAGTGTGGCACGCAGCAGAGTTGTGGGTTCCTGGAATAGACAGACGGCCAATGTTAGTGTCATCGGAAACGGACTTGAGCCAGTTGGCATAGTCAACCATCGCAGTTGTGTTCGGCAACTGTATTAACGTGCTTCCTCTACTCGACTAATTACTGCGAAACTGGAATTTACTTACGTAAGCCCAGGAATCGTATAGCCAGGCCTCAGTTGTCTAGCACCTTGCGCAAAAGCTGCTGGCCCTCCCTTACCAGGTTGAGGCTGCGATACAGTTCTTGCGAGGCGTCTTCGTGCAAAAAGCCAAACTTCTGCCATTGGCTTGGGTCCGCGGTGGCCACATATACTTTATCCAGGTGTCTCTTTCTTGTAACGTTCTCGACGTACTCAAGCAATCTGTCTTCAAGGCCATACTTACCGCTGTATGCAGGTAGCACGCACAGCTTATCAATCAACAGTCCTGCGGGCGATTTTGAGTTCACGGGGTGGAGGGGCTTGCAGATCACCAAGCCCACTGGGACCTCGTTGTAGTAAGCATATTGCGCTAGTTCTCCGGAGTCTCTGATTTCCTCGAGCTCCTGATCCGAATAGGACGCGTATGCTATCACGTTTATTAGGCCCAAGTTGTTGGCAGTCAGATCGTCCAGAGAAATCATCTGAACTAATTCTAGAAATGTAAGTCAAACTAAAATTACTCTCGATATTTCGCTTCTTATTAATGTATCAGGCCGCCAGGCGAAAACTCAGCAGGTCCGCAATTTATTTATTCAGACACTTATCTCCCTTCCTTATTTCTTTTCCTCCACCAAAACTCCCACCTTGGGGTACTTGGCCTTGAACATTTCTTCCCAGCCGTCCAGGGCTTTCCATTCTGCCTCGGTCAGATCTTTCAGATCGTCAATTGGCTCCCCAAAATCTCTCACCATGGCTACTTGTTAGTGAGGACAAACGGTAGATACTTACACTCGTCAAAGGAGTTTTTTGCCAGCCCGCGAGATGCATCGTGGCCAGCAAAGTTCGAGTAGGGTCCTGACGGGCCGTAGAACTGTCTGGACTTCGATACGTCGTACACATTGCCCTTCACTGCGATGTATATCTGCTCGAGATCGAACCCATTGTACTTGTACAAAGTACGGGGAGTGAACTCCTGCTCCTCGACAGCCACGTCGTCTCTCTCAGGATTGATTTCCACGGTTCGAGGGGGCGCAAATATCGTGCTTTTCAGCAAAAAAGTGGCCAGGATCACCACAATGGCAATAAGCACCAGAGTCTCCATGCTAAAATACTTATTTTGTGGTGCTACTACGGGTTGGAAATAGAAAAATGTAGAAATAACATCCGTGCACCGCAATGCATACTCCAGCCGGAGAAGACACGATCGGAGTGCTCCGGCGTACATACGTCCTATCGGACCCTCTGGCGGGGTGGTTAATCATGAAATCATATTTTGCGCAGGTTTCTCGTTACTCGCCCTCTTCCAGCACGTGCGACGCCAGTCTTCCCAGTGCCTCCAACATCGTCGGGCTGCGGGTCGACTGGTCCTGGATCTGTTTGCGTAGAAGCGCGTTCTCTGCCTTGAGTGCTTTCACCTTGTCGTTCTTGAGCGTCTTCAAGCTTTTGATCAGTTTCAGGTTCTTCATATTTATGCATTCGTTCTCATTCTGTAATATGTGGATGTTTTTCTCGATGTTGGCGATGTTCTTGAGCAGAAGTTGGCGCTCCGTTGCATACTCCTCCATGTTGCTCCTCAATTGGTACTTGACCAGGTTTTTGTTCAGGTTCAGGCGCAAAACCGTCTGTTTTGCCATTTGGATGAGCTCCTCCAGTTCCGGCTGCTCCACGACCTTGGCGTTATGCAGCTGGGCTTCCGTGCGCTCCAGGACCTGTAGAAAAGCCTCCACGTCGGTGTCCATTTCTTCGAGCTCGTTGGGGCTCAGCTTCGACTGCAAGTTCATTACCGACGCCGGAGACGATTGCGACGAAACCTGGACCGAGCTGCGTCCGGAAACGCTCGGGCCGCTTGGCGAACTGTCCACGCTGCTCTTGGAGTCGCCGGGGTCTGCGGGAGCCACAAATGACTGACCCATGGTTGTATTGCGGTAAATTATATGTTTACTATTTCGCGTTTTCTAACGCGCCGCGAAACATTAGGGCAGGCAGATAGGGCAATCCCCCTTTTTAAATTTCTTCCCTGTTGTTGTTGCAAGATGGAGGACCCTTATGTCGCCAGAGTCGTCTGCGCTGTACAGGCCATGTTCTGCATTTTGATTGTACTTTTCTGGCTCAATATTCTGATACTAGTCATTTTACTGTGAGTTCGCCAAACGACATACGGCGCTAACCTAAAGGACTGACCACTTTGTTTTGAACAGCTACTTGGTCACATGGCTCAGAAATCTGCTTTACAAGGCCCCGAGTCCCCCGCCTAACTCTTCGCTAACAGTTTCATCGCCTGGCCGTATCTAAAGCGCGACTGCCAAATTAGGAAAGTTGGATAAGATCTGAGAAAAATACTTAAATAATCAGCTGGGCACACACTCGCTTCACGTTGCCAGAATGTTTTCTCGTACTCTGAGACTGTTTGTCCGCAGAGGACTATCCAGATGGGCTGTTCCAGTATCAGGAATGGCCTTGGGCACCGCCATGTTGGCAACAAGCTCGAATCCTCTGTTCAGCGATTCTAGAAAGAAAAAGCGCATAGTTTTCCTGGACGACGACGAGGATGACGAAGACGAAGAGGATCGGAAAGAAAGAGAACGGCAAGAGGCCATTGCCAACAAACCTTCGCTGTCTACCATCTACTCGTTGACCGATTTCGAGAGTGTTGCGAAAAAAGTTCTGCCTGAAGGAATCTGGGGCTACTACTCCACCGGCTCCGACGACGAGATTTCCTTGCGGGAAAACCACTATGCCTTCAGCAGAATCTTCTTCAGACCTCAGTGCTTGACTGACGTCAACGGCTGCTCATTGGATACGGAAATGCTTGGCACCAAACTCTCAGCACCGTTCTACATCACCGCATTTGCCGGCTCTCCTTCGGCGCATCCCCTGGCAGAAAGAGGTCTGCGCAACGCTGCGGGGCTGGAAAACATCATCCATCTGATTCCGTTCCAGTTGTCTTTTCCGCTGGAGGAGTACCAGGCTGGCCTGAAGCCGGGACAGCAGAACTTTTATCAATTGCATTTCTACAACCAAAAACAATTCGACGAAGCACCCGAATTTTTCAAGAAATTGGAGAGCATGCCTAATATTAAAGCCGTCTTCATCAATGTCGACCTCAACGCGCTCGGCAATCGTGAAAAAGATAGCAAAATCAGAGCACGGATCGACTCTGGAACGACAGAGGCTCTCGACGTGTATGCTCATTCCGGCGTCAGGTACTTCAATCTCACCTGGGACCACATGAGACAACTTCAGCAGATGACTAAGCTCCCTATTGTGCTGAAGGGTGTTCTGAACAAGAATGATGTACTCAAGGCTGCTGAGGCTGGTCTTGCAGGAGCCCTCATCTCGAATCACGGAGGTCGTCAGCTTGACTTCGCCATGCCTCCTATCGAAATTCTGGCTGAGAGCAAACAGCTTCTCAAGGAAAAGGGGCTTGACAAGAATTTCGAGCTATTTATTGATGGAGGAATTAGAAGAGGCTCGGACATAATCAAAGCTCTCTGTTTGGGAGCTTCGGGCGTCGGTCTGGGAAGGCCATTCTTGTATTCGCTGGCCAGCTACGGTGAAAAAGGCGTTCAAAAAGCGATCCAAATCCTGAAGGCCGAGATGATCAGGGACATGAAATTGCTGGGAGTCAGCTCTGTCAGCGAGCTCACTGAGGATATGGTCGACATTACGTCATTAAAGTACAAGGGTCTGCAGGCACGAGATCATCTCTACGACCAGAACTATACACCTATGCCCGATCCGCCATTCAGAAAAGAGTAAGCAGGATATTTACTTGTCCTGTTCCACCACGTTGGCCTGGCTCCATCCCATTCTCTGATTGAGGCGCTCGTATTTCAGACGGTCTCTGTCACTCACAGACGGCTTCACGCTATCCAGGGCTTTTTCAAAGTCGTCGCTCGTCACCACAACGTCGTCGTCCATATGTAATTCCTCAATAGATTCGTCTCCAATGCTGATGCCGGTGAAAAACTTCTTTTTCAATGCAATAACACCTGCCTCGCGGACCAAAGACGAAAGATCGGCGCCGGAAAAGTTGCGGCACCGCTCGTCGTGCGCCACGACAGCCAGGTCGACGCTGGCATCCAACGGCGTGCCGTTAGATGCAATTAATGTCTTGAGAATTTCCAGTCTTTCAGCAGCATTGGGAAGCTCAATATATAGCGTCTTGTCCAGTCTGCCAGGCCGAAGCATGGCTGGGTCTATCATGTCTGGTCTGTTGGTAGCTCCAATGACAAAAATACCCTTTCTATCGTTGAGACCGTCCAGTTCGGTGAGCAGGGTATTGACGACTCTCGAGCTCGCCTCACTGAGCGACGACTCTCTTTTTGGCACCAATGCGTCCAGCTCGTCGAAAAATATGATACACGGGACTGAAGCTCTTGCACGGGTGAACACCTGTCTGACTGCGCGTTCCGACTCACCAACGTATTTATTAAGAAGCTCTGGTCCCTTGACAGAGATGAAATTGGCCTTCGACTCGTTGGCGACAGCCTTGGCCAGCAATGTTTTACCGCAACCAGGAGGTCCCCACATAAGCACACCGGCTGGCGCCGTGATACCAACTTTCTCGTATATCTCTGGCCGTTTGATCGGCTGCACAATGGCCATGTGAAGCTCGACTCGCACGTTCGCCAAAGCACCGACATTCGACCACGTGACATCTGGAATGGTGGCAAAGCCTTCCCTTTTTGCAGAGGGCTGGATTTGGGGCAGGGCCGTCACAAAGTCCTGGTGTTCTATGCACAGCGTTGCAAGCTGCTCGGGAGTCAGCGCTGTAGGGTGTTTGATGAGGAATTTCTGAATTATCGAGAGTTTACTGAACTGCGGTTGCTCGTTGCTTTTCTGCAGAAGCTCTTCAGGATTCTCGTCCAGCTCCATCCCGTCCTCTTTATTTTCCTCCTGCTGCAGTTGAACTCCTTCCAAAAGCAGCTTTTCCTCGTCTTCCTCGCTCAAAGAGGTGAAAATTCGTTTGATGGCAGATATACCTGCGGCCGTCACCAGCGCCTTCAAATCCGCACCAACGAACCCTGGCGTCATCTTGGCGATCGAGAGAAGATCAAGTTCTCCGCTTATTCTCAGATTCTTCACCATACTCTCTAAAATTTTGAGCCGCGCGTGCTCATTAGGAACATTTATGCAAATTTCTCTATCGAATCGTCCTGCTCTTCTGAGAGCCGTGTCTAGGGAGTCCGGACGATTAGTGGCGCCGATGATGATCACGGGCTTCCCGTCAGTTTTGTCAAGCGAAAGCTCATCCATGGAAGTGAGCAGCTGAGCCACAATCCGTCGTTCCATCTCACGCTGTGCACCTCCATCTCTTTTGGGAGTAATAGCGTCGATTTCGTCGAAAAACACCAAACATGGGGCTAGTTGCTTGGCCTCGTCGAATATCTCCCTCACCTTCTTCTCGCTCTCTCCAGACATTCCGCTGACAACGGACGGCGCACTGATCGATATGAACGGAACTTGAAGCTCTCCAGCAAGCGCAGATGCAATGGTGGTTTTACCGCATCCCGGAGGACCATGGAGCAGAACTCCCCGTGGAGGCTCGATTCCCGTAGCCATGTAAATCTCTGGATGGAGCACAGGCATTCCAACAACTTCCATCAGCTGCGAAACCACGTCATCCAGGCCACCGAGCTGGCTGAGTGTGAGAGTTGGCGGAGAGCGATCTTTAACAACTTTAGGTCTTTTCGAGTGTTTGGACCCGTCCTTGGATCTTTTCTTGGTTTTCTTTTCATCTGGCTCTGTCGTCTCGGTTGCAGGTGCCTGTACATCATCTTCGTCTTTCCATAAGCTCACGACACTTCTGTTTGCTTGATTAGTATCCTTGACTTCCATCATATTGTCGTGTTCTTCTGACTCGTCGTCCTTGACCTTTAAAGTGCTTGGATCAATACCCATACTTTTCATCTCCTCTTCCTCGTCCGCTATCACAGATTTCCACACACGGTCAATCGAATAGCGCAGATGATCGTCCTTGGTTCTCCTGAAAGAAGCGTCTTTCAATTTGACGTACTCAAAAATTTGTAACGATGTCAAGTCCTTCGCTAGTGCCATGGTCAACGGCCCATTAGTTATCCCTTTGGACCTCATAATTTCGGTTTGCTCCTCCAGCAAATTCATAATGCTATTATAGACCTTGTCGTCCATTTCACGCTGGAGAATGCCTCCCTTCTGAGTTTTTGCCTTGACCATGGAAAGATGGTTATTCCGCTTTCTGTTATTTAAAAAATATTTTTTCCTGCATTTAATTATTTTAGATATATCTACCTTGGCCATGGGCAACACGACATCCTCAGGGCCCAAAATTACGCCACAGGATAAGGCAATATTGCAACTGAAATTGCAAAGAGATAGGCTTCACAAGGTTTCTGTGAAAATTCAGACAGTCGTTGACAGAGAGACAGAGATCGCCAAGCAATGTGTCAAACAAAATAATCGAAGAAAAGCCCTCCTGGCTTTGAAAAAGAAGAAATATCAACAGAACCTACTTTCAACCGTGGAAAAACAAGCTGAAACGTTGGAAGAGCTGATAAATACGATTGAGTTCAAGCTAATTGAAAAAGACTTTGTTTACGGCCTGGAACAGGGTAATCAAGTCCTCAAAAACTTAAACAAAGAACTGAGCATAGAGAAAGTGGATAAAATATTGGATGACTCAGAGGAAGGAATCAGGTATCAGGAAGAGCTGAGCGAGAGACTAGGAGAACTTATGTCCAAAAGTCTAGAAGACGAGGTGGATCTGGAGCTCGCGGAACTGGAAAAACAGGAAAGAGCAAAGGAGGCTCCCAAAAAAGATGTCGCATCCCAGCTTCCAGACGTTGTCAACAAACCTTTGCCCGATATCAAACCGAAGCAACCAGAAGAGCGCGAAGAGGAGCAGCCCGCCACACTTCCTGCATGATAATGATCATTATTTATTATTGGTGTTTTCATAGCTGGTCTATGACTATTTACATCGGGACAGGCTCATCGAGCCACTCAAGGAATTCTGGAGTGAAGTATGAGATGATAATTCTGGCTCCCGCTCTGAGGAATCCGTAATGGGCTTCAAATGCAATTGTCTTCAAGTCGACAACGCCCTTCTCGGCTGCAGCATGCAACATGGCATACTCGCCGCTGACATGGTAGCAGCCAACAGGATAGTCTCTGCAAAGGTCGCTGGCCTCTCTAACGACGTCCAAATAGAAGGTGGACGGTTTGATGAGAACACCGTCGGCTCCTTCCGAAAGGTCTCTCGTCAGGGCTCTTCTTGCCAGACCTCTTCCACCAGACGGTAGCTGATAACACTTTCTATCTCCCTGGCCAGGGCTGGAGCATGCAGCATCTCTGAAGGGACCGTATAGATTACCACTGAACTTGGCGGAGTACGACATCACAAATGTCTTGTGGGCTAAGCCTGCATCTATCAGACCTTGCTTAATAGCCCTTACACGGCCGTCAATCATATCTGATGGCGCAACAGAATTTGCGCCGGCCTTTGCGTAGTTCACTGCGACTGCCGCGATCCGTTGCACAGAGACCTCGGTGTTGATGGTTCCGTCTTCGTATAGCACACCACAGTGGCCGTGTGAAGTGTATTCGCACAGGCAAACGTCGCACATGATGTAAAGTTGCGGATATGCTGCCTTTAATGCCTTGATTGCCTGAATGACAGGTCCGTCTGGGTCATCCGCAGCAGTTCCCACGGGATCCTTTACGCCATCTTTGAGCGGCACTCCGAACAATATAACAGCTCCCAAGCCTTTCTTGACCAAGGTGCCGACGTAGGGAACCAGTTTCTTGACGCCGAATCGTTTAATGTTTGGCAGCGATGGAATGTCTTCCTCGTCGTCTTCGTTATCAGTCACAAACAGCGGGAAAATAAACATATTTTTGGTCAACTGTCTCTCATGTTGCCACGAGCGAAGCAGGGGGTGGTTGTAACCTCCCTGCAGAATCGAAGAGATCCCCGTTGGGCACGCTTCAAGGTATTCTGCGGAATGCATTGAAAAGTCAATAATGATAAATACGAAAAATTAATTTTCTCGCTTTGGAAAACTGAAAAGAGTAGTCAAATGCATTTTTTGGTAGCTACATGAAATACGAGTCTATGCTATTTAGTTTTACGCTGAACGTTGCGTCGAACATTCACAGATTTCGCGCCTTTGCCAAAGGCCGCGTATGTGACGTAAGGAAGAGCCGTCTTGGAAATCATTTTGGGGATGAGTTCCTCTGTCGGAAGATCGGACCGTCCTTTCACCAGCACCAATTTGGTTTCGTTCGAGGCCAGCGACTTGGAGAGGCGTGCAACATCAATAGGCGTGTACAGATTAATGTATTTGGCTGTAGTGTTGACTGAATGGATCAAAGCTAAACCTCGGAACTCAGACGCGACCGATTCGAGCGTATTGTTGAAAAGATTCGGATAGGACTCGAGTGAGCTCAGTTGGCCACGCTGGACCATCTCGTCGTACAAGTTGATGAATTCCTCGTTCTCAAGCTCAAAAATTGCCACCACCTGAGTTTCCAGGCACTCCACCAGGTCCTCGTGGTTGATGTTCGCAGCATCCAAAATGGAAATACCCGATAGCCCTGGATATCTAATTAGAGCGTCTCTATCACAAAAATCGGCATAGCTGATTTTGTACGGAGATCTCGCCAGTAATGGTTCAAAATCAAATGTCTTTTCGTAGCGATTGTAATGGAAATAGGAGAGCATTCTGAAGTTGCGGATTTGAGAAGGTGAATACCGCACGATATCATATCCTCTCGAATTGAAGCCTGGGACAGGAACGCGCACGAGATTCTCGTAGGTCAAATTGCACAGCAGCTGGTTGTCGTCTTCGCCACCAAACGAAAGGTAGACAAGGTGAGTTGGACGGACTGCATCTGTGAGCTCTTTCAAAATCTCGACTCCGAAACCTTTGATCCACCCCGGAGAATTAATTAGCAGCGGACCATTTTCCATGTCCATATGCGATGACAGTGCTTTTAGCTGCGAAATATACTTGATCGGCTGACGTTGGGGAGTATTAAAACCAATATAGCAAATTCTTGCAGGATGCTCGCAAAGAAACGGAAAATATTGGCCGTGGATTGGCTTGTGGTGCGTCGTCAAAGATATACAGTCGGGAAGAGAATATTCTGGCTGCCCTGGATCAATGTCCAGTACTTTGGGCGAAATATGCTCGTGAGCTGCCAGTTTATTAAGTAGCAGTCGAAGAAACGTGGACTTGCCAGTGTTCTTGGCCCCAATGACGAGAACACGCATGTCCTCTGCGCTCCCAGAGGGACTCGTAAGCGCTTCCAACGCGTTCTTCCAGGTTTTGTTGATATATGTGCCAAGGTTATTACTAGGATTCTCCACCACTTTGAAAGAGTAAGGGTAAAAAGACTTTGCGAATGCAGACCCCTCAAACTCGTCAATATCCTCCCTGTTAGGATGGATGTTCTTCAATTGCGGATACAAAAGGCCTAATTTCTCCAAGCCGTCAAAAACGTCGTCAAGTCTAATCACCGATTTGTAGTTTGGTGTGAATAAATGCTCCGTTTCTGGCAGAACTGTATCTTCCACCAGATTCTGGTCGGTTACCTGCGCAGCTGATATTAGTGGAATGCTGGAAAGTGACAGCCCGTAGATTTTGACTGGATCATGGCTCGAATGGTACAAGATAGAGTCTATCTGCACGGCTCCTCGCTGGATTTTCAACGTGTACTGGCCCTTCACCATAAGAAACTCGTCTGCTTTCAGCCCAATAACCACATAACCACGTCCGTAAACCACGTTCTCGCTGGTGGGCACGAACTTCGAGCAAGAAACAACAACGGGGGCATGTGGAGCCGAATATACAGGTGCAGAAGGCTGGGCACGAGCCAGCTCCGGCGGCTCAGAAACGGGCCGCTGCTCGCTCACAGACTCAGGATCCTCATCCGACTGCTCGTAGCCGATCACCTCGTCATCGTCAGCGCTGCTCAGTGCCGCAAAAGCACTTATTGGCGGGCCTCGTCTCGACATGCGACACGCTTTTTTGTTGCATGGTGAAAAAATCCACCTCAGACGAGTCACTTACATAAGCAAGACCGCGGCCAATGAAATAGTGTAAAAATACAACATGCTATTGAACAGGCAATTTTCGCGGGAAGCGTCCCGTAGCAGGCTGGAAATTTTTTTCGAAAATCGCCCTATACACTCAATCAACAGACTGCATCATGAGTGAACCACAATACAAACTCCAGACTCCGGGCTTCGACGCTAGATTCCCTCAACAAAATCAGACCAAGCACTGCTACCAATCCTACCTGGACTACCACAAGTGTGTTGCTCTCAAGGGCGAGGACTTTGCACCATGCAAGGTGTTCCTGTCCACTTTCCAGTCCCTGTGCCCAACGTCGTGGGTTGACGAGTGGGACGAGCAAAGAGCCAACGGTACTTTCCCAGGAGACCTCTCTGTTGACAAGTTCCAGACGAGTTCAGAGCCTCAATCTGGCTCCCAGGAGTAGGCAATTACAAACAGTATAGACAAGAATATACATTTCGATCATGCGATATTATTTTGGGCCAGACTGGCATGACCAGTTGGCGTCTGCGAGCTGGGACTTCAATTCGTCCATATCTATAGTTTTCGAGTCGTCCGTGCCGATGTGCAGGTAGATGTAAAGGATAGGCAGTTTCATAGGTTTCTGCAGTCGCAACTCGTCCTGCGGCACGGAGACCTCTCTAGGCTTTTCCCTGTAGGTCAATTTGTTGAATTGCTGATGAGATGGGTGTTTCCTTTTCATGATCTCCACGACTGTAAGCAGCTTCTGTATTCCGTCATTCTCTGCCATCAGAACGATGTTTGCCGGTGTCTGCTCGCATTTGGACAGCAAAATATCCAGCTTCTCTTTTATGCCGTCGTTTTTGCGGACGACCACTTGTTCCAAATTTGGCACGCGCTGGAGGTGTCTTAAAACAGCCTCGTCCATAGTAATTTACTCCAATTTTTTCCTCGAGCGATTGATAATTTTAGGCTAATGTCCTGTCACCGGCATTCACACGGCGTCCCTCCAATTCCTACAAACGAGTCGCAATCAATTAACTCCCATGTCCTCACGACCCAACTGGTGGCCTTGAATGTCGCAAACCCGTCTTCTGACCTGGAGAAACTGTTCAAGACCCAGACCAACAAGTACGAGGTGATCCCTGAAATCAGATCGGATGCAGATAATCAGTTCATTCTCAAAATCCCTTTCCAAGGATCAGTGAAACTCTACTCAATCATACTTCGGACAGCCCGCCAACCAGACCACTGTCCCCGGATCATCAAGCTTTACAAGAACCAGGACAGCTTGGACTTTGATTCCGTGGGGGACACAAAGGCTACGCACGAGATCGAGCATCCGCAAATTGGTGTTGAGATTGATGGGGAGCTGCCGCAGGAAGTTGTTGCGGACGACACCTTCGTGGAACATTATCTCCCGCGCCACCATTTCAGCGGGGTCTCCTCGCTCACACTTTTTTTCCAGAACAATTGGAGCGACGACGACGACAAGGTGCTCAAACTGTACTCCATAGAACTACGTGGAGAATTCAAACCTCTGGCCAAAGACCCAGTGGTCACACTGTACGAGTCTGCGGCTAATCCAGCAGACCACAAAAACCTCCTTGCCCAGGAGAACCACAACTATCAGAATATTTAGTATTTTTTTAGCTACGCGAAATTATAGCATTTAATTGATGACTGTCCCATTCCCAGACATTGATCCGTACGCAGAACTGGGGTGCAAGCCCGAGGACGCGCCGCCGTCGATCAAGAAGGCATACTATAGACTCTGTCTCAGGTACCATCCGGACAAACTAGCGGAGCAGGACCAGAAGAAGTATAAAACCAAGTTCGAGAAAATACAGTTCAGCTATCAGGTGTTGGGTGATCCGAAAAGGCGCGAACGGTACGATAAAACAGGAAACTTAGATGAGAGCTTAGCAGACGATGACGATTTCGATTGGTATGCGTTCTTCCAAGAAATGAGAGAGTCGGATGTGAAAGTCACTGCCGAGCTGATAGAAAAGGATAAGAAAAGCTATCAGGGCTCAGAGGAGGAATACCAAGATGTGTTGGAAACGATGATCTACTATGAGGGCGAGTTTTTACGTCTTTTTGAGACAATACCTCATTTGGAGTTCTCGAAAGAGGAAGAGGACCGCATGTTCAAGCTGGTGCAACAGATGGTTGCGGATGGCACGCTGAAAAATTACAGGAACTGGAAGACGTACGTGAAGAATCGGAGCTCAGAGATGAAAAAGATGTTCCGCCAGCTAAATAAGGAGAGCAAAGAGGCCGAGGAGGTTCTGAAGGAAATCAACGAGAAAAACCAGCTCAAGCTGGACGGATCAGAGGATTCCTTGCGACACCTGATTCAATCTAAAAAATCGCATACTTTCGATAATCTCATCGCCAAATACAGCAGACAGAGTGAAAAACAGTCCAAGAGGTCAAAGAAGTCCGAGTACGACCTTGATGATGAGGAGTTTTTGAGAATTCAGAAAAAGATGAAAAAACAGCGACAAAACTGAAACTATTGTAAGAGGTAAGGCTTGGGCATGGAGCGCGATGGGATTTTTTTCGGTGCGGCCAGAAATTTTGTAGCAGAATTGGCAGGAGAATGAATAAATTAAATATAATTATGTTGTTTTGAAGCGGAAAGCAGAGTCAAGATTATATATAGTTAAAGGTTCACTATTCACGAAAAACAATTTCGCAACTATAACAGTTATCTGTTTCCCATTATTCCCTTTTAAGATCAAAGCATTTCACACTCAGAGATTGGTGAAGGCAAACACAACAACACAGCAATCTCCCACCCAAATACACCATGACTTCGCCTAGAAGCACGCGCTCGAACAAGCACGCCTCTGTGAACTCGATTAGATATCCGCTTTCAAATATCAGCCTGAGTTCTGTGCTGCCGTTCTCGGAAGACATATCAGCTAAGGCCTGTGAAACGCGCGTCGATATTGGCCAAGAACCTGACACCGAGAACCGAGCCTCTAGAAAACGCCTGAACACAGGAGGTCTCACATCCGGTTGTTCCGACTCTGAGATGACAGACGTAGCTATCGACACTAACGCCGTGGTGGATAAAACAGGGTCCAGTCCTCCTAGCAAAAAACGCCTGGTGGATAATTCGCCGGCCGGGCCTCCGCCAGTGACATCCCCTTCAGCTTCATCGTCGAGCAGCTCGGATTCGGCAAAAATGGCTACGCCATCCAACCTCGTCATAAGCACGTCGTCAAACTATACTGACGAGTTGCAGCAACTTCCGCTTCCCTCACCAAGCGCGTCGCCAATACAGTCCGGAAACCTTGCTGATTCGCAACATTTTGAGGGAGAGGAGTATACCGATGACCACGATTCCCGGGTGATTCAGACGAAAGAGGAGAGGGCAGAGATTTTCAAATCCGCGAATGAAATGATTAGTTTGCTTCCAGTCGGCTCCTCAGAAGTGAACTATCTGCTCTGGTCATTGCTACAGAAAACCGATAGATCCACTCTTTCCTCATTACAAGAGACCATAAGGAATTCGCTGAGGAAAGATTTGGTTTCGCTTCTACCATCCGAAATCAGTATGAAGATATTCGGATATCTTGACTACGAGTCTTTATTACGAACTTCTGAAATTTGCAGAAGCTGGCTTAAGCTTTCCATGGAGAGCTACGACTTTTGGAAAGATCTTCTATTCAAAGACGGGTTTATTGCTACAGCGGAGGAATTTGAATCGGAATATGACAGGGTTAAGTTGCTAATTCCACACATGAACTCCTGTCAGATTACCAAATGGATATACAGACGAAGACTGGCAATTTCCAAAAGATGGAAGAATCCAGATTTCCAACCTCGCCGTATCACGTTGCCGGGGCAGGGCCCAGACGTGATCACATGTTTGCAGTTTGACGACGACAAGATCGTCGCGGGTGACGCCGACCATAGCATCACCATTTATGATATCAATACAGGCAAACTCAGATCTGTCCTTTCAGGCCATACAGGAGGTGTTTGGGCAATGAAATACTTAGGAAACATATTGGCCTCCGGTGCTACAGACAGAACTGTCCGCATCTGGAATATGAAACAGGGGAAATGTACGCATATTTTCCGTGGCCATACCTCGACTGTCAGGTGCCTGGAAATTTTAGAACCTAAACAAATAGGTGTTGACGACGAAGGAAACGCAATAATGTTCCCCAAGGTACCATTGGTGGTCACCGGTTCGAGAGACTCGACTCTTTACGTCTGGAGGTTGCCTATTACTGGAGAAGACGAAGAGCTTCCGGATGAACCAATTGAGCTTGATGAAACTTCCAACAAGTACTTGGTGAAAGTGCTGCGAGGCCATACTGGCTCCATCCGTGCCGTCTCTGGATCGGCCAATGTTCTTGTGAGTGGCAGCTACGATGCTAACGCCCGTGTGTGGGATTTGAGAACGGGAGAATGTAAATGGCTTCTATCAGGTCACACCGAAAGAATATACAGCTGTGTCCTGGACGTGAAGAAAAACCGATGCATTTCAGGTTCTGCTGACAACACAGTGAGAATATGGGACCTCAATACGGGGGAGACAGTGGCGATCTTGGAAGGCCACCAAAACCTTGTTGGCCTTGTCACTCTCTCCGAAAATGCTTTGGTGTCCGCGGCTGCCGACTCTACTGTGAGAATCTGGGACCCAAATACCGGCGATATGAAACATGTTCTGAGAGGGCACACTTCTGCAATTACGTGTATCCAGCACAACGACAACATCATCATATCTGGTTCGAATGGAATGCTGAAGATGTGGGACACACAGACCGGAAAGTTTATCAGGGATCTGCTTGACGATGTTGATGGTAACGTCTGGCAAGTGAAATCGGACTATAGACGATGCATTGCTGCTGTTCAAAAGGACGGAGGTACATACATCGAGATCCTGGACTTTGGCCACTCTGATGCTGATAGTCTCAGATTATACCCGAACGCAGACCAGATTATGTAAGTCTAAAAAACATCAGGTATGATAAAAAAAATTTAGAAAAAATATTGAATTAATTCCTGGATGGACCCCCGAGGTTATTTGAAGAGTTACGGGTGGATTGAGGGGGAAGCGTTGCAACGTGGAGGCCTGAAGAGGCCTATATTGGTTAGTCATAAGAAGAATGTGTTTGGAATAGGACACACAAGTAATCAGGCCGAGGCATGGTGGGAAAAGATGTTTGATGGACAGCTTAAATCGCTTGATGTGACGAGCAAGAACGGTGCTGTCAGCTTTGTTCAAGATGAGAAGTCTTTCAAGGAATTTGCCAAAAGTCAGTCGCCGCTGTACAAGATGTTTGTGAAAGGAGGTGTACTGCAAGGAACGATTAAAAAGGAGCCAGAAATAGATAGACCAGGGCACGAACAATTAATGATCTTCGATCTAGACGATTCGAAGAAGAAGGGAAAGAAACGCAAAAAAGACAGAAAGCAAGGAAAGCATAAAGAGAAGAAACGGAGGCGTAAATCTAAAAGGAAGGATAGAGTGAAAGAGGGTAAGATAAAAAAAACGTACGAGTCCAAGACGTAACTTCGCTGCATATTTCAAACATTCGCATACATAATGTACATCTATATTGACCCGTCATCGAGCCTTTTAACCTGGTGGTGAACTTCTGCAAACTCATTGGCTAGCTCCACGTAGAGCTGGAATTCTTCTTTCAATGTGCTGACAATCATATCGAGTCCATATGAACCAGTGGCTGGGCCTCCGCTTAACGAAACCTTGTCTAGATCGCTAATTGAGTTTTCTACCTCTTGCAGAATCAACTGGTACTTGTCAATGTTTTGCCTGAACTCTTCAATTTTGGCACTATAGTAGCTATTGAGAATCTGAGGAACATTCACATGAGAGTCTTTGTCTAGTTGTTGTGATTTGGAAGTCTGGGATTGCAAAAGGCCCGCCGTCCTGACTCCCTTGACTCCAATTATTTGCGTCACGGTGCCATCTGCAGATTTTGCTTGCTCATTGTTGGACATTCCCAGAATCATTGGATTGGTCAGCTGCAAGTAGACTTTGATTAACTTCTCTACCCAGTTGTCGAAGTTTTCAAGCGTCTTGTTCTTGAAGCTTTCCACGAACTTCAGGTCGCTATTAAGGGCCTGGTTAGTAGAAAAGTAGCGTTTTTCAAGGAAATCAATGTCTCTTGGAATGCTATTGATGAGTTCTTTGTGTTCATCCTCGTCGTTCTTCAGTCGCTCTGCGATAGCCACTTGAGTCTGAATATACTGATCCAGCTGCTCCAGCTCTTTTTGAAAAGCCTCCGGCAGATCGCTCACTTTGGTCATAGGATTTAGCGGAGGCAATTCGGACTGACTGAGATTTGTATTTTGTTGCTGGTTGCCAAATAATGCTCCAGACGTTCCTGATGTATTTTGTTGGTTGCTCAAAAAACTGGTTGTGCCTCCTGAACTGCTGTTTTGTTGGTTGCCAAAAAGGCTTCCAGATGTGCCGGTAGTGTTTTGTTGATTTCCCAGAAGTCCACCTGAGCCTGGTTGCTGATTTCCTCCGAAGAGAGAAGAGCCTGTACCGCTAGACTGTGAAGGTTGTCCGAATAGGCCTCCGGGTTTGTTTCCAAATAGACCGGTGGAAGTACTCGATGTATTATTGGTTGCATTGTTGGCACCTCCGAAAGAGAATCCAGTATTGGTGGAAGGAGCAGGAGTGCTGGAGGATCCGAAAAGACTTCCAGATTGGGTGCCAGATTGGGTGCCAGTTTGCGTATTATTTTGAGTATTTGTAGCTCCACCAAAAGAGAAGCCTGTGTTTGCGGAGGCTCCTGTTTGATTGGTATTGTTTGGATTATTACCAAACGAGAATGCTGGCTTTGGTGCGGTAGAAGCATTGTTTTGACCGAATAATCCGCCCGAGGTGGTGTTATTTCCAAACAATCCTCCAGAGTTGGAGGTGTTTGCGCTTCCGAATCCCGTTGACGCGTTGTTTGTATTCGAATTGGCTCCAAAGAGGTTTGTGGAGTTTGCACTATTGTTGTTATTGGCACCAAACAGAGCACCCGTCGAGTTGGGCTGTGATCCAGCCTGAGCATTATTTTGCGTATTCCCAAAGGAGAACGCAGGCTTCGAAGCGTTCGAGCCTCCGAAAGAGGAGGAGCCTGCTGTGCTGCCAAACATTTGCAATGTCTGGATTATATTTGTATTTTTATTTTCAGTGAATTTTTTCTCCGGGTAAGCTCTCATTGCCACAGATTTTCAGTGTCGAATTTAAGTAAAAAAGACAAGCTAAACACGCTTTCTATCACAGATTTAGAATGGGTAAGTTTAGGCCTTTGGCATTCTGCTCTAACAGCCAGGCATCCCAAAGTTTTTCCGATTCATCTCTGAGAGATGGCCACTGATATCGAACGAAATTGACGGGTCGACTCCCGTTCCAGAATTTGACAATCTCTACCTGGATATGAACTCCATTTTGCATACCTGTACGCATACCAATGACAGCTCATTGCTTAGAATGACCGACGACCAAATGTTCGGTGCCATATTTGCCTACATCGACCATCTGTTCAACATCATCAAGCCGCAGAAAGTGTTCTACATGGCCATTGATGGAGTTGCTCCTAGAGCAAAAATGAACCAGCAGCGTGCTAGACGGTTCCGAAGTGCGATTGAGGCCGAACAGAATTTGGAGAAAGCTATCAAAGAAGGAAAAGAGATTCCTAAGGAGCCCCCTTTCGACTCCAACGCAATTACTCCTGGTACAGAGTTTATGGCCAAATTGACGGAGAATCTGAAATTCTACATTAATCAGAAAGCTTCCTCGGACTCGAGATGGCAGAATATGCGTATCATTCTGTCTGGCCACGAAGTGCCCGGCGAAGGAGAGCACAAGATCATGGACTTCATCAGAACACAGAAAGCTCAACCTGACTACGATCCTAACACCAGGCACTGTGTCTACGGGCTGGACGCCGATCTGATCATGCTGGGTCTTGTCGCACACGAACCGCACTTTGCTTTGTTGAGAGAGGAAGTGACCTTTGGTCCGAAAGCTAATTCTCATTCCGACGACGACCTTACGCAGCAGACATTCTTTTTGCTCCATATCTCGCTGGTCAGAGAATACATGGAGCTGGAATTCCAGGATCTGCAAGATCAACTTTCATTCGAGTACGATTTTGAGCGTATCATTGACGACTTCATTCTCATCATGTATGTGATAGGAAACGACTTCTTGCCGAACTTGCCGGATTTGCATTTGAACAAGGGTGCTTTCCCGCTTCTGATAGAGACTTTCAAGGAAGCCATCAGAGATATGGACGGATATATCAACGAGTTTGGAACCATCAATCTCCAGAGGTTCGGAAAGTGGCTGGAGTATTTGTCCGTTTTTGAGCTGGAGAATTTTGAGAAAGGAGAGGTCGACGTTGAGTGGTTCAACAAGCAGCTTGATAATATCTCGAAGCAAGGAATGAAGAAGAGACTGAGACAGGGCAAGGAGCTACTGCTTAAGCAGCAGAAGAAGTTTGTTGGTCTTGTGAGAGAATGGATATATCGCGTCTATTCGGAGAAGTTTGACGTCAAAGCCATGCTAGAAGACGAATCTAAAGTTCCTGAGCTTCCTCTTCCGCGTGACGTGTTTGAAAGTGAGATTAACAGAGACGTGATTGCCAAATTCCTGTTTGAACTCGGTGTTGTGGTTGTCCACAGCAAGTCTCAAGACACATACACTGCTAGATTGGATGTCGATGGCATCAATCCTGACGAGACTGACGAAGAATTCAATGAACGAGTGGAAGGGATCAGAAGAGTGATCAAGAAGTACCAAAGCTCCATTGTCGTGGAGGATGAAGAAACGTTGGAGTCGCAAAAAGACCTTTACGATGCTAGGTTTGTCAAATGGAAAAATGAATATTATAAAAACAAGGTCGGGTTCTCTTTGAATGACGAGGACAAAATCAGAGACATGGCTGAGAATTACATTGAAGGATTGCAATGGGTCTTAAACTACTATTATAAAGGAATTTCGTCCTGGCCTTGGTATTACAGGTACCACTATGCTCCCCGTATTTCTGACGTTAGCAAAGGTTTGAATGTGAAGATTAGTTTTGAAAAGGGCCATCCATTCAAGCCCTTCCAACAACTGATGGCTGTTTTGCCTGCCAGGTCTAAGCAACTGATTCCATCTGTCTACAGGCCACTCATGACTGACTCGAACTCCCCAATCATAGACTTCTATCCAGATGATTGTGAAGTCGATATGAATGGTAAGAAAGCGCCGTGGGAGGCAGTTGTTCTTTTGTCCTTTGTCGATGAGAAAAGATTGATTGAAGCGATGACTCCGTTCGACTCTAAACTGAGCCCTGAGGAAAAACGAAGAAACTCCTTTGGCACCGACTTGCAGTTCCATTTCAATCCTCAAATCAAGCACCTCATCAAGTCTCCTTTGCCAGCATCCTTCAGTGACTTTGAGTCTCACTGCACCGAGACCGAGTTCCATCTTCCTTCACTTGAAGGCCTAAAGCTCAACTTTGGCTTGTGTAAGGGTGCTAAGTTTGGTAGGGAAGCATTGGCTGGCTTCCCGTCTCTGAAAACCATCCCATGTCAATACAACCTTGAGTATGCCAATGTCGTTGTGTTCCAACAGCCTTCTAAAGCCATGACGTTGATGTTGACGCTGGAAAATCTGCATAGTAGCCTGACTGTGGAGCAATTCGCCAAGGAATATGTCGGTCAGATTGTCTACACGAAATGGCCGTTCCTAAGAGAGGCAAAGGTTGTCTACGTGACTGACAACCTTATGAAATATGAGAAAGTGAAAATGGGATCTGTGCCGAAAGTTGTCTCGTCTCCATTGGAGCCATTCGAAAGAGACGATTTTGAGAAAACCAGAGCTGTTTTGTACCATAAACTCCAGACCAATAAGGGTGTTCGTTTCCAAGCTGCAGGAGCTGGTGAAGAATCTGAGGAGTCTGAAGAAAGCTCAAAAAGCTCCTCAACGAAGAATCCTATTGAAGGATTAGTCTATGTGAGAGCTGTCAACGGGCTCATCAGAAACGAACAGGGAGCCTTTGTGAAAACGTACGCCAAAGAGATCGAATGCTACCCTATTCAGTTAATAGTGGATGAGGTTATCAACAAGGACGCAAGATTTGAGGCAAGGCCTCCCGTTCCTATAGAAGAGGAATTTCCTAAGAACTCGACAGTTGTTTTCCTGGGTGCTTTCGCATACGGTACTCCTGCAGACGTTATTGGACACGAGAACAATAAGCTCACATTAAAAGTGTCGAGGATCTCCAAGAAGGCAGAACCTAACTTTGGTGTTCTGAGAGCACAGCACGAGAAAAAAGCTATCAGATACCATCCGTCGTCGACTGTCGCCAAAATCCTGAAATTTTCTCCACTGTTCCTATCCAAGCTGACGTCTTCGTATGCGGTTGAAGGGCCGGGTGGCAGAAGATACGACATTGGCCTTCCACTGAAGTTTGAGGGTAAGAAGATGAAAGTTTTAGGATACACAAGAAGGAATGATAGATACTGGGAGTACAGCGATCTGGCAATCAGCCTGATTCAGGAGTACATGAAAAAATTCCCTGATGTTTTCAAGGCCCTGATGGAACACAAGGGATCATCTATTCCGAGCGCCAAGGAGATTTTCAAGATTGCTGAGCCGGACAAGCTGAGGGCCAAGCTGGATGCTGTGCAGTCGTTCCTGAAGGAGAAAAAGTCCTCGTTTGTCACTGTGAGCTTGGAATCTGAATCGTTCACGAAAATTGGCGTTGCAGAGCTCGAACAACAGATCATTGACTACGTGGCAAAGCCACAGCCTTTGGATACCAAGGGAATCAAGGGAATTCCACGGAATGCTGTTTTGGCTCCGTCACAGTCGTTCCAGCTGCTCAAAAAACAGCACTTTTCTCTTGGAGACCGTGTTGTGTATGTCTTAGACTCGGGCAATGTTCCTTTGTTTTCGAAGGGAACGGTGATCGGGATCAGATCGCTTGAGTCCAAGGTCGAGCTGCAAGTACTCTTCGACCAGCCTCTGTTGACAGGTAACACCTTTGGTGGCAGGCTGAAGACTCAAAGAGGACTGACGCTGGATTCCTCTGTGTTGCTGAACTTAACTGACAAACAGTTTATCTACCACTCGAAGGCCTCCTCCAAGACTGCTCAGGGGGATTTGAGCGAGGTCAAGAAGCGTTACTTGCTGAAGAAGAAACAAGAAAAGGAGAACGAACTCAGAAGCAAGAAGGAATTGCTAAAAGTGATCAAGAAGAGCGACACTCAGGGCGAGACCAAGGATTCTGCGGACTCATCTCTCCCAAGCCTCTCCAAGAAGAACGGAGTGGCTCAAAACGTGTTCAACTCAGTTCTGGGGAACGTGATGCAGCCAACTGCTCCTCTGAGAGGTCCTCACTCCATGATGGGCGTTCCTCCAGGACTCCCGCTACCTGTGTCTATGCCTGCTAACACCAACGGCTCGCAGGAACTCATGGGCATGCTTAATAACCAGAAAACACGGAACTCTGCAGGCAGGCCTGCAAGCAAACCGGCCAGTAAGCAGGCCAACAGAGCAACAAAGAAGCCTCAGAATAAGCAGAAACCAAAGGTGGCGAAAAAAGAAGAGGCTTGAGCTATATATCTTCCTGTAATGTGTACTTTAGAACCTCGTTTTGCTCCAATTCCTGCCGTCTTTCGAACCACCGCTGTTCGAACCCGTTGGTGCGGTTCACCCCGTCCCAGCGCCAGCCAGGCCGTATGCCAAATCTGTTGTCGGGATATCCAGTTTCTGCGTATAGTTTTCTACCTGTCGCGCTCAAATTGGTAAGCTTTCTTTTGCGCTTCTGCAGGTTTGCGTCAAACAGCAGCGCAGGGTCGTCGTCGCTGACCGTCTGTTTTTTTTGGTGCTCTCTGCTCTCCTGCGTCTCTGTTTCCAGCTGTTTTATTCGTTGTTCTTCCTGCTGTTTCTGGATGGCTGTGTATTCGCTCTCGTTGACACGCTTTATCTCCTCTCGTTTCCGCTCCTCTTCGGCTTTCCTCTGTGCGTCTGGGTCCTCAACTCTGGATATCCTCCGTCCAGTGGCATCTCTATAGACCGTCTCGACGTTATTGGGGTTGTACTGTTGCTGGACCTTGCGCTTTTCCTCTTCCAATTGACGCTGTTTCATCTCCATTGACCTCTTGATGTCCTCCCCTGTCTTGAGTCCTGGCAGCGATCCGTCCTGCATAAGCGTCGGTCGCGTGCTTGCCGTCTCTTTCGTCTCTACCGACGTCCAGCCCTTGGACTGCACCTTTCTCTCGACAACAACGGGTCCTTCCTCTGTCTCCGACAAATCCGACTCCGATTCCTGCTCCTGAGGCTCCTCAGAGACATATTTCTTGAGATACTCCTGGAGTGACATAGTGCACAGAAAGGCCGATCGACCTCAAAATTAAGAAAAAAGTCCACCCTCGAAAAAACACATATACTCATCATGGAGGATTGGAGAAGAATTGACGTCGACCAGTACGACCCGGATTTGCAGTACGAACCAGACCCGATCGACGCACCTGCCTACTCTGCTCAGCAGTTGGACTCGCTGGTCACAGAGATCCGCTCCAGCGTGTCCAGAGGCGACGCTCTGGGTGCCATCAAGCTGTGTGTTGCACAGCCTCCGTACGGCTCCGACAGCGCCCTAAAGACGGCATATCTGCAAGCGGTGCTGAACGCGTTTGTTTCCGTGAGACAGAGCGAAATCCCCAACATTGTGAAGAGCCTGGATATGGACGAAACCGACACCCTGGTCAAACTGCTGTACTCGCTCATGAGCGTCAAAGAGGGCCAGAAGTCCGGCGGAGTGTTGCTGGGCTGGTTCGATAAAGTCGTTGAGCTTGTTGGAGAGCGCCCAATCGTGAGCTATGTAAACAGTTCGTTGACATTGTAAGATAGAATATATGCGTCGTCGTCGCGTCGATAGAAAAAGAAGCGTAGGCTACCGCACCTGGCAGCACACGGGCGCGGTTTCCCCCACACCACAGTTGCCATCGGCTATTTTACGCGAGACTGCGCTATATAAGGCCGTGCGAGTAAGCCTGTGCTCGCAGATCAAATATGGTTGTTAAGAGAGGCGACAAATTCCCGACTAACGTGAGCACGCTCTTCATCTCGTCCCCAGAGGGCGAGCCGAAGCCCTTTGATCTGAAGGCAGCTACAAAAAGCAAGAAGTTTGTGGTTGTCAGTGTTCCCGGTGCATTTACTCCACCTTGCACCAACCAACACCTCCCAGAGTACATACAGAAAGTGCAGAATTTTGCTTCCAAAGGAGTCGACTTCATCCTTGTGGTGACGCAAAATGACCCGTTTGTGCTTCGTGCCTGGAGAGAAAAACTAGGAGCTACGTCCAATAAGATCTTGTTCGTGTCAGACCCGTATCTGGACCTGTCCAAGAAACTGGGGTCTCCTATCGATTTGGGAGACCTGGGCCTGGGAACGAGATCCAGCAGATTGGCCCTGATTGTGAACCGCAGCGGCATCGTCGAGTTTGTCGCCGACGAGAAGGGCGGAGAGGTCAACGTCTCGACGGCGTCCAAACTGCTGGCAAAGCTGTAAAAGATGTTTAGGGTTAAAAATTGAATGGTTTTTTTTTCGAGTAAATATAATCTGGTCTCATGTCTCATGATCTGGAGAACCCGTGGTCAGACGTGGTACCCAGCACACGTGAGTCGTCGTTTGTAATTGGACTATGCATTGTTGACTTCGACCACGTCCACGGCCCAGAGATAGAGTACTGGCTCGACGACCGCACAAACGAGTACAACCAGGCCTCGATGGCGGCCAAGTTTGCCCAAATATGGCCGCAGTTGCCCTTCCAGGGGCTTCCTGACGGGGCGCACCTGTTTGACGAAGCATTCACAAATTTCACGCTTGTATATGACGAGAAAGATCACATCTGTCCTCCCCTCCCCAAGGAGAAGACCGAGAAGCACTACGACCTCACGACACTTTTTGGATGCGCGTGCGTGCGCCAGCTGAACAGCAGCGCGTTGAAGGACGGTGCGGACTTCAAGCGGTCGATCATCCAGAAAAGCGTCGTGATGATCACCCGATACCCGATCCCAATCCAGTTAAAGGAGAAATTAAGCATAATCACCATGAGCTACTTTGACCAGCACAACTTCCACGACAAGTCCATAATCAAGGCCCTTTTCGAGAATGTGGCTGCCGTCTACAACTCGCATGGTTTCAAGGTTGAAGACGACGATTTGTACGAGACACCTGTGACCCAGGACAACGTGAAGGTCATCAAGGAAAGTGACTTCTACACGGGGCTCAATTTGAAAGAGCTGGTGGTGATGTTAAAACGCAATTTGCTGGTCATTTACAAAGCGTTGCTGCTCGAGCAGCGCATTCTCGTGTACTCGAAAAACCTCAACCGTCTCTCCAACTTCCAGTACTCGCTTCTCTCGCTCATACCGAATCTGCTGCTCCATCTTTCCGACAGCGGGAGCCCGTTGACCGGCAGCATTCCCGGACACGTCGAGAAACCCACCTCGCTGAAAAGCAGCGACAGACAGTCGATGCTAGCATTCATGGGCCTTCCGTTGCGAATATTTGGCAGGGGAGGCTTTTTCCAGCCGTACCTGACCCTGCAGCAGATCGAGTACCTCACCAACGAGAACACCAGGTGGTATCTGGTCGGTTGCTCGAATGACATAATGCTGCAGCAAAAGACGCGATATGCAGATCTGGTGGTTAACCTCGACGACGCCAGTGTCGAGCTGCTGAACGCGCAGTTGAAGGACAAAGTGGCGCTCACGAGCGCAGACCGCCGCTTTATCGACTCGTTGGGTGACGAGGTGCTTGCCGCAGACGACGTGAGCTTGTCGCTGGCAAACAGCCCGATGGAATCGCAGTCGTACCGGGGCGGCGACGATTTTATCCGATACAACTTCGAGGATTACCTAATTGGGATGCTCTCGAGCATCAAGTACGACAACTTCCGCAGCATGTCCAAGCTGGAAAACGTCCAGCAGCTGAGCTCATTTGCGAACGAGATCGAGCAGTTCGGGATTCCGTTCGTGTCGGCCTTCCGGGCCACCACTGCCTACGAGATATTTGATCGCGGGACCGACGACGAACTATTTAATTTTTTCGAGCCCAAACACGTCGGCTCTAGTCTGGTCCGGACAAATGTGATTCGGAACCTGATTAGCAGAATTAAAGACGAAGATCGCAAGTATTTGTCGGGGATGTTCAGTTTTAGGCGAGGCGAAAATAAAAATAGCTAGTCTGGCTCAGAAAGCATGTCACGCATGCACCTGTGACAAGATAGTAATCCGGGCGGTGTGGCATCAAGCCCGAGACACCACCGAAAGACTTTGTGGCCTGCGCCAATTATATAGTCACCAATATAACCTCCCGCAGTCGCAGACGATCCAAGCACACTCACCGACGATCCTAGGCCCTCCGTCGCTCGGCACCGGCCATCCCTTTTATCTTATCTCTGCTTATCTGGCATTTTTTTTTCGTGCAGATACTTATCTCCTCGAGATAACTGCATTTCATTTTGCGACAATTTGAGCAACTGGATTTACAAGTTTTCCTCCTCGCCCACCTAAGAAGGCTTTCTCTTTGTGTGAGAATATGCTCCAAACCGACTCACCAAACCCGGTCAGATACCCTATCCGGCAGATCCCTCCGGCCGTGCTGGCCCGAATCCCGAAGGAACAACAAGAGATTATCCCTTCCGTGGAGTCCATCACGAAGCGCAAGTACTCGACGTCCATCGACCCGCGCAACTACCTGACGGTATTCGAGTACAAAATCAACGAGTCCTGGATCATCTGGGACTACTCCTCCGGCCTGGTACATCTCACGGGGCTCTGGAAGGCCATAGGCAACTCGAAGGCAGACATCGTGAAACTGATCGACTCGTCGCCCGAGCTCGAGCCCGACCTCAAGCGCGTGCGCGGCGGCTTTCTGAAGATCCAGGGGACCTGGATCCCGTTCGAACTAGCGCGCAAATTGGCCGCCAGATTTTGCTACAAAATCAGATACGCCCTTGTGCCCATGTTTGGCGAGTCCTTTGTCGACGAGTGTCTGAAGCCGTACGAAAAGGGCTTCGGTATGCTCCGCCTGAGGGTGAACGACGACGACTTGAAGAAGAAGAGAAGCAGCAGACGCAAGAAATCCATCTCCTCGGGCTCTGTGCCCTCCGCCCACTCCAGGATCGGCAAAAAACCGCGCTCCCGGTCCCAGGAGTTCGAGTACGGCAAGTCGCTGTCTCCTAGCATCATCTCGCGGAACAAGGGTCCGGAGACCGGCTTCTTCGTGTCGTCCGTTGCGGCAGGTCCTGCAGCAGACTCGTTTGAGATCAAGACCGCCAGGCCCAAAGCGGACGGGCTGCTTTCTGTTCTCAGAGCAGCAGAGAATCTGGACGCCAACCCGCTCTACACCTCTATTCTGTCTACTGTGTCGTCGTCGTCGTCGTCCACGACGTCATCCTTCTCAACTTCGAATTTCCCTATCAGTCCGCTAGCTTCGTCCACCTCGCTTATCAGCAGCCAGTACCAATACCAATACCCCCCAAGAGCACTCGAGATCCCGTACAAGTCCAAGCCAGACCATCCAGTGACCTCCGAGACAGACATCAAGCGCAAAATGAGCATCAGCGATCTACTTATATAGGTTTTCTAGTGGCTTTAACATTCTCCACGATGTTGGCAACGTTTAAGGGTTTTCAAGGCCGTGTAATTTTTTTTTGCTGCCACCAGACTGCGCCAAGATTGGTCGCCTCTCACTCAGACCAAACTTCCTTCTTTCTCAGACACCCTTTTTTTAATCGAAACAGATAGTACCTTCTAGCTCTGTGTACTGACGCCGCTCAACCACCAGTCCCTTCATCCGGAGCTCCAGAATCATCAAGAACCTTTGCTAGCATTCAGAGCGCCCTGAGTCGTTTCTCATGTTTGCGGACCTGTATTTCAAAACAGTCGCAAGTGACGGACTCTCCTACCAGCAGATTACTTTCTTGACCTTCCAGGCTGTTACCGAGGTTGTTATCATCTGTCTAGCGGGCTTTTGGGCTGCAAAGACCGGCCTTCTAAACAATGAAGCCACAAAAATCATCTCTAGACTCAATGTGGACCTCTTCACGCCAGCCCTTATCTTTTCGAAATTGGCCTCCTCTCTGTCGTTCCAGAAAGTTTTGGAGGTGATCGTCATTCCCATATTCTACGCACTCATCACAGGAATCTCATACGTGGCCGCCCTCTGGGTGTCCTCCCTTCTTGGGCTGTCCGAGCCAGAGGCCAATTTTGTGACGGCTATGGCTGTCTTTGGCAATTCCAACTCTCTGCCCGTGTCTCTGACTTTAGCGCTTGCATACACGTTGCCGGGTCTGGAGTGGGACGAGATCGAGAACGACACGCCGGACCAGATCGCCTCGAGGGGTCTGATTTATTTGCTCATTTTCCAGCAGCTGGGACAAGTGCTCAGATGGTCTTGGGGTTACAACACGTTGTTGAAACGACGTTCTCCCTCCGTGGGGATTGCTCTTGACGATGATCCTGAGAGCCAATCTCTAGAGACTCACAGGCCGTCCAGCTACGGATCTGCCGACGAGCAGTCAGACGAAGAACGGAGATTGCTCAGCCACCCGCCTCCAAATCCCGATAGGTGGAGCGAAGGCTCTTCGATAACTTCTCACGAGAGCGTTTCGAAAAGCGCAAATATCGACATTGAGACCGAGAACCAGCCGGCAGAGGACGAAAGGCCGTTGCCCCTTAGGATCTGGAGCAAATTCCTGTCGGCAATGAATCCACCTTTGTGGTCCATGTTGATTGCCATCATTGTCGCCAGTGTGCCTAAGCTCAGATACGAGTTCTACGAAAAACAGGGATTTATCCAAAACACACTGGCTTTGGCAATAAAACAGCTTGGATCGGTCTCGATTCCACTGATCCTAGTGGTATTGGGAGCAAATTTAGCTCCGTCCCAGGATATTCCTCCGGCGAGCCCCCACTACTCCAAAATCGTCTTCGGGTCGCTTGTATCGAGGATGGTGCTTCCGTCCATTGTGCTTCTTCCTGTCATTACACTATGCGCCAAGTATGTGGGACTGAGCATTCTTGACGATCCGATTTTTTTGGTCACTTCATTCTTGCTTATCACATCTCCTCCAGCTATCCAGCTGTCGCAGATTTGCCAGCTGAACGAGGTGTTCCAGAAGGAGATGGTGGGTGTGCTATTCTACGGGTACGCGGTCCTGACTTTGCCGGTCACGATAGTGATTGTGGTTTCCGCTTTGGAGTGTTTGAAATGGGCCAAGATGTAATCAAGCAGTAATCTGCCAATCAGATAACGGTTGGGAAAAAATACTGAATAAATATTTGATCCAATCCATTTAGAGTATTATTATGGACAGCGATGAGTAAAGAACGGAAGATTGCACTGGTTGGCGCGCGAGCCGTGGGAAAGTCTTCTCTGGCTGTCCAGTTTGCTGAAGAGTCCTTTAGTGACCATTACTTTCCGACGATAGAGAATCAGTTGAAGAAGCAGGTCAAATACAAGGGAATAGACTATTCGCTTGAAATTATGGATACTGCTGGTCAGGATGAGTTTTCTACTTTGCATAATAAGTTGTTGATTGGAGTTCACGGGTATATGTTGGTTTATTCTATAAATTCAAGACAGTCTTTCGACATGCTGGCTGTTGTGCGAGACAAGATCCTTGATGGGCTGGGAATAAGCTCGGTGGAAGACGGGCCTCCGATCGTTATTGTGGGCAACAAAAGCGATCTGGACTTTCAGAGACAGGTTACCGAGGCAGAGTTGAAACAGCTAGCAAAGAGGTTCGGCAACGTTCCGTACTTTGAGTGCTCTGCGAAAAATAACTACAACGTTCACGAAGCCTTTGGTGCCGTGATTGACCAGATAGAAGACATCAGGGAGCCCAAAGATGAAGAAGAGACCCAGGTTAAAAGTAACGGATGTGTTTTAATGTAGAATACGGGATATATTGTTACAAAGGTCAAAAAACGGTGGGGCAAAAAATTTACTTTATCTATAAATTAATAGCAAGTGAGCAGCACAACTTAACTAAAGGGGATAAAATAAACATAGTTTACAATGTCATACCACGAGTTCACTTGGTGAGTATAAAAGTCAATTTCGGACACAGTCGAGCTAACATGGTAGGCCTTCCGGTCCTGAGTCTGTCATTGTGACAGGGTCCTTTGATAACTGGTCTCAATCGTTGCCCCTTATCAAGCAGCAGGACGGCTCTTTTTCTCTATCGTTCCCATTTCCCGCAGACACCGAGAAAGTGATTTTCAAGTTCGTTGTGGACGGCAAATGGACCACAAGCGAAAAGTACAAAGAAGAAGCAGATGAGTCGGGAAACAAAAACAACGTCTTGTATGCGAAGGACGTTATTTCTGCTCAAGCTTCCAATTCTACACCAATTCCTGAAGCAGGAGGCATGGCAGTGCCATTGGTTGGTGGCAATGGTTCCTTGCCGAAGAGCGAGTCCGAAATGGCCGGTTCAGAGTACAAGCCTACCGTTCTTCCTTCGTCCGAAGGTCAACAGGTGACGCTGGGAGAGCCGGGTATCGTGGTGCCAGCCAATCCGCACTCGATCGATGCTCTTTCGGAGGTGAGAGACGTTGACCCAAAGACGCTTAACGAGCCTTCTGGCTCGTCCAAGAGTGCACCAGCTGGAACCACCGCCGCCACTAAATCTTCTGTGGCTACAAACACTCTCGACCCTGCAGCGCAGTCAAAATTTTCGGAGACTGCTGGCTCCACTAATGCCACAGGAGTCCCAGAAACCGACGCAGCTGCTACTTCGGGACCTGGAGTTGTTATCCCAGAAGACCCTCAGTCGATTTCGGCTTTCAACGAGGTTAGAGACGTGGACCCAAAGACTCTGAACGCACCTTCGGAGCCAACCACTTCCCAGACGGAAACGGCCGTTGCAGACGAGGCAACTAACCCAAGCACTCAAGACACAGCAGGTACTGCTGCGAGCGAGGCTTCTGAAGCGGGCGCCAAGAAGACCAAGTACGTCAAGAGAGTGGTTTCCAAGGTCAAGAAGGACGAAGCCGAGCAGATTCCAGAAGGTGAAAAAGAGACTACTGCAGCTGAGACACCTGCGAAATCTGCATCACCTGCAAAGGCTGGACAGGCAACCGCAAGCACTCCGTCTACAAAGAAGAAGAGTGGCTTTTTTGCCAAGCTCAAAAGGGCACTCAAATAAGGGACGCGGTGGGATCAGGTGCTTCCGTCTTTTCTTTCATCTGTGTATTAAATGTATCATCATTTGAATGGAGACCAGGAAAAAACGCCGAAAAAATGATTACATGCGTTCCACTTTAGGGCGGCTGCCAACGGCACTGCGTCAAATGCCACTCGATGCAGCCGGCCTTGTAAAGTAAATGGAATTCGCAAGTTTCCATAAGAATTCTTCCGGGTTCTTTTATTGGGGAGCTGTCTTCCGAATTGGGAAATGTTGTTGATCGCAGTATGCACGGATAATTTAGAATATTTTTCAGTAGAACAGGCTTTCCTTTCTCAAAAAGCCCGTGGTATATGCTGTTTGGCAAACTTTTTGGGCCAACAAGCTTCTACATGTTGATCTGGTTCTTTTTGGCGTCCTTCGGGTCTGCCTTGGAGCAGGCGCTATGCTCCAAGGAAAACACAGGATCGGTGACTACTAATAATGTCTGGATGTCAAATGGACTCTGTTCCAACTTTTGTAGCCAATACCGCTACGGCATTGTCCAAGGAGAAAACTGCTGGTGCTCGAACACGGCGCCAGATGACACCAGCGACTTAGGCAATTGCGATACTACGTGTCCCGGCTACGGATACGAGAAGTGTGGGGGAGATGGCTATTACGGATATATCAGCCTGTCTGGCAATTCTGATGGCTCGGAATCTTCCAGCTCCTCGGTCGACCAATCAAGCACTGCTGATGATAGCACTTCAAGCTCGACCGCCAACAGTGAATCGTCCTCCTCCTCCGAAACAAGTTCAAGTGAAACACCGTCCTCGGAATACACATATGCGGGCGCTAATTCTCAGGTATCCTCGTCTGAAATGGAAGAGGTCTCCACCACCACGGGCTCGTCGTCATCGTCAACATCCGATACTTCCTCCTCCTCGTCCTCCTCGTCTTCCACTTCCCTATCATCCTCTTCGGCTACCTCGTCCTCGTCGCCTATCGCCACGACCTCTTCATCGTCTGCGTCGTCCTCGTCGACTTCTATATCGTCGGAGTCGTCCTCGCCGGCCTCTATATCGTCGTCTCCTGACTCAACATCCACCTCGTCGTCTTTATCACCACCGCTTGCGATCTCCACATCGTCGTTTCTCAGCGCTGCGCCAGGATCGGGTATCTCTACAGCGCTAGTAACCACGATGATCAAGACAACCATCACCTACACACCAGCACCGTCAGCAACCGAGATCAACAAAAGCTCGCCGTCCAGCGCGGCTACTGACTCTCACAAACATAGCTCGTCTTTTTTCGATCACAAAGGAAGAGTCGCCGCAGTATTTTCGGTGGTGGGCATCGTATCGCTCGCTCTGATACTGTTACTGATATTCATTCTCAGAAAAACGTATTTGAACAAGCATAAGGGACCAATTGCCATTGAATCAGACACAGATAGCTTTGAAAAGCCCGTCATCATCGGCACGTTGCCAAACAACCCAACGCCCACGGGTCCGCCGGCGTCTGGGTCCGCCAAAAAGGCCTCTGTGTTCTCCCTGCACCGCAAATCTCACTCGGTCCCTACCGCTGTCCAACGGCCACCCCCACTCTCAGATATGGTGATGGTTGACCAGAGACTGGACCCCCACAGCGAACTTTACAATAATAGTAATCACTCTACTCGAAGCCTTAGTGATCAGGTCGATTACAGCCGGAAAGTGCTTCGGGTAGCCAACCCTGACGCCTGATAGGTGTAAGGTGTCGTCCATTGACAACCCCACGGAGAAAAGAGCAGCCTGGTTGTGGAAAGCTCGTGCAGGCACAATATATTCGGGTCTGGGCCTGTAAAGGAGGGTTTGTGTCGCTCATTTGGCTAGCAGGGTTTGTCGTTTCAGCCTTTCCAAAACTCATAAATATGTATAAGTCTCAATTAAATTTATGCCAAGAAATCCTCTTCAATTATAAATTAGCTCTGCTTCGCCTATTTTTTTGATCATCCTTTGTTTTCAATTATTTCTCTTATGAGCAACTCTACGCTGAATGTTCACCCCGTGGCGTACTTGAACGCCGATTCTGACCATCCTCGTCATGGTGAGGACAGAGCTGCAAGAAAGTCCCACTCTACGGAGTCCACCGGTTCTCCGATAGGTTCCATCTCGTCCTACACAGAGGTCTCCTCAGACCCTGACTCTCCCCCAGGTATGCAGACTACTAACTCACCCCACATCAAGCAGAGCGTCAATACCACGAACAATTCTACCCTAGGAACAATGCTACCTAATATCTCTGCTTTGGATGCTGCGTGTAATCCGTTCGACTCGCAGTCAAGATACCTTTACCCAACTTTTAGGCCACAGGTTCCTCAAATTTCCCAGGTTCCGGTCTCTCAGGTCTCGCAAGTTTCCCAGGGACCTCAAATTGCCCAACTGCCATCGCTATCGCTACCAACACAATCATTTCCACCGACAAGAGATGAGAAAGACGGTGATGAGGGCCCCCTGCAATGTAAGTGGAAGGGCTGCACAAAGTTCTGTGATGATGCAAAGACTCTTTACCAACACGTTTGCGACTTTCATGTGGGCAGAAAGTCGAACAAGAACCTGGAACTAAGCTGCCAATGGGACGGTTGTCGCGTGGTTACTGTCAAGCGTGACCATATCACATCCCATGTCAGAGTGCACATTCCTTTGAAGCCTTTTGCCTGTAACATGTGCTCCAAGAAATTCAAGAGACCTCAGGACCTCAAGAAACACACCAAGACCCACTTTGACGACTCGAAGAGGAATGCTGCCAAACGCGAGAAGCAATTCAACGACTATTTGAAAGCAAACTGGGTTTATGGTTATCCCGTCTACGACCATGGTCCTCTTCCTCATCCCTACGCTCTTCCGCCGCCTCCTGTTTCCCAGCCGATCGAGAACAGAAAACGCAAGTTCGATCTTTCTTGGAGCGTTCCAACCCTCTACGAGGACCTGAAACGCTCGAAATTCCAGCCAGCTTACAATCCGGAAATTGCCCACAAGCTGAATGGATTTGACGCTACCGCAATGCCAGGCTCTCGTCCTTCTTCCGATTTCTCGCTTCCGCCGTTGCATAATTCAAGATACGGCGGATTCCACACTCAGCAGGATCTGATGGAGGCTTCATCTTACTTCAGCCACCTATCGAATTCGATGTCTTACGACCAAGTCCATCCAAAACCAGCTGTTAGTGGTGGGGGCCAGCTCTATCCAATGCTGCCTTCCAAGACGCCTCACGTCAATAAATCTGACTCTGATCACGTGCAACGGCTGAATGTGAGCTCCGCACAAAGATCTACAGAGGCAGATCTTGTCAGTAGGCTTGCTGCTGTGGAGTTGTCCGAGTCATCGGAAGACGAAGACGACGACCATTCGGGCTACTACGATGGGTCGGACTCTGAGTCGGACTCAGAGGACGCTGAACAATGGACGCAATTTTACAAACACCGTGAGCTCGTCAGCACGATTTCCGCTTACTTGAATGGCCTTGTGGAGGAATTGGACAAACCGCAGACCTCCACACCATCTCTTTATCCAGCTATTAGTGTTTAGTTTGTAGATTATTTTTTGGATACCCCCTTACACCGGATGTTTTGATATTAATATTTCTAGTAAATACAAAAAAAGGCAAACGAAAATGCCTTCCGAGACTTCCCAACCAACACAGACTACAACACAAACAGAGACTGTTCCTGTGCGAAATATACTGCGGCTTTATCCGGCTGAGGAAAAACAGAAAAAGAAGCAAAGGAATAGGGTGAGATGGGAAGAAGGCGTGGTCGATAACGAATTTATGAATAAGAAGAAGTCTAAAAGTAAGTACATTAATCTTGCTGTATCGTGCTAACTAGCCAGTCTGTTGCATTTTCCATCCGAACAACGAGGACGAGTATGAGGTCGAGGAAACTGAATCTGAGTCGGAGTCGTCCTCATCCTCGTCCTCATCCTCAGATGAAAGTGATCACGAGGGTCCTTCCAAACCGAACGCTTACGAAAGACAACCGAAGTACAGGCGCAAGAAATGCGCCCAGTGCGAACACGAACACAATCATGGATGATCACATGTTTACTTCCAGATTTATCAGAGTTGTGTATACCTCTCTAGGCATCTTGTACTGGACCATACCAGCATATATCATACAGTTTCTGGACATTTGTCTAAGCGAGACAAGTTTGTCCTCCTTTGATGCATTTTGGGCGCTGATCTGAGGCAACTTGAGCACGTTCGAGTCATAACCATGGCTGAGTTCATAGAAAAGCTGAGCTATGCAACTCATCTCGATCACCAGTAAGTTTGGAACGTTCTTGGTGATGTCCTCGCTGATGGTCTTTAGTTCCTGTGATTTTGCCCGAATCTTCTCCAATTCCATCGTCGCAGAACATGGAATCACATTGAGTTTCTCTATTTTGAGAAGGATTCCTGCAAAGTCTGGATTGGTGGTGGTAAATTCTCTCCTAATCTCCACCATATCCAGCAATGCCGAACACGTTTCGCGCTGTTTCAAAGACACTCTTTCCAAAATCGACGGTGAGGCTGAATAGATCTGCATGAGTCTTTGCGCCAGTTTCACGATATTAGTCTCGCCTTGGATCAGCTCCTGGTCCAAGATGTCGTCAATAGGGGTCTTGAGATCTATGGATATGAGGAACTCCGCGAGAACCCTGTTCACTAGATCGATAACCATGTCATACTCCTCGCTTAATTGATAAAGCAGAATGCAGTCGAATGGTCTGCCCTCTTCGTCTGCTTTGACTGCTGCCTGTTCCGCGATGTTGTGCAAATAACTCTCCTTGTCGTCTAAGTATAGTAATTTCTTGCGCTGTTCAATGATACCTGGTGATCTTGTACCATCCTTATCTATTTTACCAAGGAGAATCACAAACTCCCTGGTCTCAAGCACCAACTCTCTAATTGCGTTTCTGCCAAGTGTGATTTGGGCCTCTTTCAAAGACGGCTTTAGCCCATCACAAAGACAGATACAAAACAGATATTCTGCTGCCACCCTCGGATCAGAAAACTTGAAGCTGCTGGTGAAATATCCTAGCAAGCGAGCGTATGAAATCGAGTCAAATCCTCTGCTGTCAACCGTCAGCATTTTGTCGTCTTCCTCTGTTTTTTCATCCGGCACCCTCAAAAGTCCATAGTAGGCGAGAGTAATGGCCAAGTGAACGGCATCAATCTCACTCTTTTCAAACAGATACTTCACAGCAACTTCGTATAGACCGGTGAGAACTAAGGCCTGCAAATACATAGGGTTATTTGCCGAAGCGTTGAACGAATCTGCTCCATATTGGAGAACAGATTTTTGGAAATCATTTAGGGTGTAGAACTCGCGAACCAACTCATCTTCATCAAATTCGTCCTCTTGAATTAAAGACAGATGGAACCATAGCCAGTCTTCAATGCTAAGTGTGATGGATGGTAGATTCTTCTTGCTCAAGTCACATCTTCCAATAAGCTTGTAGACGGCGTACTTGAATGGATCAATTTCTTTATTGAAGTGTTTGAAATACTGGTTGAATTCATTCAAAATTCTCCCCTGCAACTCACGAGAAAGCTTTCTGTCTGGACTCTGACAGTAGCTCTTCAAGTACATTGGGAAAGAGCGCTCTAATTTCTGGAATGAATCGGTTGATTGTGTGACTAACTGAACAGCTTCGTCCAGACAGCCTGCCCTCAAAAGGTAAAATAGCGTGGCCCAGATCGGATTCCCGTTGACGAAGTATAGATTCGGGACTTTCCATTCCTTGTTTTTCCCTCTGAGAGTCAGCTCCAAGAAATTTTGAATCTTTGTCACAGTGGAAGCAACTTTATTATCTTGAGCGGTGACATCTGATTTGAGATATAGCTCGTTGATGTAGTCCAAAAATTGGGCCTCTAAATAGTTCCTGCTACGTGTCACGATCCTCTTGCGCAAGGACAGCGACTCAAACTCAGTGAGCGAATCAGAACAATGACCTTTGGCGAATCTCCTCTCAAGAATCTGTCCGGATTTGGCTTCCTCTGTCTCGCAAAAGTCTCTCAGAATAAGCCATGTTTCATGAAGCTGTTTGGACTTGGGGCTCACTTCTTGCTTGGAGAGGTCTGCAAAAACAGTAGCCAAAGGATATGACTGGCCCTGCTGTCTTGCATCGTTGAGCTCGTAAATAACCTGGGCATATAACTCAAACTTCTGTCTCAGACCATAAGAAAGGTTCGGATTCGAGGCCTTAGATTCTGGGACCTTTACGTCTGTAAACTCTAGTTTCGAGGATAAAATGTGTTTGTGTTTGGTGCTGTTCCATATGAGCTGTTTTTCCAAGTTGGCATCAGCTGTCTTTGCCTTCTTCTCGGGAGAAGACGACAGCTCGGAGCTAGGCTCGGTCCTCTTGAGCAGAGTGGACAGAGAGTTCTGCAGCTTCTTCTTTCTCTGTGCCCAGTCTATGGTGATGTTCTTGCTGACGTACGTGTCAAAGTCGCGAGCAGCTGCAGATAATGACTGCTCAATGGCTGTTAAGATGTTCTCGTCTTTACGACTGTTCATGTAGCTGTCTATGTCACCCATGTCGACAACGTTTGCCACGTGAGAAGGGTCTATCTGGCGCAAGTCAATTGAATCGAGCTCGCTCTGTATTTCCTCTATTGTAAAACCGCTTCCCACAAGCAGATAATGCGCTTTTGTGTAAGGGTTCACATCCTTGTCGGTTTTGTTGTATTTACGCAATTCGTAAGCCTTGCGTTTGATTTCATTGAGTCCCAGGTGGATTGTTCCAACGTCATTAAGTCGTTTGGGCAAACTACGCGAGGCTTCAAGCAGCTCTTTCAAGGAAGTCGACGGTTTTGTCTCATTGGCCGGCTTCGCTCCTGGCAAAGAACTCTGGACCATGTCGAACAAGGTGTATAAACAATACGAGAAAAAATATGCCGAAAAGTATTTTCGCTATGTATATGGGACTATTTGCGTCGATCGGCCGTGCTAATCTTAAAGCTCTGGTTGCACCCAGCCGGGATTTCTGTAACTGTCTTGCGACTCGACGGACTCGAAATGCCTTCTGATTGACCCATCTGGGTCAAACTCCTCCAAAAGTTCGGCTTTGGTCTTGTGCTCGCTCACGGGAAAGATTTTGGTGTAGATTAGCTTGTCCTCGGGTACTTTCCTGTACTTAGACAATCTAGGTGCATCGGGGTCTTTAGGCATCGTGCGTGGATATATGTATCTGAAGATTGGTTCTCGGACAACCACGTCCACTCCTTTTGGAACCCAAAGCTCGAATAGCTCGTCGATCTTCGGCTTTCCCGTTGGAGCTATGGTTAAGAAGCCAATATCACGGAATACTAGATCGACGGTGCCGTAGAAGATGGGAATCACGTGGCGTTCGAGATGCTGAACCGCCAGTTTGTTGACTGAAAAATTAGACGCAACGGATCGTTCTCGGTTCAGACTGGTGTGAATTGCTTTTTCGATGGAATGCTGATTGAACTGCTTGCCTGACATGCCGGGGAAGATCCTCAGAGCACAATCGCAAGGAGGCCGCAAATAAAAGTAGCCTCCGATGCTGAAAACCTTGTCTCCCGAGTAATATTTCGCGGTCTTCACGCTCAATGATTGCAACCGATGGCCGTTCGGCTCCTGGGTGGGTGGCTTTTTCAGGGAGGGCAGTGCAGGAATGTGTTCAGAAAGCATGTATTTGAAGATTCCCTCCTGGGGAGGGGCAAACCCAACAGTGTCTATAAGGGTTGTGTCTCGCTTTGGCAGAACGTACTTCATGAAGTCTCTGGTGAATCCAGGCCAGTTGCTCACTCCGGGAGTGGACTGTAATTCTTCTCTTTTGACGTATTCGTGATACCTGCACAGACTCTCAATCAGTCTACTTTTGCCCGAGTTTGTTTCTCCAATAAAGTACAAATTGCCCTGTGGTAGCCAGGAGTAGAGATCGCGCACTCCCCATCTGTTTCTCGCCGTTACGCAGCGGACCTTGGTTGGGTCTGCTCCAACCAGACGTTGCAGCACCTGGGCAAAGTATCGCGTTCCTTCAGAGTTGATATACTGGTCTCTATTGAAGAACAAATCCAGCTTGCTGATAACGTAGTATATCTTGCTTGGATCTCTGTTTTGCAGAACTTTTGCGCTTGCACCGAGAGGAAAGTCAAGTGCCGAGATGACATGCACTATCTTGGCATTTGAAGGGATCTCGCTCATAGCCTCCTCCACAGCAACCGTCACGTGCTCGTCGGGGTTGTACACGTTGTGGTGAACGGCGTCATAGCACCGCAGACACATTGGCTTTTCGTCTCCTTTTTTTGCACGCAGCTCGGACGATTTAACCGGCAAGTTCCCCATCATCGAGCGAAGCTCCTCCAGAATAGCCTGTTCTTTCTCCTGTGGGATGCTGTGGTTTCGAATCTGCGGCTTCTGTCTCTTGTTGTCCTCAAATGAGTATTTGGTGTACCCTGGCTTGCCTGGGTCTGCGTTCTGGAGCATATAGCCACAGGAGGCACATTTGGCTTTGCGAGGAACCGAGGAGACCAGCCGAAACGCTCCTGTTGGCCGCACAGACCGGAGAACCTGGTTCCTTGCGCAGCTGTAGAGCAACTGCCACATTCTGCAGTCCGAGGATTATATGGAAAATATTTTTTATTTTGCAATATTTTCCATGTCACTGTGTTTTCTTCGTGAATGTGACAGAATGCACCACTTTGCGCACCTCTTTCTTCTTGCGCTCGCGCTGTTTGGCCTCGTCCACACGTCGTAGATAGCCCCCGAAAACCACCACTTCGGCCACCAGCACCAGAATGGCGGCAAATAGGGCCAACAGCACCCTGGTAGCGTCATTAAACAGATTGACAGAGCCTGTCCAGTACCAAACGGCGTAAGCCACAGACACCACGCTGATCAAGACGTTGACGATTGTCGTCAGCTGGTGTTTGACCTCCTTGGCCTCCTGGAGCACAGACGGGCGTCCGTGCTGCCCTGGAAGCGAGCCCACTAGTCTCTGGTACTCCAATTCCTCCTGCTGTGCCTTGAGCTTCTCCATCTGCTTGAGAAAGTCGGGCGACTTGGGTGTCTGTGGCGGAGGATCGAAGTACGGCGAAAGGTCTTTGATCAGGACGAGGTCGGTGCTTTTTATGAGACAAACAAGGTCATTGTGGGAGATCCATCCTCTTTCTCTGAGCTGGGGAAATTTGGCCGGTGCTGTTTCCCGCAGCGCTTTTTCTATAGACGGGCTTATTTTATATTTCATAATAATGATGATATATATGCGTAATATTTATTCTGTGTAAATAATTTCTATTGAATTCATTCAGGGAAAACACCAACGCAAACGCCGGTCTAACGATTTTGAGTCTGCTGCGAGCATCGTGGCCATCCAATCAACAGGACATACAAGCATCTTATTATCCTAGCACCTAGAAAACCGTGACAGCCCACCATGCCCAAGCTCGAAGAATGGGAGATCAAAAAGTACTGGCAGATTTTCAGCGGTCTCAAGCCGGTCAACAACAAACTGAGCGGCGACAAAGTATCTGTGGTGTTCAAGAACTCGCGACTCGACCAGGCGCAGCTCGAAAAAGTGTGGGACCTGTCGGACATCGACGTGGACGGCCAGCTGGACTTTGAGGAGTTTTGCATAGCGATGAGGCTCATCTTCGACCTTGTCAACGGCAACACGTCGGAGCTGCCTAAGTCCTTGCCCGACTGGCTCGTTCCGGGCTCGAAACAACATCTCGTGCAGGCCAACAGGGCCGTGGCGGGAAACAGCACCGGTTTCGACAGCGACACCGACGAGGAGCTCATGCTGAGCTCAGATTTCGACTGGTACATCTCGCCATCCGACAAGGCCAGGTACGAGGACATCTACGCGTCGTCTGCGGACAGGTTCGGAAGAATCACGTTCCAGTCGCTGTCGGAGCTGTACAGGACGCTGAACGGCGTTCCGGAGACAGATATCTCGTTTGCGTGGAACCTGGTCAACCCCAAGCAGTCGGAGACGATCGACAAGGACCAGTGTCTGGTTTTTCTACACATTTTGAGCCAGCGCTCGAGCGGCAAGAGAGTGCCAAAGTCGGTGCCTCCGTCGCTGAGAGCCACGTTCAACAGAGAGACACCAAGCTACGACGTGAACGACTACCAGGCAGAGGAGCCGAAACGGCCTAGCAGCACGAAACAGGCCTTTGGCGAAAGCTATTTGAGCAAGATCACCGGCTCTTCGAAGATCGCGAACAACAAGACGGATTTCAGCGCCACAGACGGAACCGACTGGGAGGAAGTGAAGTTGAGACGCGAGCTGAAGGAGCTGGAGGAGCTGATCCAAAAGGCCGAGGACGCCAAGAACAACAAGGGACTCGACGACAAACTGAGTCTGGCCAAGTACGAGTTTGAAAATCTGCTCAAGTACAAGGAGCAGCAGGTGGCCGAGCTGGGCACCGGCAGCGACCTGCAGTCGGTCCGGGCCAACATTGAGGTTGTGGAGAGCCAGGTGAGCCAGCTGGAGTCGTTTTTGGAGCAGAAACGGACCGAGCTGGGCGGACTGCAGCGGGAAATCGAGGCCCTGAGATGATATGTGGAGGATTCAATAAATATGTAGATGAGAATAAATAGGGTTCGTTGGGCCGTCGGGCTACTTCTTGACTTCCTCGTCGAGCTGCGGCTCCGGGAGACGGAAACTCTCCGGCGTGTCGTCCTCGCCGGCGCCGACCTGCTCCCAGACCGACGAGCCGACGGTGAAGTTTCTCCAGGCCTGCGTGAGCTCCAGCGGCTCGTACACCACGCGTCTCTTCTCAGAGTCGTATCTGACCTCCGTGTAGCCCGTGGTGGGGAAATCCTTGCGCAGCGGATGGCCCTCGAAGCCGTAGTCGGTCATGATTCTGCGCAGATCCGGGTGGTTCTCGAAGAACACCCCAAACAGGTCGTACGTCTCTCTCTCAAGCCAGTTGGCTCCCTGGTACAGCGGCACCAGGCTCGGGATCGGCGTCATTTCCGACGCAAACGTCTTGATGCGGATCCGCGAGTTGAACCTCACCGACAGCAGGTCGTACACCACGTCGAACCGGTTCTTGCGCGACGGGTAGTCCGCCGCCGTGATATTCATGCACGCAGTGAACTGGCTCGAGGTGTGGTTTTTCAGAAAAGTGGCCACAGGCACCAGTCCGGACGGAGCACAGTACACAGTCAGCTCGTCCTTCCAGACGGAGTACTGCTGGATGAACTTCGGCATGCACGCCATGATGTACCTGCCGAACTCGTGAAGCTGCTCGCCCTGCTCTCGATACTTTTCCTTGGGGTCGTACACCGGCCGGAACAGCTCCTTGGACTCTGGTCGCGGCAGATCCCTCGGGTTGGGCATATCCTCAATGGACTTTGCCTTGGCCAATTTGACGCGCAACGAGGGGCGCGAGCAGCTGAAGGCCCTTGACAGCGGCCTGAAGACTGGCCTGACGCCCGTGCACTTGGTAAACATGCCAGAGAAAGCCAGAGGATAAATAAAAGTGGGGAAAATTAGAATTTATCTTATCTTACTTGAAAATGCACATCCGTGCACCGTCCAGCTGGCTCACTGCGCGTCGGCCGCGTCCTGCTTGTCGCGCGACGGACCGTCGTAGAGGCGCGCAGACTTCCTGTAGGCGGAGGAGTAGTTTCTGCTGAAGCGGATGCTCTTGCTGTAGGGGCTGCGTGGGGTGCGCGAGCCCCGCGGCGTCCGGGGAGACGGCTTCGCCAGCGGGATGGACGGGTCGCCGTTGTTGACGAGCGGCGCGTTGAGCTTGGACGGTCTTTTCTTGACCTTGCTGGACGGGCGGAGGATCTCGAACCTGAAGAGGCCCTCGAACTCCTCGCCCGGCGGGCTCTGGCCGGAAACCATGGGCGAGCCCAGCGGAGACGAGATCTCCTGCATGTTGGACGAGTAGTTGCTTGCAGACTTGCTGTTCAGCTGCATCGGAACAGCCATGTTGAGCCGCGCGGAGTTGCGGAACGACGAGACCGAGAAGTTGGCCGGGGTCGCCGACGAGTCGCCCATGAGCGTCTTGAACGAGGCCGTGGACGGAAACTGCATGTTCTGGTCGAGCTGCGGCGAGTCCAGAGTCAGCCCCCAGTTGTTCTGGCCCACAGACGTGCCGGCGGTGGAGCGCGTGTCGACCGAGCCGTTGTACTGGTGGCCGTACGCGCCCGACAGGTCCATGTTCTCCTTGGTGAAGAAGGAGTCGAGGTTCTCGAGCGTGGCAAGCATGTGGCTGAGCGAGTTCTGGTCCTGCGCAGACTCGTCGTCCTGGAGACTGCTCTGCTGTCGGGTGAGCAGCGACTGCTCGCGCTGGTCGGGCCACGCGGGGCTGTAGTGGACGTAGTCGTCCCTGTTGAACTCGGGCTCGACGGGCGGCTCGGGCTGCTCGTCGCCCTCCTTGGCCGTCGAGACGACGCAGGTCGAGAACACCGAGTGGATGTTGTTTCTGGTGCGCGCGGTGCTGACGGCCGGGATCGGCACGGACCAGCCGCTTTCGTCGGGGATGCCGAACAGCGTGGCCACCTTCTCGTACTCGCGGCGCATGCTGGCGTCGCCCGAGCTCATCATCAGGTAGTGCTTGTCGAACGGCGACGCGGAAATGCTGTTCGCCTCGTCCAGCACCTCGAGCGCCAGGTCCACGTAGTCGGTCATCAGCAGCCGCAGCAGCGGCGACACGAGGTCGGCGCCCAGCCCGACAAACTTGCTGTCGGTGAGGTCGACGGCCTTGAACACGTGCTTGAGAAAGTCGAGCATCTCGAGCTTGATCCACGCGGTGTTGTTGAACAGCAGGCCCAGCAGGAACACCAGCGTCTGCGCCGAGTACTCGGGGAAGAAATAGCGCTTGATCACGCTGACGACCTGGCTCATGAAGTCCTCCTTGTTGCGGAACTTCTTCTTGATGAGCGAGTCGAGGATCCGGCTCAGGGCGCCCATGTCCGCGCGGTCGGCCATCGCACACAGCACGTTGGCCGCGTCGACAACGTCGTCGCCAAACCGCTTGGTCGTCTGCGCGTGCAGGAAGCGCGGGATGTTGGCCAGCAGCGCGAGCAGGATGCGGTACTGGCCCGAGCCGATGATGGCGCTGTCCTTGAGCAGATTGAGCCGGTCCAGCAGCCGGATCGTCGGCTCGTACGCGTTCGCCGACCGCAGCCCCATCATGACCAGCGGCTGCAGGCCCTCGAAGCGGCCCTCCCAGTTGGGCGGGAACGTCGCGATGAGACACTCGACGGTCTCGTCGGAGTCGAGGTCGATTTTCGAGATGAACTTGGACAGCGTCGAGAGCACCTCGATGAACTCGTTCTCGTGGACCGTGTTGAGACACGCCACGACAGACCAGAACAGCTGCGGGAAGTCGATCAGCTGCTCGCTGTACAGCTCGGCGGTGATGGCGTTGAGCGTCATGAGAATCTGCATCGAAAAGCTCTGGATGCCCGGGTTTTCGTCCGAGACCGTGTTGGCCAGGCACAGCAGCATGTCGCGCAGCATGCCGAGGTCGAGGAACGAGATCAGACACCGGAAGATCTGGAACGAGCGCGCGGCAATGTGCATCACCTTGCACGACGTCGCCCACGCCAGCGCGGTGCGGCTCCAGTCCTGCTGGATGCCC